CTCTCCCTCTCCCTCTCCCTCCCTCTCCCTCCCTCTCCCTCCCTCTCCCTCTCTCTTCTCCTCTCCCTCCCTCTCCCTCCCTCTCCCTCCCTCTCCCTCCCTCCCCCTCCCTCCCTCCCTCCCTCCCTCACGCCCTCCGCCTCCCTCCCTCTCCTCTGCCCTCAGTCCAACCTCTCCCTCAACCTGGAGGCGTACCTGCAGCAGATCCTGCCCGCCGTCACCACTTGCGTCGTCGGCCGCAAGCTCTGCGCCGCGCGCGGCGACGACCACTGGTCACTCCGCGCCATCGCCGCCGGAGTGATGCACACTATCGCCGCGCAGTACGGCGACCGCTTCACAGACTTGCAGCCGCGGCCCACTGGAGGCCACCCGCCCGCCGCGCTGCCGTGAGCCGCGTCTCCTCACACCCCTCCATGTGAACAGACTCACCAAGACCTACCGCGACGCGCTCGAGGACCGAAAGAGGGCCCTCACCACCCACTTCGGCGCTCTGCTCGGCCTGCGCGAGTTCGGGCCGCACGCAGTGCACAAGCTGCTGCTGCCGATGATGCCCGCCTACCTGCAGGTCCCCACCGCCACCGCCACCAACCCACGCACCCTCCCCCCCCCACCCAACACACACACACACGACCCCCCCCCCCCTCTGTGCCTGCAGCTGGTCCACGGCGTGATGTCTGCGCCGCTCCCCGACGCCGCGCCCGCCGCTGCCCCTGCCGCCGCCGCCTCCGACATCGTGCGAGAGATGGCGCAAGAGCCGGGAGACGCCGCGCCCGCGTCCGCCGCGAGCGAGTCTACGCCCGCGCCGTCCGCGTCGCCCGCCGCCCCGCCCAAGCGTGCGCGGCTCGTCCGGCAGATGGAGGCGCCGCGTGTGTCCGCCTCTCGGAGTGAGCACGCAACGAGTCATCGGCAAGAGCGGATGGTACAGGCGCTGCGAGTCTACGACGCCGCCCTCGCCACCTGCGGCGCCTACCTCTTCCGGCACGGCCACTACTTCGCTGCGCCCGGCGCCGCCCGCGGCAGCGCCGCGACGGGCGGCGCCGCCCCGCCCGCGCTGCTCCCGCGACTCGCGACGAGCTACGAGACGCTGTCTGCCGAGTTTGGGCCGCCGCAGCTCGCCGAGTCTGTCCCACCCCTCTGCGGACACCGTCCCACGACCCCTCTGCTGTCGGCAGGCCGGCGCTGCTCGCCTACTCGCGCGTCGTCGAGCCGGCGTGGGACAAGCACGCGCGGCGTAGCTTGCAGGGCGCTTTCCTCTGACCACCGACAGTCCGACAGCTTTGCGCTCGTCCGTACGCCCGACGCTTCCCGAGCCCGCGGCTTGTTGCTCAGCGCCCCCATGATTGCCATGAATAGTAGAAAATTGTGCGGCTGCGAGATGTCCGTTTTCATGTAAACGGTACCGCCTTTTGCGCGTTGCGCCCCGGCCCGGCCGGCCAATAAAAAGCGGCGATATCTGATCTATCTCTATATATGCGAGTTGCAACACGACACACCAGTGTTGCAACTCGCGCACCGCAGCCGCGCGAAAACGAAAATCGTAAAAACACTTTAACGGGAAACGGGAACCCGAGAGACACAACCCGAGCTCGGGGGAAGTGGTGGGGAGACGGGATACGGATAGACGAGCAGATATACACAGCCGTCGGAGCCTCGGCTCTTGGTCTGTAATAGTCTTGCTCTCTTGCAGTTGCACCTTTTCCCTTCTCGCGCTTTTTTGCAGCGCCAGCGGGGTCGGGGGTGCGAAAACTGCGAGAATCAATTTTCACCGCCGCACGAGGCGCGCGCAAGTCGACGTCCCGCACGCGCCGGCGGCGCCGCACCAGACAGACCTTGAGTTTTTGATTAGCTTGAGACCAACGATAACGACGCGAAACGACGAAAACGATACGACGACGAAAAGAGTCGCGCATTGTGTTCGATCGATCGGCCCGCGCATGCGCCTTCCGTCACTCCCCGCCAACGTATTCTCTGCCGGGTGGCGGCGGCATCAGTGCTCGAGCTCCCGCCTCGGCGAGTCGCCCGGTCTCATCAGCAGATTTCGTCAGAAGATGCCGCGGCGGCGCGAGTGGCGGTCGTACGCGACGTTGAACTTGTCGATGAGCTCGTTGGTCAGCGCCGCGCCCTGCGCGAGGCGGGGACGGCGCGTTGCGGCTGCTATCTCTCTTCCTCTCTCTCCTGTCTCTCTGTGTATCCCCCCCCCCCCCCCCAGCCCCCCGCCTCGCCTGCGTGATGACGGCGAGCTGCGTCACGAGCAGCGAGTTGTTGTGGTCTTGCACAAACTCGGCGCGGAACGCGTCCGAGTCGAGCGCGGGCAGCCGCGCGCAGAGCGCCTTGACCTGCCGCAAGAGCGCGTGGTCGAAGGGGACGGTGCCTGCCTGGACGGCGGCGACGTAGCGCGAGATGATCTCGATCCGCTCGGTGAGCATGTTGATCGCCGTGTGCATCCCGTTGAGGTGCTGCGAGAAGGCGGAGGGGCTGGGGCTGGGGGGAGGGGGGGGGGGGGGGGCGAGGGGCGAGGGGCGAAGCGTGCCTGCGAGAAGGCGGAGGCGGAGGACGACTCGCCCGACGGCAGGATGTGTGCGACGTGGTCGACGGCGATGCGCTCCGACTCGATGGAGTCGACCTGGCATCCATCAGCTCGGATCAACTAATTAGCAGCGCGGCGGTGCGCTCCCGACTCGATGGGAGTCCTTGTAGCCGAGGCGCGCGAAGCGCGGGGTCGGCGTCTCGCCGACGAGGACAACCTCCGACTCGAAGATGCCGATCGGCAGGTCGCCGGTGCCGCCGCCGCCGCCGACCAGCCCGGACGGGTCGAGGGCGAGGTAGAGCAGCGCCTCGTTGAGCTCGCAGAGTTGCTGGTGCACGGCGATGTCGCTCTCGTCGGGCTGCGGAGGGGCTTTAGGCGCGTCGGCGGGCGCGCCGGCGGTAGGGCCAGCGGTGATTGCGGCCAAGAGGCGTGAGCAGCCATCTCGGCCGCTGAGGCGCTGAGGCGCTGAGGACGAAGGACGGGGGAGGCATCTCGGAGGCGCGACTCTCGCACCGCGGGCGCAGTGGAGGTCGAGTACCAGCCGAGCATGTCGAGGCTGGGGAAGGTCTTCTTGTACTGCTCCAGCCGCGTGCGCAGGTAGTCCATGTCGATCGCCGCGCTTCCGCTGCTGCCCGCCGCCGCCACCTTGAGCTCGAACGAGTTGGCGAGCTCCACGCGCCGGCCAGCCTGCCACAGCGGCGCGCGGCGGTGGCGAGCGCGCCGCGCGCGGCGCGGGCGGAGGGCATGGGTTTCTTGGAGGGAGGCGCAGGGCTGGTGGGGGACGGGCACTGCCGCCTGCGTCCCGAGGACGGCGCCAAAGACGCGAGGCGGCGCAGCCGCGGCGTCGGCGTTGGCACGCACGCGAGTGAGGTGGTCCGAGATGTTGATGACCACGAGGGGATGCAGCGTCACATTCTCCATCTTGGAGCTTGGCGACTCACTTGGGCTCTTGTCCTCTCCCGCCTGTCTGCTAGAGCCGCAGCCGCCCAGCCGCTCGGTGTGAAGGCTTCTAGGCTTGCGGGTAGTCTCCCCCCATCCCCAGGGCCTCCAGGGCTCGCACCTCAACCTCTCACAGACCAGCGCATAGCGCCATAGGACGTATTTTCTTCTCATAACAAGGCCGTGAACAGAGTTCGTGCACGAGATCCCTCGAGAGTTCACGCGGAGTCGGCTGGGGCGGCTAGACAGCTCTCCCGCGCTGGGTGGAGAAGCGGAAGAGAATTCTTCCTGCCCTTCTGACGCAACCAACACCGGCAACCAGAAAGGGTAAACAAAAAGTGATTACGCTTCGGCGGTGGTGCACTAACCTCCGAGAAACCCTTCGGGTCGCAAACCCCGTCAGCAGTCCTCCTCCGAGAGACTACGAGTAAAAAAGAAAAATCCGCGGCCGCGAAAAATGGCAGCCAGGTCACGTCCAGGAGTCCAGGGATGCGCTCCAGAACGGTAGGTCTGCTTGCCCTATCCGTCCTCTGCCTATTATGGGTCAACACGCGCGTCATGCTGCCCGCCTCCGCCTCGCCAAGCGGGAGTGCTCCGCTGCGAGAGCCGCCGCCGCTCGACGGAGAGCTTGAGCCAGCGCTGGCGCGGGCGGCACCGGGCGGGCCGGGAGGGCTGGTGGTGCTGACCTTCGGCGATAAGGGCTACTTTGCCGCGCTCAGCAACTTTGTCGCCCACGCGCGTGCCGCGGGTGTGCCGTATCTCGTCGGCGCCGTCGACGCTGACGCGTTTCGAGAGCTCACGTTGCACGGAGCAACTGCATACCTGACGCCGCTAGCGCGCGACGCGGCGTACGCGTTCAATCCGTCCAACAGTCACGACTCCAACTCGTGGGTCCGCTTCGCGCGCATGAGGACCGGCGAGGTTGCGAGGACCGTGCGGCGAGATGCGCGAGACTGCGACCACCGCACGAGACCGCCGCCGCACGAGCCTTGCAGCGTCTCTCCACCGCCGCCGCCCGCGTGCGCGATGTGCTCACGCCGTGCGATGCGCGCCGCGCAGGATCGTGCGGCTCGGGTACGCGGTCATGCACTCCGACACGGACGTGGCCTGGCTGCGTGACCCGTCCCCGTTCCTGCTCTGCCGCGACGCCGCGAGCGACGCCGCCGGTGGGGGCGCTGCGGGAGCCCGCTGCAGCGCGCTGCGCGAGGCGGACGTGGCGGTCTCGTCGGACAACATGTCGCCTGGCGAGGACCTGCGCATCGGCGCCGCGTATGCCGCCGGAGGCGCACTCGTCGCCGGCTCTCTGTGCGCCTCTGCACGAACCTGCCGTGACCGTCTCACGAGCCTTCCGACAGGCACACTCAACACCGGCCTGCTCTTTGTGCGGCCAACCGCCGCCGGAACCGCCTTTGCCACCCGCTGGCACGAGACGGTCTCGAGCCCGCCGCCGGGCAAGCGATTCGCTCCTCCCGGCTGCTGCACGTCGGACCAGCAGGTGTTTGGGCGGATGGTGCGCGTGGGAGGAGGCTACCCTGGGCTCGCGCCGCCGGCGGGCGCGCCGACAGGCGGCAGGCTGCTCCGCGCGGACGGCAACCTGACGCTGGGCTCGCTGCCCCTCGCCCTCTTCATGAACGGGCACAGCTACTTTGTGCAGCGAGCGCACGAGCGGCTCGGCGTCGCTCCGTTTGCGGTGCACGCCACGTACACGCTCGACACCCACGAGGGCGGCGCAAAGGCGTGCCGCGCGCCCGTGCTGCCGCCTCCCAGCTCGCGGCGTGGCGTCTCATCTCCTCCGCCCCGCCGCACAGGCACAGAGGTTCCGCGAGGCTGGCTTGTGGCGCGCTGACCCGCCGCCGCCGCAGGGCGAGCGCTTCTTGGCGTACAACTTCTCCGAGCCGCCCGAGGTGGCGGCGCGCCGAGCGGAGTACGCGCGGCGCGGGCTGTCCGCGGCCAACGTCGACGTGCACCTCTCCGCCCTGGAGGCGTACGTCGCAGAGCTGCGCGACGCGCTCGCGCTCGCGCGCGCGCTCGGCCGCACGCTGCTGCTGCCCCGATGGACTTGCTGGTGCGACCGGATGTGGGCCGGCTCGGACGACATCTTCCGCTTTGGCTGCATGTACCCGGGCGCGCAGGACGGCAACTTCGTCCCCTTCCCCTGCCCGATGGACCACATTCTCTCGCCCGCCGCGTGGGCCAAGGCTGGCGTCGGCCACCGCGACGCCGCCTTCCTCGACACGCTGGCCGAGCGCGGGGTGAGGCCGGTCGAGGTGCTGCTGCTGCCGCGCGCGCAGCACCGGGCGCTGCTCGCCCGGCCGCGCGTCGCCCTGCTCGACGCGCTGCCGCTCGGCACCTCCGACGGCGAGGCGGCGAAGCTGCTCGCGCACCTGCGGGCGGCGCCCCTCCTCCGGCTGCAGCACGCGCGCGGCTTGCTCTGCGCGCTCGACGCGCCGCAGCCCTTCAACGATCTCGCGGCGACCCTGCTCCGCGCCCCGGCCTGGTGCTCACGCTGCTCGCAGCCGTGCGAGGAGCAGCTAGCGCCGTGGCTACCCGCGGAGAGGGTGCGCGCTGCGCGCCCGGCGCCGGCCGAGCAGCACGCCGTCTGCTTCCAGCCGCCGCTGCCCGCGCCTCTGCGAAGCGACGGCTGCGCCGGCCGGTCGTAGCAAAGTGTTTCGTTCCGCCTCGGCCTTCACGGGCGTGGAAGGTGGCGGTGCGCACCGCGCGAGAGGGTTGCCACGCCGGAGGTGCAGGTGGAGCCTGAGACGTGAGACGGCTCTCGACGACGACGTCTCGTCTGCCTGGCATGGTGACTCTGACTGCGTGACAGCTGCGCCGTGTGCGGACACACTCTCGTCGTGTGAGACCCTGTGGCGTGTGAGGTGTGTGTGGGGACGTCTCGATCGTCGTGGGACGCGTGTCTCTAGGGCATGTGGTGAGTACCGAAGTGGAAGTCTACAGAGCTGGTGGGCGGGCGCGGCGCGTGGTCCACTCCAAAAAAGTGGACCTCGAGTCTCGAGTTTCACCCCAGATCCCAAGCTGGGTGGCGCCGGTATACAAGATTGCTTCTCACACAGTCACAGAGTGTGAATTTCGGGCCGCGCAGCAACAGACATATCGACCGCCGTCACAACGTCTCACAGCGTCGCAGGCGCGGCCGGAGTACGTTGTGCCGGCGGCCGCTGCGCGGGGCTCCATGGTGTGCGGAGAGAGGCAACACGCCCCTCTCCGAGCAACCACCAGAGCGCCCGGAACCTTCCCCTGACCATGTCCCGTGTAGAAGAGGCAACCAGGTTGCCTCTGGCAACCAGGTTGCCTCTGGCAACCAGGTTGCCAGCCGCAGATGCAGCTCAGCACCGCCGCGAAAGAATGGGCGTGGAGCGAGAGGCGGGCCGGCCGGCACCCTCACGCCCCCGGCAGCGCGGCGAGGAGGGGCGACTCGCACTCGCCGTCCTTGGGGGGAGGGGAGAGAGAGGGGGTGGAGGCGGCGTGAGGGTGCGTGCGCCAGGGCGGGGAAGGCCTTGGGGAGGCGCGCGTGCTATGCAGCGGCTGCAATCTCGTCGTGCTAGCGGCCCGCCGGCAGCGCTGGCAGCGGCTCTGTTGAGCGGCGCGGCTTGTCGACCCTCGGCGCGGGAGCGCAGACGGACCGGCCTGCGGGAGCGCTCGGCGGGCGGCGGCTGGCCGCCGTCCCGGCCGCGGGCTGTCGGCCCGGAGCCGCGGTGTGCCGAGCCGGAGCCTTGTTTGACGGCGGCACCCTCGAGAGAGCGGCGCGGGGTGGGGCGGAGGGCGGCAGGCGGCTGCTGGGGCGGCACTCGGCGGGACGCATCCCACACCGCCGCGACTTGCTCTTGTGGTGCTCGAGATCGTCCGCCTTCCGCTCGTCCTCGCTCAGCAGACCGTTCTGTGCGGGCGCGGGCGGCGCGTGAGAGGACGAGGCGCGGGAGGGTTGGTGGCAGAGCACTGCTGTTGGTGGCGATGTCGGCGCGCGGCGGGGGTGGGTGGGGGGGAGGGGGGGGGGGGGGGGGGCGACCGCAGGGGCGCTGGACCTGCTTGCGCCAAAGGCGGAGCTCGCCGGGCGACGCGCCGATGGGCGGTTGCAGCTGCTTCTTCGCCGCCACCTTGGACAGCTTGGAGACGTAAGCGAGGTCCGTCGTCGACGTGAACCCAGCGGCCAGCGAGATCGACATCTGCCCAGCCTATGCGCGGCAGATGCGAGCTGTGCACGGGCTCTGGATTCGAGGCGGGGTAAGATGGTGAGGACCAGGGTGCTGCTCTGCCGCTCCTGAGGGCGAGGAGAGGAGCGGTTAAACGTCCCGCTAATTCTTTTTTTCCTTGTCGACACGTCTTGTAAAAGACACCACGAGAGCATGCTCGACGGAGCGACAACAATGCTGGGAATTCTTTTTTCCGGTGCCCACACGTCTTCTGAAATTCGCAGTTATAGAGCGACAGCGCAGCGCACTGCCCTCTGCCGTCCGCCGACCGAACGAAGGAGGGAGAGCTGCGCATCATCGCAACTCGCATCTCCATCTGGACACTGGTAAAGTCACTGTAGTCTTGGCTAGTTACGTTTCACAGCCTTGTTATTGAGAAGGAAATACGTCCTATGGCGCTGTGCGCTGGTCTGTGACACAGTGACTGACTGTGTGTGAGAGGTTGAGGTGCGAGCCCTGGAGTGAGTCTTTCGGTAAGCGCGGGTTAGCGCGGGTTAGTGCTCACTAACCCGGCACGGGTCAGCACGGGTCAGAATGGGTTACCATAACCCGGCACTAACCCGGCACTAACCCGGCACTAACCCGGCACTATAAACCCGTACGGCTGGGGGGCATACGTCAGCATGGGTTTACGCCGGGTTAGGGGTGGGTTAGGGCCGGGTTAGTGCAGTGCACCCCGGGTTAGAGCTGGTTGGCGAGATGAAACGGCTGCGGCGGGCACCCGAGCCGACCTCCGCTGCAGTGGCAGTGCGGGCTGCAGGGGGCCCGGCCCTCAACGTGTGCCAGTGATGGCCCTAGGGAGGAGGAGTGCGCTGAGGGCGGTACATTATAGATCCTGTGGCATGAGACTGTCCCGCTCGCCATGCGCCCGCGGCTGTGGAGTGGCGAGTGAGTGAACGCACGAGAGAGGGGTGGAACGAGCCGTAACCCAATCCCAAGCCTAACCCAGACTAACCCGAGACTAACCCGAGACTAACCCGGCGCTAACCCGCGCCGCACGGCTCTTCTGTGTGCCGGCACAGAGCTCCGTGCAAGCCTTCCAGCGTGATAGGAACGAGTGTATCGCTGCGACGGATCGACCGTGCTTGTTATCAAGACCGATGTGACGCACACAGTGACACATCAGACGACACATATTCTCCCACCCGCCGGGACGCAAAACGCTCTCGACGAGAGCCAGAAGAAGGCGTCCACACAGCAAGCCGCTCGGTCGATCACGTTGCTCGCTCGATGCCGGCGAGCGCATGGCGCACGCCTTGGACGGTGGCGAAGCCAAAAACACCGATGGTGGCCGTACGCTGGCGTGAGCGGCGGCGGTCCCTCACCATTCGCGCCGACGACCCAACCTCACGCGGAACAACCCACATGCCAACCCGTGCCAACAACCCAACCCAACCAACCCAAAAAGCACGATTGTGAAGTTGGGCCCTCGGGCTGGGCAGGGTCCACCCACACGACAGGGTCCCAGGGATTCCTCTCTCGTATAGGACGGGTTGCATCCGGCGGCACGGCGGGGGGGGCAGCTGTTCTGGTTCGCTCTTCCAACATCGCCCCCTATACCAGGGTACTGTACCGGCTCGCCCACTCTGCAACGATGCTCGGTGGTGGCAGCTCCGACTCCGAGAGCGTCATGAGCCAAGCGAGCGACCAGCGGCCGCCGCGCACGCCCCGCTCCATGCCTCACCTCGGCCGGATCCACTGGCCAGACATTGGCCATGCCGGTGACCTCTGCAAAGGGCACGGCGGCTTCAGGCGTGAGCACGTGCGCCGCCGGTCAACGGGCAGGGAGGAGGACTCGTCCCCAGCGTGCGGCCAGCCGCCATTCAGCGTGCCCGCAGACTCTGGCTGGAGCGCTGTGCCGTCCGCTGCGCCGGCGAACGCCTCCGCGGCCACCACTGCCGCGAGGCAGCGCCGCTTTCAGGTGGCTCCTCGCGACGCGGAGCTCGTCAACCGGCAGGGCTCCCTGGTCAGCCGCGCACCCGGCATACCGCCGCTCGAGACCCAGCGCCGCCACTTTCGCATGGCTCCGTCCCGGCCGCCGGGCGCCGTCGCCGCGTCTCGGGTCTCCTCGCAAGGTTGACGAGGGGATGCGGGGAGGGGGGGAGGTGCGCGGTCGCCGCGCACACGTCCTCGGCACCCGGTAGGCTCCTGCGAGGCGCGTTCGCCGTCGCGCCCTCCTCTGCTCATCAGCAGTGAGCAGCTGCCGCCAAAGGCGGCCGGCAAGCCGCAAGGCCTCTTCAGGCGGAGAGCGTGTGAACAGGCGGCAGCGGCCTCGCCGGCGAGGCTCTGTCCACGCCGGCGCCGCCCCGCACGCGACACCGTCCCTCCTCTGACCGCCTCGCGCCCCTGACACCGTCCCGCCGTGAGCAGTCGGCCGAGGAGGAGCGGCTGGTGCCGGTGCACGAGGCGGCGCAGGCGCAGACGGCGCTGCTGAGCGCGCTCACCTCTCCGGGCCCGCCGGCGGCGCTGCCGGATAATGCCTCTCGGCGGACTGCCCCTTGCAGGCGCCTCTTCACACCTCTGAGGGCGGCGCCTCTTCACGCGTCTGCGCGCGCGTGAACAGGCGTGCGCTGCTGCTCACCGCCCTCGAGGCGCAGCGGGAGCTGCTCGCCGCCGACAACGCGTCGCTCCTCGACGCGAATCTCGTGCTGAGGTAGGGGCTGGCCCCGAGACGCTCCTGACCCACAGTTGCGTGTGTGGTGCTTCGGCGGGACGGGTACGAGAGCAATGTAGGGAGTGGCGTGGAGACCCCTAGCTTCCCGTGCCCCACTCTAGGCGGCACCTGCAGGTGGTGCGCGGCGGAGTCGCAACGTGAAGACGAGGCATCTACGAAATGCGGTTGCGAGGCTTCCGGTAGCCCTCCGGTCTATAGCCCTCCGGTCTATGCGTAGACCGGAGGCAGCCTGAAGGAGTGAATGGCGACGGACTGTGTACCTTGTGGGCCACTTGGAGTACTTTTTTTCGAGGCGGTTTCTTTTGACTTTCGAACTTTTAGCTTACTGGGAGAGAAAACTGAGGGAGAGGGAGGCGGCAGGCGCGCTTTCTAGGCCCCTTGGGCAGACCCTTTTAAGGCCGACTGCACGCTAAAGGCTACACGCTCGCACACCACTTGCTGAGTGGCTCTCCCAGGCGCTCAGCCCATGGCGGAGGCACGCCAGGCCCCGGGGAGTCGGCCGTCACTCGCCTAAGCGCCTAAGCGGCCTAAGCGGGGGGGTGCTTAGGGTGCTTAGGCGCTTAGGCGGCCCTTGCGAGCGTGGCGGCGTGGTGATATCGTAATACAGGTGACTCCGATGACACTCATGATGCTCCTGCTAGTGTCATCGCTCAGAGTGCAGCCTCACCACGTCCACTGTCTACCACTGGCCCTGCCCCTGGTCGGCGCACACTGCCGCTGAGCAGCGCTGGTGCGGCTACTCAGCATCAGCCTCGTCACACGCCTCCGCCAGCGCCGTGAATTCCTTATCCAGTTCTAATACTCTTGTATCGCTGCCTTGACCGTGTCCGCACCTGCATGGTCCAGCAAGTCGCCGTGAAAAAACCAAGCGACAGAATGGAAGCCACGGTCGTCGGGACCTGCCGAACCAGAGACGAGGTACTCCAAGCGGTCGTCGTCTTCATCGACAGGGTTCCTCAGCGCCACCGCAGTCATCTGGCTCGGATCGCAGTAACGCACGCCGAGCACCTCTTCAATTTCCAGCAAGTCTGCGTCCATGGACCCGGCAACCTTGTCGCTGGCGAGTGGTGGCAGATGACCGACATCCCACAGCACCAGCAGCAAAGGCGGGCGGGCCGACCCCGCGGCCATCGCCGCCGCTGCCGCCTCCCCCTCCGCCGCCGACCCCTCCGCCGTCGCCGTCACCTTGGGCTGCATCACCCGCGCCGCGTCGCGCACCGGCTCGTGCTCATTCAAAGGCGCCTCGAGTTGCAGGCCAGCGGCACTGGCGTTGTCGTGGTCGGGCTGCCCAACGTCGGCGCAGGAGGGAGGGGGCAAAGCCGTTATGAAGAGCGCGAGTGCGAGCGCCAAGAGGGCCCAGATTCTGAGCAGCAGCCGGCCTGGTCATGCGACCACTTGCCGACGTGCGTCCAGCATTCCACTATAGGACGAACGTCGAAGTTTCCGACGTCGTGCCGAGCGAAACCTTTTCCTGCAGTCCTAGAGAGCACCTTGAGGCCATTCAATAGAGCCCGTACTATAGTCGAGGGTCGATCGCCGGCCGGCGCAGTGCTGCTCTGACTGCTCCGCCGGGCCGCCTCCGGGCTGCCGCCGCGGAGACGTGCACATAGGCAAGTTGGTATTTTCATATATGAACTTCAAAATAGTATTGGCTAGTCTAATTCTACTCATCACAACTCGCCAGGAACACCCCCACACTATAGGGTCATTGTGTAGCCCTGCTTAGAAGGAAAAGGTTTTGTGCAAGGTCCGTATGGCTCACCGTGTAGTCGGCCTTAACAAAAAAATCTTACGCGCGCACAAACGTTTGTCGTTTCACCTTCGGCCCATGGCAGAGCCAGAGGAAGGATCCCCCACGCCCACCAGCCCGCCAGATTTGGACGCTGCGGAACTTGACGACGGCGTTGTCACAAACACGCCACCGCCCGATTTGTTGGCTCCTCTCCACGTCGAGACGGACGCCTGTGATGCGAACGACTGTGATGACGAGGTGCTCTCTCCATGCAGCAAAGATGGCGCGCCACCCGTGCCAGGAGAGCTGGAAGGGGAGGAAAGCATGCGCTCAGCAGCTGCCGCGACAGTCATTGCGGCGGCGCGTCGAGGTCAGCTGTCGAGGCGAGGCGAGGCCGCCTCCTCGCCTGAGCCGGGTGCGAGTGAAGAGTTGGGCGGAGCACACGAGGTTGAAGTCGCGGAGGCTGATCTGCTGGAGACGAGCGAAGTGAGTGGCAACGGCGATGGCAATGACGGCTGGGAGGGGCAGGGGCTGGCAGACGTGGAGGCGGAAGCGGCAAGGGGAGCTGAGGAGGGGGGGCGCAAGGAGTGCCCCGAGGGGGGGGGGGAAGATGATGAGGAGCAAACAGACGACGACGAGCTTGGCAGTTCTAGCCAAAGGGACGTGCTAGGTTCAGCGCTCTCCGACTCCGAGGAGGGCGATAGATGCGGCGACTCCGATGATGAGGTTGGGGCCGAGGCCACGGTGGCGGCGGAGGAGCGGAGGGCGCTGCTGGCGACCAACCGTGCGCTGCACAGCCGGCTCGCGCGATACCTCCAGATGGTCCGAAAGGGCGCCGAAGTGGCGGCAGTGAACATCAAGAGCGTGGTTGACCTCGAGGCGAGGTACTCCCGGTGCCTCGGGCAGGTTGGCGAGCTGCGCGACGGGTTGCTCCAATTGCGAGCGATGCAGGAGCGGGCAGCGAGCGAGGCGAGGCACAGGCTTGCGGACAAGGAGGCGAAGGCGGCCGAGATTAAGGACGCCTTCCGCGACTTCAAACGCGAGATCTTCGCGGCGGCGGAGAACTCGCGAACCGGGCGGCAACTTCCCGACTCGGTGATCTCTCAGTTTGAGGAGCAGGAGGAGCTCAAGGAGGGCGAGGTGGAGAGGATGCGGCTGGCAAACATCAGCCGGCGTAACGCGCTGCGCAAGATGGAGCTCGCACTTAAGCAGAAGGAGAAGCTCGCGGAAGGCATTCATTTGATGGACTTTGAGCAGCTCAAGATTGAGAACCAGACACTCGGCGAGAAGATCGAGGAGCGCAACGAGGAGCTACTCAAGCTACGCAAGAAGACGACCACCACGGTGCAGGTCCTCACGCACACGAAGGAGAAGCTGCAGTTTGTGCAGGCCGACAGCCTGCGACTCAAACAGAATCTCGCCGACCTCGAGATAGAGCTCACCAAGAGGCGCGACACGCTCACACAGCTCAAGCAAGAGCGAGACGCGCTCAAGGCGGAGACAGCGACGCGCAAGCAGTCTCGCGGGCTGGTCTCCTCCGAGGAATTGCTAATTGATTTTGAGCGGCGGCGACAGTGGATCGACACCGCAACCGCCGAGGCTCAGCGGCTACAAGACCGCCATGCGGAGCTGCTGGAGCAGGCACAGCGCAGCAGCAGCAGCACCTCCTCTCTGCCCTCCTCTCAGGAGCGCTCGTGGATCCGCGCGGGCTAAAAGAGAGCCGGCGAACGGCGATGAGCTTGAGCAGCGTTGAGCAGCGTATTCTAGTGGTGCTTTGTGTCACGCCGAAGCGGCCACTTATAGGCTCTGTGCAGCGTGTCCAGGGTTTCTTCTTTTTCTTTTGTGGTGCGTCTCGAGTGTTTTCACACTCACACACCCCCATCTCTCTGCGTCTCTTCTCTGGACTCTCTGCCTCTGGGGGGAGGCGGGGGCCCTAGAGGGTATCCATGCGGGGGGGAGGGAGATGGGGTCCCATGGCCCGCCGCAGGCGCCGATTTTTTCGGCACTTTTCTTTCTTTTTTGCCCAATTTTTTACTTGTTTTCATGGGAATTCGCCGTACTTGCGGCCATGCTATCACGCCTTGCGACAGCCTGTCGGCGCAGCTGACCGTGCCATGATGCACAATTGATCACCTGCATAGCTCGCGGCCTTAGTAGCCACCATTCAGTGACGACCTGATCGTACGGCCAGTAGGAAGGTGTCCTTCCAGCGCGTGCACGCTTCTGACGCAATGCGCGTCACAAACTGCCTCGGCGACTGGCTGCTGGCACTCTCGAGGCTATGCCTACACAGCCTCGCGCGCATGGGCAGTCAAGAGGGACCATGCACTTTCTCAGGACAGCGCCAGTGCCTCTCCCTTGGACCGGCAAACGTGGTGGTCTCGTGTCACCAATGTGGGACCAGTGCGGCATCGCGCCATCGACAGCTCTGAACTGCGCCTCACCACTGACCGGGAAGGCCGCCAAGTGGGCCAGCACCGGTCACACATTGTGGCAGCAGTCAGCAGTTGTCTGATAGCTAGAGCAGCAGCGTCAGGGTCGCAGGGTCGGATCATGTCAAGCCTCTCGCCCGGCCGGCCGCGTGCAGACGTCGGCCTGTCTGCTGTCTGGAGTGATCTGTCGGCGGTCAGTACGACCAATCAGGTCGGAGTTTTCTTATGGTTAGATGGTCTATCTGTATGTACTCCTCGAGACCTCTCCAAATCTGCCCTCTGATCAACCGTGATCATTTGGGAAGTTGGTGCTAACGGAGACTAACGGAGCCGGACCCGGAGCCCCGTTTCCGCACTCCGCTGCGCGGCGCACGGACCCACGGTGCCTCCGGGGGCCCCCGCCTCCCCCCAGAGCTCTCTGCCTCTGTTTGTTTACTCTCAGAAGACGCGAAGGATACACACTTGTGCGACTTTACCCAAACGATAAAACATCCTCGAAAAAACATCCTCGCGGTTCAGTCCCCTCGTGCTCGTCGCCACCTCTCACTCACTGCAATTCCACGTCGCCCCACACGTCCTGTGCAGCCCGCCACGCCTCCCACGAGTCGATGGCGACGCTGCCCGAGCCGTCGTTCTCTCCGAATGCCGCAAGGTGGTTGTTGCCAAAGACATGGACGGCAAGGCGAGGCGCGCTCGTCAGGCGCGCCGCGAGCGCGCGCACTTGCTCGAGGGTCACTGCCTCAAGGGCGTCGGCCAGCTTGGCGCGCCGCGCCCAGTCGTAGGTCTCCTCCTCGATGGCTGTCCACCTCCGTGAGAATGCCTCGGCGAGAGTGCGGTCAGGCTCACGAAAGCGTGTCACGAGGGCGCCGCGAGCCGTCTGGAACTCGTCGGCCGTGAGAGCGCCGATCACGGCCTCCGGCACCGTGCGCAAGTAATCATCGATCGAGCGCTGCAGCTGCGGCGGCGCGAAATCCTTCGAGAGGATGAGGACGTACACGCCCGAAACGCACGAGCGGCCGCTCCCGTGGCGCATCTCGTCCGAGCGCACCACGTACCCCAGCTGCTGCTTGGTGCGCAACTCGGCGAAGAGCGGCTGCTGCAGCAAGCGGAGCAGCACGAGCAGCTGCGCGCGCTCCGGTCGAACGTCGAGCTGGCCAAGCTGGTAGTAGAGCAGGCAGCCAGAGTTCTTCTCCTCAGCGGACAGCGGTCTCATCGTGAGCCGCCAGGCGCCCGCGCGTACTTGTGTGACGGGCGAGTCGGCCCAATCGGAGCGCGGGAGGGTCGCCTCTCTCGCCGCTGAGACGCGGCTCTCGAGCTCGGCGGCGATGGCGGCGGCGTCGGCGGCTGCGAGGTTGCCGTACGTGAAGACGAGGAGCTTGAGGCGCCGCACAAAACGCGCGTGGAAGGCTGCTAGCGAGTCGAGAGTGGCTGCCCTCGCCGCCTCGAGCTGTGCCTCCTTGGGCAGCCTCGTGGGCTCGAGGAGGAGGTGGAGGTAGTAGAGCGCAAGCCGGTCGGACGTCTGCTTGAAGTGGCCCTGCAGCTCGCGCACGTGCTTCTCACGGCGCGGCTCGAATCGCGGAGCGTAGGCTGCGCCGTCCCAGCGCAGCAGCTGGTCGGCGAGGGTAAGTAGGAGCCGTGGCAGCTTGTGCGAGAAGCCGGAGACGCGGAGGACGACGCCGCTCGTGTGCCGCGACACAGACCAGCTGAGGCCCGCCAGCGCCGCCGGGTAGAGCGCCGTGGCCAGGTGCTCGTCCAGCACCGCCATCCACAAGTTCATGTGCGTCACGTCGCTCACCGCCTCCGCCGGGCAGGCGAGGTGGAGGACGACGTGCGCCTTCGGCCTGCCAAAGGCCACCTCCGTCGCGTGCCAGTGCACCGCGTCGCTCGCCTCGCCTGCCTGAAGCGCGGGCTGCGGCTCGCCCTCCTCCTTCATCTCCAGCTCTGTCGCAAAGAACGGGTTCGGAGCGGGCAAATGCAGCAGCGGGGCTGGCGCGCCGCCGGCGGCGGGCATTCGCTCGCCGCGCCGCGCCGCCTGCAGCTTCTCGCGCAACGGCGATGCGATGGGCCGGCGCTCATACTGCACGCCGTAGTACGGCTCCGTGAGGCGCTGCGAGCCCGGCGGCAGCGACGGCGGAAGCGGCACAACGCAGACCGAATCCGCCTCGTCGTCCTCCTCGGGCGGGGATACGGCCTGGAAAGCCTTCGACTCGCGGGAGATGAGGACGCCGCCCGGGCGCATCGCCTCGAGGCAAGCGACGACGCCCTCCGCTGGAAAGCCGCCAAGCAGGCGGCCGCCCGAAAGGGCGAGCTGCGGGCTGTAGACGTGCATTCGGGCCGCCCACGACCTCGCCTCGGCAGCCGCGTCGCCCCGCTCCGCAAACCGCCACCGGAGCGCTCTCTCCATCGCGAGCTCCGCCCATGCCTCGCGCGCCGCCGCGCCCGCCCCCTCCTCCGCGAGCATCGCCAGGTACTCGAAGACGCGGCACAGCACAACCTCGACCCGCTCCTCGCCGAGCGGCGTCAGGTCGATCCGAACCTTGCGTAGCATTCCAACAGTGAGCCGGGGAAGGGACCTCTCCCATCGATCCGAACCTTGCGTAGCATTCCAACAGTGAGCCGGGGAAGGGACCTCTCCCAACCGAGCTCTGCGTGGATCCAGGAGCTACTCGCGTCGTACCTGTGCAATGGCAAAGTCGCGCAGCCCCTCCGCGCCCGCGCTGACGGCGGTCGCAAGTCCCTCAGCCTGCAGGCACGCGTACAGCGACCCCTCCCCCTCGTGCGCGAGCAAGTGCGTGACGTAGTCGAGCACGGGCGCGCGCGAATCGCGGTGCTGGCTCAGCCGCGACGGCAGCGGGAAGGCGAGCCTACGCGACGGCCCACGGAAGCTCCATGGGAGGGCGTCGGAAGGAGCGAGCGACGGCAGCGCGGAGGCGAGCCGGCAGGTCCTCCTCTCCTTGATTGGCACGACCCGCAGCTCGAAGGGGAGCTGGCTCGCCACGAGCTCGCCCGCCCCGCAGCCCGCCCACGGGTGCGGCGGCCCCTCTGCCTCTGCCATCTCGGCAGCGGACTGCACGAGCCGCGCCGCCGCCGCGAAGGCGGCAGGGTCGACGTCGGCGGGCGTTGCCGTTGCGCCCCCGCCCGTGCTGTCGGTGGTTGGGGCGCCGAAGATGCGGGTCGCGAGCTGCTCCGTAGCGTCGAGTGGCTTGCTCGAGATGAGTACCAGCGTCATCGCGTCCGTCCGGTAGAAGCGCTCGCGGTAGGCGAGGAGCGCAGGCCGCACCTCGACGCCCGCCGCAGCGGCCGCCTCCGCGCCGAGAGTCGACTTGTTGCCTACAGCCATTGTGACGAGATGCGATCGCAATCACACGTTCTTGTTTAGAGGTGCGCGTCGTACGGCACGCGGACCCGTTCCGAACTTGGACCAGCTCTGCGAGCCGGTGGTGCGACCGCTCACCGAGTGCTGCAGCGCCATGCGCAGCCGCCGGTCGTCGTTGACGCGGTTGCGAGAGTCCTCGTTGGTGACCGCCTCGATTTCACGCTCCGCCGCGGATTTGTCCAGGAGCGGCGCGCCGACGAAAAACTGCGCAAAGACGTCAAGCACTTCCTCGAATCCACCCGCGTCAACCTCGAAGAAGTAGTTTGTGGTCTCCGCCGCGGTGGACGCGTTGCACCGACCGGCCCGAAGGCCAATCTGCTTCTTGTAGAAGGAGACGCCTGGATACTTCTGCGAGCCCTGGAAGAGCATGTGCTCGAGGTAGTGGGCGAGGCCGACCAGCTCGACCGGCGCTGTCCGCGCGCCCGCGCCGTCGACGCACATGGCTGCTGTCGCACGATGCTCGGCCTGCGGGTCGCAGACAGCGAGGGCACGGACACCACCAGCGAGGCGTATGACGCGGTAGCGGCGTCGGTCCTCAACCGAGCGCTCGACGCCACCGCGCTCGTCGACGGTGCAGTGGAGCATATACACTGCTCGCGCAGAGTCCTGCGCCCTGCCACCAGGAGACTGGTCTGCTATTGCCGCAGCCGCTTCACAGCTGCTCCTGTGGGAAGAGACCCAGGGGAGGAGCAGCGTGAGCAAGCCCGAGCCGCGAGCTGGGCCAGCCCACCAAGGGTACCCGAGGACCCGTCGAGCCTTCGGCGGGCGCGCTGCGGTCGCACGCCTACCCAAGTCATATGCCACGGCGTACGATCTAGATTCAGCACACGCGCCTCTGCTCGCAACCACTCATCCAATGAACTGTCGTCACCCATGAGTGCGAGTTAGGGCTAGCGGCTGGCCAATAGCCTGTGAGGAGGGCGTCCATAGACACCTCACAAGACCCCACACACGGTCTCGTCCATGCCTTGCGGCTGGCGACGAGATTGCTAGAGGCGGAGCAAGCCTGCTCTAGTCTCACACGTTCGCCCCTGTCGCCTGTCTGTGTTGTTGTGTGCTGTTGGTTTGTCTCTTGGCACCTTGGAGTGCTGGGGGGGGCGACAGGGGGGACGTGGCCTGAGTGATGTGTACGCCCACTCAGGATGTGTGGCAGCCCGCTGGCTGTGTGTCTTGTGAGCTTGTTTGTGTCTGTGTGTCGCTCGTGCGTGTCGTCATCATCTGTCTAGCGTCCACCCATACCGCGTCGGTGTCCAGTCCGAGCCTGACTGTTCTTCACCTTCCTACATACATACATACCCATGTGGACTCGCCGGGGCTCTGCTCCAAGAGACCTCGAGAGAGCGTGCGTGTGCCTCTACTCGCCAGCCCCGCGAGGTTCACAGCCTTGTTCTGAGAAGAAAATACGTCCTATGAATGGCGCTATGCGCTGGTCTGTGAGAGGTTGAGGTGCGAGCCCTGGAGCGTGAGGCCCTGGGGATGGGGGGAGACTACCCGCGGGCCTAGAAGGCCCGCGCGCAGGGGGGTGGGGCATTGAGACCGGTCATGAATGAGTGCGCGACACGCATGTTGCGAGCAGCGTTGTTTGTTGATGTTCTGCGCGTCCCACAGACGGCGGCGCGCGAGAGCTGTTGCGATTCACAGCGGAGTCGGCTGGGGCTACAGTATACCAGACAGACCAGGAGAGGCACTTGAGAGCTTCAAAAGAATTCAGATGAATGGGCCATCCCTCGCTTGAGCTGTTTTCCAGCCCCCCTCCGTGTCGCGATGCCGCTCCCCGCTCCCGTCCCCTGTGTCCCTGATCGTCCTTACAAGATCCTGCTCGTGCAGGTGGGGACCCTGTCCTTCTCCCACCCCTCGTTTGGTGTGTCCGTTTTAGTCTATTTATTTTATTGCGACCTGTTTTCTTCATTTTGTTTGTATTTTTTTCGACACAGTGGGTGGAAGGGTGGGGCGACACATATCAACACGTCGTATCAGACTGTTAATCAGAAACGGTAAGTAGCTGTTAGGGGTAAGCGCGCGCGACATACTCAGAAAGTAGAAAGAACACGTAGCTACGGCACGTAGAGACAGACATGGTGCACCAGGGACGTCGCATGCCAAAAACGGATCCTCCGTGACCCGACGTCACGAAAACAACGCGCGTATCAGAGCGCAACGGCAAGCACTGGCGGGAGCACAATCACTGCGACACCGACGGTCACCGCCGTGCCCACGGCGAGGCCGAACTTGGCCTGCTGCCAGAGCTGAAACCGCTTGGCGTCCCGCGCGCGCCTCTGGAAGGCACGCGCCATCACGCTCATCTGCCTCGCCTTCTCGTCAACCTCGTCCAGCTTGTCGCCGCGGTGGAGAAGGAGCTCGATGTTGTCGGCCATGACGAGCTTCACCTCGTCGACGCGGTCGCTCACCATTGCGATGCGGCCGCCGGAGCTCGCCTGCCCTCAGGGGTGCCCGACTCTGCCTCCGGCCTCCTCACCGGTCTCTCTCGGGGTTACTTCATGCGGGGTTACTTCAGCGTGCGACGGGGCGCCAATCTCCCTCGATCTCGGAGATCACGCCTGATCCATCCGCGCGAGCAGGGTCGGAGCAAAGTCGTCCTGCGCAGCAAGCGTGCCTGAGAGGTTGCGCACGTGTGAGACACCGTCACCGAACGCGCAAAGCCCTTCGGCCGCGGCGGACGCCTCCGCGCAGCCAGACCGGAGACTCGCGCAGCGGGGCGGAGAGGAGCGACATCTTCTCGAGAAAGCCGCGAGCCTGCAGCGGCACGAAGGCGGCGTCGAAGACTACGCAGTAACTCCACCAGACAGGCTCGTCTCGGCTCGAGGTTGAGGTCGAACTTTTGGTGTACACGTGGAACTTGAGCGCTCGCAGCGAGCCCTGCCGGTCAGACTCCCTATATTGGCCGATACACAGTGTACACGCGCGCGCTCACGGACCACTGAGCGTTCGCCAGCCCGTGTTCGCCAGCCGGGGGAAGGAGATTTTCGCAGGATCCTCCTCGCTAACGCAAGCACTTCTCCCCCGCGTGTGTCCTCACCACATTCAGCCAGCACGACCGTGCCTCGCGTCACTGCCGCCCAGAGGAGCACCGGAGGGGACGAAGAGGCCGCGGGCTGCATTTCCAGGGAGCCGGGCGGGCGGTTAGGCATTCTTTGGCCGGTCGGTGCGAGCTTTTTGTGCCCTGGAAGAAGAATTCTTAAGATACAAGCCTCTCTCACAGCACACTGGAAGAAGAATTTGTGCCACATGCAAAGTGCTCCAAGCGTTGATCATGACAAGATACACTGCGCGCCTCCCAAGCCAATGGTGTCTAAGGGTCTCTGGCACTCCTGGATGCATGCACGGTCACAACGGAGTAGCAATGTTCGGAAGTGTCCGAGCGGTCCCGAGCGGTCCCGAGCCGTCCCGAGCCGTCCCGAGCCGTCCCGAGCCGTCCCAACGGCCTAGATGCTAAAATTCGACCGGCGGGGGCGCGGCGCTTGGGCCAGCTTCCTGCAGGCGCGGATCAAGCCATGGGAGTATGGTCTTGGGGACAAGCAAGGCTTACGTCGGGCAGCGGCAGATCATCACAGAATGGAAGGGCCGGAACCTGTCCCTCGAGAAACAACGGTTCAACAAGACGGTGCAGCACTACCGTGGGCGTGTGGAGCACCTCATTGGCCAGGTAGTGGACAACCGTATGGCTCTGTGCACTACGTGGCGTGGCTCGTTCACCCTGCTTGCCGCGGTCATGAAGATCGCGGCGCACATGGTTGGGCTCCAGGAGCGTATGAAGGGACCTAGGTATGATGTGTTTGGCCCGTGGCCGGTGTGCCCGCAGCAAATCGCGGCGCAGTTTCCTTAGTGCTTTGCTGTTTTTGCTGCTAATCTCATGATAAGTTTACAATATCTTCTCACTGCAGCACCTCCGCGCCGCTCAGCCGTGCAGCCCAGCCAGCCGGAGGCAGGCCGCAAATGTCCCAGCCGCGCCCCCGAGCGAGGCCGAGCGAGGCCGAGCGGTCCCGAGCGGTCCTGAGCGGTCCCGAGGGTCCCGAGCGGTCCCGAGCGGTCCCGAGCGGTGCCGAGTGGCCCCAGAGCACCCCAGAGCACCCCAGAGCCTACCTGAGACACCTGAAGAATTTTGGCATCGAAAGAATTTGAGAGGACGCTACGAGGTGGCATGAAGGTTGCAGCGAGAATCGGCGAGAGACTGCGAAGAGAGATAGGAAGAGGCGGACGCCCAAAGGTGGGCGACGGCTAGCGCATCACACCCCTCTCCTTAAAATCCCTGTGTGGCGGCGGCGTGCCGTCCTCCCATCCCTCCCTTGGGCTGTCCGTTTTCTTTCTTTTCTTAGGACACTCGATAACACAGGTTAAATTCGCAGCACAACCCGGCTGCTGCACCACCCCCCCTCCCCCACGTTGCATTTCTGGCGAAAGAAGAATTTTACTCGGCTAACACAGGTTAACCTTAAATTCCTATGCGAGAGAGATCCCCTGTGCCCTGTGCCCAGCCCTCCGCGCCGCGATGCGCCCTCCCCCCTCGCTTTTGCAAAATCCTGCAAAGGTGGGGACGTGTCTGTCCTCGACCTAGGCCTAGCTTGGGATGTCCGTTTTATTTATTCATTTATACCTTGAGCACTTGAGCACTGGATAGGGTCGATTCCGCATGGTACGGGACCCCTCGATCGTCTCGCCCACCCTCACTGGAGTGTTCATGGGGGGGGGTCATAACAAACACGGTGCAGGATCGAGGTGCACGCTGCCGAAGCAGTGTCGTCCCCCCTCTCCCCGGCGGCGATGGCGGTGTGACCGATCGAGCTACAAGAGGAGCTTGTTCAGCAGGATCCGGAGTGGCCAGATGCACTACCTCACTGGGCACCGTACGACGCATCCATCACCGTCTCGGATTTGCGTGGAGTCATTTATACCTTAAATTCGCAGCACAACCCGGCTGCTGCACCACCACCCCCTCCCCCACGTTGATCGTGATCTGTGATCTGTAAGCAGTAAGGGTGCGCGCGCGCGGCATTTTGGAATGGTTGGGTAGTAGGGCGAGAGGGTTGCTCTATACACTTAGTTAGCCTCTGCAGCGAGCGAGCGCTCAACTTAGCCCCCGCATGGAGCCGGGCTCGGACTTAGACGCTGTATGGTCGGGGGCCATGAACTTAGACGACGATAAGGCCAACTCCGGGTAAAACCCGGGTATACCTGAAAAGCTTTCAGGTTTACCCGAAAAATACCTGGACGCGTCCCGACCAACGTATGCCGCGCACGACGCCATATCGCCTTCTCCCAGGGCCAGTGCGCTACTTGCGGCGCGCAATTCCTGCGCAAGTACGCGCACCGTACCATGTGCTGCCGCTATGCGTGCCGTAAGGCGGCTGCGGCGAAGCGCGGCGGGCACGGCATGCCGATGGCAGTGCGGACGATGCGGTTGCGATGTGTTCTGCTTCAAGATCGTGGCGGTGCTTGGCATGGATATGCACTTCTGCGATCCCAATCAGCTCATCGCAACGAAGCAGCGCAACAAGCTGGCTGCTGCCAACAAGGTCCTATGCTTCCTACCTTCACGCGCGGATCGTTCAAAGAGGACCAGCGCATACACAGGCTTCTCTGACATGCGTTTGTTTGAGCTTGAGGCTGTTTGTGAGAAATGTTTGGCTAGAGATTGCGCTCAAGAAGCAGCAACGAGAATCGGAAGGGGAGGATGCTGAGGCGGCGATTGCTGAGGCATGAGGAGGATCGATCCGGATTTTAGTAGGCGCCCGCCGCAGGCGAAGAAAATTTGGGCGGAGAGCGCCTTTTCGATCACGGTGGGAGCCTCTTGGCCCCAGGCCGTGCCACGGCCGACTTAGCCGATGTAAGAGGCTCCCGCTGATCTTAGACCGCGCAAGCACCCCAGCGTGCACGTGCACACTTAGACCCGCTAGGCGTCGAGGCTCAGAACTTAGACTACTACCCAACCAGTCATTTTGGTATACCGAGGCGGGCGGTGCGCCGGTGCCGAACACCTGTTGATCGTTGTTGATCCTCGCGCGCCGGCTTTATTGAGCTCTAACAACTTCCTACAGGAAACGTGTAGACATGGCACATGCACGAAGTCACACATCGAAAAGAAGACAAGGTTTCTGTACATGGAAGCCCTGTGCACTGCGCAATTGTTACAGGGAGAATTTTGGGCATCGCTCTGAGTGAACTCTCGCCAAGATGAGAGGGCCGCGCGCACAACGCTAATCCCTCGACGGCAGTTCGCCCGCGTCCGCCGTCTGCGAGGCGCTTTGCCGGCGCACACGCTGCAAGCGCTGCTGGACGCGGTCATTCCGATCGTCGTCCTGCTCGAGCGCACCTTTCTCAGCCAGGAGGGTGGGGCGGTTGATGTCTATTTGCCAGGCGCCCGGGACCGCCACAGTCGCATCCTTTGGCCACGGACACGGGCGATTCATGATATCATGCTGCGCATACGGCTCGGCTCCGCCCTCAAACGGGCCGACGCACCACTCCTGCCGCACCAGCCTGACCGCCCGCTTGGGACAGCCGCACAGCTTGAACAGGTCTTCGACTTGCGATGCCCAGTTGCGAAACTGCGTCGGGGGTAGACCTATGGGACGCATATTCTCATCAAGAGGCGAGAATCTGCCGCGGGCTCTCACCGATAAGCTCTCTCTCACCGATGAGATTCAGGGTCTCATAAGATTCCTTCAGGTTGTTCCATTGTGTCACCGAGGTACCTTCTGAAGACGCGCTGCTCTCACATGAAGCTGATGGCGCAGCTGCCGACGCCGCTGCGGCCGACGCGAGGGCGTCTGAGAAGAGCTCCAACACACGGTGGCCCCGGTGGACGGGACACTGCGACACTTTTTCCTTGAACGACTCCCACACCGCATCAACTTCCTTCTTGTTCGACTTGCTCTGTGGACTGCCACTGTGCTTCTTCTTGCCAAAGAGGAAGTGCTCCAAGAGGCGCATGCGTCCGTCCAAGCCAACCGTTTTGCGGTCGCCGCAGCCTCAGTCGCCACCGGCTCCAAACAATACTGGCCGCGTCGGCCGTCCTGAATCGTGCGGGTGTGTTTACAGCTGTTCTGTCTCGAGGTCTCCGGGCGGGGGGGGGGGGGGGGGGGGCCCCAGGGTTCCCCCCAAAAAATTTAAAAAGGCCCCCGGGGGGGGGGGGGGGGAACCCCCCCCCCCTCTTTTTTTTTTTTTTCTCCCCCGCCTCGCATGTACGTAATACCTAAATCCTAATAGGATTACTTGATACTTCTCTACGTACTACTACTAGCTACTACGATTCGCGCGATTGGGAGCCCGTGTCTTTTGCGATGTTCGCTCTTCTTTATGCTTAGCAAACTATCATCATCATGCGCAATTCATGCGTTTGGCCAAATGCAATGGTCCCCAGCGCAAGATCTTAACTGGGGCGCGTCCGTCCCGACTCATGCGCGCGTGCTCGCCGGCACACCCTATTCAGCCGCGCCATTCGCGGGCGGGCACTCCGGCGCGCGAAGCACCTCGTGGCGCGAGCACTCGCAGCCGCACCGCACGCATAGCATCGCGAGTGACGGCGCGTGCGCCAGGTGCGTCGCGGGGAGGTAGCCGGAGCAACCAACAGTGTCGAGGCACTGGCCACGGAGCACGCCCGCGTAATCGAGCTGCGGCCCCGACCCGTCCGCCTCGGCTGGCGGCCACGGCAAGGCCGCCTGACGAAACGCCTCCTCGAGCTGCCCAAGCGCCTTCGTGCGCTCCCGCTCAACCTTTCGCGCCCGCTGCGCCGCCGTCACGCGCGCCTCGCGCTCGCGCGCCTCGAGCTGGCCAATCTTGTGGGGCGCAGCCGAGCCGAGGGCCGGCCAGAGCGCCGCGCCGCGCGCCGGGTGCACCGCGGCCGCGGTGCCGGGCGGAAGGCCGATGGCGCAAAAGCCGAGGCTGCAGTCTTGGCCGGCGGAGCGCGCTGCGGCCCCTCTCAAGCGGCGCCACGAAACGCGGTGGCGGGCGGCGGGCGGCTTCACGGGCGGGAGGCCGACGATGTACGGGAGCAAGCGCGGCCACTTGGTGCACGCCGCCGTCTCCGCGTCCGCCTCGTTGCCCGCGCGGCCAAGCAGGGGGCACGCGTGGTCGAGGGCGATCACAACGCCGCCGGCGCAGTGGCAGCGGTACAGCGCGCGAAGGGCGTCATGCGCGAGGAGCGCGCGCGCTGCCGCGACGCCGCCATCGAGGTACTCCCGCTCGGCCCGCGCCCACGCCACCTTCTTCTCCTCTCGCACGACTTCGTCTTCCTCCGACTCGGCCTCGGCAGCGGCCGCGACCGACGAGGAGGCAGCCACCGACAGCAGGGGGCCGCTCGTCCCGTGCAGCCGCGCGTAGCCGCGCCTGGCCGACGGGGGGAGGGGGGGGGGGGGGTTGAGGCGTGCCGCGCTCCTTGACGGGGGCTGGCCACGCCTCTCGACACTTCACGGCCGAGGGACGCCGCCGCGGGGCGGGCCCGGCGCGCACCCGTCCGAGAGCTGCACCCAGCCACCTTTGGGCCCGGCGGCACTGCCGGAGACGACGGCGCCCGCGCGCAGCACGCCTGTGACGGCCGCCTCGCTGGACGGGTCCGCGCGGCAGCGCACGCCCGGCGCGTGCACGACTCGGTACTCCTTCGCCCCGCCGTCGCCGTCGCTGTCAACCTCGCCGCCGGGCGGGGGATCGTACAGCACATGCTCGCGGGGCTGCGGCACGAGCTTGCCGACGCGCGCGTCGAAGACGGTAGCCGGCGGCGCCGTGCGCGCGGCGTGCACCGCCTCGATAATGACCACCGCCGCCGCCTCCACCTCCTCCTCCTCGTCGGGCAGCAGCGGCATCTCCGTGTCCCCCACGGCGTGCACGGTCCGCCAGCGCATCTGCGGCAGCATGCGCCGCCACGCAGAGACAGCCTGCTCTGCACATGCCGACGGCGCCACCAGCTCGCTGCCCGCCTCGCCGCCGACGACTAGCAGCACGCCCGAGAGCGCCACGCTCGCCGGAGGCAGCGGCGGCGGCGGGCGGCGGGCACTCTCGCGCTGCGAGGCAGCGACGGCCTCGGCCGCCGCCTCGGGCGCAAAACCGACGGCGGCGAGGGCGGCGGCCGAGGGCGGCGGCGGCGGGGCGGCGGCGGCAGCGGCAGCGCGGGCGGCGGCGATGCGTCGCTCCGCGAGCGTGCCGACGACCGCCGGGAGGAGCGTGTTTTTGAGGAGGGCGCTGAGTGGCCGCGCCGGCAGCGTGCGCTCGCCCGTGCCGTCGCCGACCGAAGTAAGGAGCGCGAGGGGCGGCTGGAAGAAGCTCCCGGGCGGGAGGGCAGCGCGCAGCGGCCGCTCCGGCGGCGAGATGCGAAATTTGACGACGAGGTCCCCGCGCTCTGCGCTCTGGTACGCCTCGGCCTCCTCCTTGGCGAGGACAGCCACCTGCTCGCAGCCGTCCGGCTGAAGACGCGCTGCCCCAACGCCTCACCGCCTCCTCCGAGGTCGCTGCCGTCTTTGCCACGTGCGCCTTGCCGTACTGCAGCTCCTGCTCCTTGTCGTCGACCTCGCCTGCGCGGGCCGGACGAGAGCAGCGAGTGGGCGGTGAGCGACGGGGAGGCGACCCCGCAGCGCCAAGCGACGGGTCTAGGACGGGTCTGCGACGCGGCGGGCAGAGACGCCACCTCGGCCGCGTCGCGCGTCCTCGCCCGCAGCGAGCAGCGGCACGCCCTTGCCGTGCACGAGCGCCTCGCCCCAGCCGGAGCGGTCGAAGCCGAGCGCCGCGGCAAGACAGTTGCCCACCGCCACGCGCTGCCCGTAGTTGCCCTCGGCGCGCTTCACTGGCCTGGCGCACGGCTGCAGGGTGAATTGGGGAAGGGTCTCCTGCAGTGTGCTCGGCGCACCATGAGCACAAGGGTGCTACGGCGTGGTACTCGCACAGCACTCCGCATCTAGTGTGCCCGCGCCCCTGCCAGTTGCGGTCGAGCTCGAGCGTCGGCACCAGAGCAGCGAAGAGGAGCGAGCGGGCCGGCGTCGGCGCCTCGTGCCTGTACCAGAGGTCGACGCCGATGCGCTCGTACACGTCGTGCGGCATCTGCGGGGAGGGCACGCGGTGGTGAGGGGGCGGGAGGGAGGGGGGGGGGAGGGAGGGGAAGGGAGGGGAGGGGAGGGGAGGGAGGGGGAGGGAGGCAGGGAGCGGGAGGGGAGGGGGAGGGAGGCAAGGTGCTGGGAAGGTGAGAGGAGCCGCGCCTGCTGCGTGACAAAGACGAGGTCAGACTTGCCCGCCTGGCAGGAAGGAAGACTCACTCTCACGCTACGCAGTGAGCTCTACCGAGGCGGGGTCCGACTGGCCGCGCCGTGGACACAGCGCCCTTCTCCTTGAACCAGAAGGTGGCGCCTGGCGTCTCGCCCGGCCTCACCTTGAGCGAGAAGACTTAATAATGAATAATTAATACTCTATTCATTAATTGATAAGTCTCGCCCGGCCTCACCTTGAGCGAGAAGACTTAATAATGAATAATTAATACTCTATTCATTAATTGATAAGTCTCGCCCGGCCTCACCTTGAGCGAGAAGACGTCGTCCTCGCGCCGCTCCCACTTGGTGCCCACAAACATGTCCCGCATGTACCGCTGGTACTTGAGGCAGCCGCAAAACATCTCCTCGAGCGTGAGCGGCACCTGCGCCGGCAGCTCTTCGCCGTCAGAGGATGCCTCCTCTCCCCCTCTCTCCCGCAGGGCGCTGCACAGCCCTCAACCCTCTGCACCGCTGCAACCGTGCGAGGAGCGTCGGGTGTGCCTGGGGCGGAGAGCCGGAGGCGGCGGGACGGCGACTCACATCGATGCACGAGGGCGGCGGCTTGGTCGCCTCGTCCGTGACGACGACGCCCGCCTCGTACTGCGCCTCGAGCCGGTCGCGGGCCTTGTCGTACGCCTGTCGCGTCGCCGGCTCCGAGAGTACCGCAAAGGCGTCCTTGATGCGGTGCAGCTCGGACTCGGCCTCGAGTCGCTCTTGCGCCGGCCGAGAGACCATCTTGTCGGGATGTAGCCGGAGCGAGGCCTTCTTGTACGCGTCCTTGAGCTCCGACGGAGGGCAGTACTGCTCCACGCCGAGCTCCGCATAGTAGTCGCGGAACTTGGAAAAGGGCAGCATCTTAGACCTGTCGAAGTCGACGGCGGTCTCCTTGAAGGTCGGGTCGCGCCGCCGCCGCTCGTCCATGCGACGCTTGATCTTGTCCAGCTCGGCCGCCATCGCCGCGCGCTGCCGCTCCTGAGCCTCGGCGCTCAGTGTGATGGGCGCAGCACCAGGCTTGTTGCAATCCAACACCTTTGGCACGACCTTCGAGCGGAGCTCGGCCCGCGCAGCCTCGCGGGCCACGGCGGGGTCGTACGCAACGAGGTTGTTGCGGGAGGCCATCGCGTACGCGGCGATGAGCGCGGGCTGCTCGGCGGAGACTACTCTAGTAGGGGCCGGGCGCTGGAGCGTCGGCGGTACACCTGTGCAGATGTTGCCTTATGGCCCAACCCTAGCGCGAGCTGTGGGGAGGCCGAAGAGAATCGCGACCCCGCTTTTCTTTTCGTCGTATTTGGCTCAAACACAACTCTCTTACGTACATACTATTACGACTCTGGGTTTGCGATGAGGAACCCCGACGGGTTTCTCGGAGGTTAGTGCACACTAACCGCCGAAGCGCATGCGCTTGGAGAAGAGAACTGCGACGGATCGGTCTCATACTATTTCACAGGTTGGCCTGCTCACAGTGTTTGCGACGAAAGAATTTAACTCAGCGAAAGAATTCGACGGTGCAACCCTCTCGGGACACTAGGGGGTGGTGTCAGAGGGGGGCGGCGGGGGGTGAGGCAAGCGGGCCCAGATCTGCTCGTCTTAGAGGGTACCCTCTGTGCCAAGAGAGGCCATCCACGAGCGGCTCAGAGGGTGCCTGGGCCGACCCTCTGAAGGCCTGTGCCGCCAAGCCAGCCTCTCTCGGCGCAGCCTCCTCTGAGGCTACGGGGACCCTCTGTGACGCCAAGGCAAGCCCCGCGAGGCCGCTCCTCAGAGGGGTTTTCAGGCATTTCAAGGCTCTCTCGTCCAAACAACCAGGGGGGGGGGGGGGGATTTCTGCGCCACCTCTCCCCTCTGGCCGTGAGGGGGGGCCACCCTCTGAGGTCAAAGCCCTCTGTGCCGCCCAAGACGGACTATCCAGGGACCCTCTGAGGCCAAAAGCAGCCAAGAGAGGCCATAGAGGCGGCACAGAGTCAGAGTCAAACCCTCTGTGCCGCCAAGGACGCCTGACAGATGGCTCCGAGCGATCCGACACAACAGCAGCCGAGCGGCAGCGCGAGTGCCAAGCGAAAGCGCGTGCCGAGCGGCAAGGCGGCCCGGCGGAGGGGCACTGTCGTGGCTGCGGCGTCAAAGGACGAGGAGCGGCAGCAGGTCCGCTCACGCGTGGACGAGGTGCTGGCTTCGCCGCTCTCGGCATTTGCGCTGTTCGCCTTTGCGCAGCGCGCGGCGGTCAAGCGGGGAAAGCCGAGCATCACGGTGCGCGAATTGGTCAAGACGGTCGGCGAGCGCTGGCTGCTGCTGAGTGAGGAAGAGCAGCGGGGCTATCACGACATGGCGCGGACTGGCGCTGCGATGGGTCCGATGGTGGCATTCGGCGCAGATCTTTCGCCGCAGGGCACACCCCTCGTGGCCACTCCAGAAAGCAAAGCCGAGACGCCTCGCGGTGCGGAGCGAGGCCAGCAGCAGCGTGAGGGAGCGACGGGAAGGGGGGCAGTGGGCGTCATATCCGACGTCGAGGCGTGCAAGGAGATGCTCCTCTAGCGAGAAGTACACGTGTCTGTCTCAATTTTGGATGAAATGATGGGTGTAAAACAACACGAATACCCGCGCGGCGGGCTGATTGGTCGCCATGTTGGTCGCGTCCCGCTCCCCGACCGACCACGCCCTCCGCCCCGAACGACCACTGCCGCTCCAGCCCCTCGTGTGTCGTGTCGAGTTCGGAGTTGCCGGCGCCGCTCCCCCCGCGCGCCTTTTTTGTCCATTGGTTATCACTTGATTGCCTCGCGCGCGGGCGGCGACGATTTTCGGCCGTTCACCGTCAGGCTTGGTGACGGCGAATCGCTTTTGCAGTCGCGACCGCTCGGGCAGCTTCAGTTTCACGCTGACGCCAAAATGGTTTGGCTTATTCGCCGGTTTCACTGGCTTCGAGCTCTGACGTCTGAGAGACACCCGGCATGCGTTCCAGATTGGCGAGTAACTCGGCAAAGTCGATGGACGCCATCTGCTCATCGAACGTCGCCTCCTCGCTGCTATCGTCGCTACTCGCCATCGCGCAGCGTTCACGCCCGCTGTGCTGGGCAACCAAAAACTTGTTCGCGCAAAATGGTACCTCGAGCTACGGGAGAACATGAACTTCGATGGTCCTTCGAAAAATAAAGCTTCGAGAGAGCTCGCTGAGAGCTTTCACATGGTGTGCGAGCCGTTTTCTGGCTCCTACGGGAAGGCTATTCCGACATTTACATTTCCATCCGTTTGTTGGTCACCATGACCTCAGGAGGCTCAGCCAGACAGAGCCTACGTACTTTTAGCTTACTGGGAGAAAAGGGCTTTCTTCTCCGGCCCTCCTGCCCCTCTCTTGGCTTTTTTTTGCCCTTGCGCCTTGGCTCGGCTCGCCCGCTCGGCTCGCTCCGCTCGTTCACCGCCGGGGCGGGCGCCTGGCGGCTCCGCGGAGCTCCTTTGCGCTTTGGCTCGGCGCGGGCGGGGGCGCGAGTAAAAAGAAATTTAGGGCAAACTCCTACGCCGCGCCTGCGCTCGGCGAAGGCCGCGAAAAATTCGAGGGTGCGAAATCGCTGCTGCGTGGGGACGCGGGTAGCTCGCGAGAAAAGCCGTTCAAGCCCGGCCATCCGCCATCCTCACCCCCGCCCCCCCCAAGCAGCTGCGGCCGCAATCATGCGATGGCTCCGGCTCTAATGGTGATGCACCGGTGAATTAAATGTGTGTGCGGGTTCATAGCGGTTTTACCATAAATGACCACACAAGACTCAAGAGCGGGCTGCGGGGGACGGAACGAGACGCAAGACGCATGACACCCGAAAAGATTTTCGCTTTTCGGTGCGGTATGTGTATAAAGAGCATGATAAAGAGTGAGTGCAGTGTGGCAGTCGATCGGACAGGGAGGGACGTGTTCGAGGTGGGGCTAATGAACAGAGTCAGAGAAAGGACGATACTGATGACACACACAGCAAAAACTGACGACCTCGCGTGGAGCCGGAGGTGGGCGGCGTACGCACCAACACAGCCTGTCAGGCGCCAGCCGCTGCCGCCGCCGGCGTGAACTTGATCCACTGAAGCTCCGAGAACGTCCTCACCTTGAAGCGCCAGAGTTCTGAGAAGAAGCTCTGGACCGTTCCCCACGGCTGCGCCCCGCCCAGCTTCGGGAAGCGCCCCCTGTTGCGCGTCACGTATCCAGAGCTGAGGTTGAAGGGGACAGCCTGCGACTCCTCGACCCCATCCGCGCAGGGGCACAGCATGCCCATGCCGTGCCGCCCAAGGTAGTTGATCATGTCACAAAAGTAGCGCGCCATCATGTCAGCTCTCAGCGTCCAGGACGCGTTGGTGTAGCCCAAGATGTAGAAGAGGTTCGGCACGCCCGAGAGCATGCAGCCGCGGAAGACGAAGTGATTTGGCGCGTCGTACGGCACCCCGTCGACGCTCACCTTCATGGTGCTCATCGGGAAGTTGTGCTGCAGAGTCAGGCCCGTGGCGGAGACGACGATGTCGGCCTCAAGCACTTCGCCCCCGCCGGTGCAGACGCCGCTCTCCACAAACCTGGCCACGTGGTCGGTCACCACGCTAGCCCTGCCCGTGCGGAGGGCGGCAAACAAGCTGCCGTCAGGGTCGAGGCACAGGCGCTGGTCCCAGACGCCGTACGAGGGAGAGAAGTGCGTGTCGGCGTCGACGTGATCCGGGCAGAGCTTGCGAGCCTCGGCGATGAACCGTTGCTTGGCGGCCGCCCTGAACCACTGCGCGTAGGCGTACACGACCGCGCCCTGCAGAATGGTCAGCCACTTCTGCAAAAAGTAGCCGATGCGTGCGCCAAAGAGCCGCTCCAACACGGAAAGCGCTCGGTCCTTCTTGTGCTTCGGAGCGACATAGTAGTAGCTCGGTGAGCGCTGTAGCATGACGACGCTCGTTGCGCCGCTGTCGATGAGGGCGGGCACCATGGTCACGGCCGTGGCTCCCGATCCGATCACGATCACTCGCTTGCCCGCGACGTCGAGCGACTCTGGCCACTGCTGAGAGTGCACAAAGGTGCCTTGAAAGCGGTCGGAGCCATCAAAGGCGGGCATGTGCGGCTTTTCGTACTGGTAGTAGCCTGTCGTCAGGATCAGGAAGCGGCAAACGATCGTCCCGCCAGCGCCCGTGGTCACGGTCCAGCGCTGCGTGGCGCTGGAAAACGAGGCCGAGACGACGTCGGTGTTCAGTCGGATGTGCTGGCGCAGGCCATGCTCGTCGACAGCGTCGTCGAGGTACTGGCAGATATCCTTGGCCGGCGCAACGATGTTGTCGCTCTCCCAGCGCTTCCAGCCGAATCCGAAGGAGAACACGTCCGAGTCGGTGCGAATGCCCGGGTACTTGAAGAAGCTCCACGTGCCGCCGAGTTTGGCACGGCGCTCAAGGACCGCAAACGTCGTGCCCCGGCAGTGCTTGGAGATGTGGTAGGCGGCACTGATGCCAGAGATCCCGCAGCCGACGACGAGGACGTCGATCTTCTCCATCGAGTCGGGTGACAATGAAGCCATCGAGTCGGGTGATGCCAGAGATGTCGACATGGCTTCGATCTTCTCCATCGAGTGACAATTTCGAGGTGGCTCGAGCGGCAACGAGGACGGCGTTCCGACTTTTGCTCCTTGTGTTTCTTTTTCAGTGTAACGTCCTTCCCCGTAGGAGGACTCTGCTGACAGGGTTTGCGATGAGGAACGACCCGAAGGGTTTCTCGGAGGTTAGTGCACCACTAACCGCCGAAGCGCAAGCGCTTGGAGCAAGAGAACTGCGACGGATCGGTCTCATACTAGCACCCCACCTCGCGAGCCGACGTTCTGGCTCAGCGAGGTTGCTGCGGAGCACTCGCGGACCGGTTCTTCTGGCCCGGCGAGGCCGCTGCGGGGCACCCGGCGGCTCGGGTCACTTCTCAGCGCAAACTCAGTCGAGCAGGAGAGGTAAGGTGTGTGTGTGTAAAGGCGGCGCGGCACGGTAAGGGTCGGTGGTAAGGCAGAGCGGCGGCAACAGACGGCAGGCAGGGCATCGGACGACGGGACAAACGGCACGGCGGGCGCGGCACTGTAGGAGCGTATGGCGGCACGGTGGTAACGGACGGCAGGGGGGACGGCGGGCTAAACGGCAAGGGCGGCGCGGCACGGAGGAAGGAGTGGCACGGTAAGGAGCGGCGACACGACGGCAGACCACGGCAGCGAACGGCGGAGCATTGGGCGGCGGGAAAACGGCTGTGGGCGGGGCGGGAGGGTGAGGCGAGGTGGCGGCGGTGGATCACGAGGAAGTAGAAGGTCGAGCGCGAGCGTGCGAGCGAGCGGCGAGCGAGCGGCTAGGCGGCGGGAGGGTGAGGCGAGGGTGGTTTTTGCTTGGCCCTGAAATTTAAAAAACCTTGCCGGCCATGGGAAACTAAAAAAGAAATCACCCGAGCGGTGAAGGTGAGGTACTATACCAACTAAAGTGATGGCTGGTGGTACTATCCTGCAACCACAGTCCTTCTTGCAGATTTTTTTTGTTTTGTTTCCTTCCTGTGACATGTCACATGACAGGCCACTCTCAAGCCCTACAAGCACCAGATCAACGACTTGGAGTGTTGACATCGTGATTTCCGCGGAAAATTTCTTTTTCTGCTGTGAAATTTCCGGCGTGAAGAGAGGGGAAAACCCGACGGGAGGGCCCAGATGGTACGTTGTGCTGCCAAGGTCTAGGTCTCCGGTGGTACGTTGTGCTGCCAAGGTGCGATCGATCGAGAGAGAGTGTGTTTGTTTTGTTGCGATCGATGACTGCAAGGACCAAGGTGTTAGCTCCCCGGCCCTGGGTGTGATGTTACCAACCACAACTGCACTCCAAGTGCTCCAGGTCTTCTTGGATTGATGGGAAGGCGAAACACAGTCCGACCAACGACTGGGACACCAACGCGGTATGGGTGGACGCAAGACCGAAGACGGGCGGTGAAGTCTTCTTTGGAGGCGTCGGACAGCGTGAACCGACGCGAGGGTCGGTCGGCTCCTAACTAACTAGCTGTATATAATTAATGCTTTTTGCACGGCTGAGCCCCCCCCCCCCCCCTCCCCCGCGCCCATTCCCTGCCCTCTCCCGCCACACACTCCGTCAGAGCCCCCTCCCCTCTCGCACAACAGGAATTCTGACAATTATCCAGTTGCAACATTCAAATCAATGGGCTCGCCCATACCGGAGTGGTTCGACTCCACGCAAACCCGGAGTGGTGAGGGGCTGGTCGTGCGGTGTTCTCAGGCCCAGTAAGGTAGTGCATCCGACGGTCCGGATCCTGCTGAACAAAGCTCCTCTTGTAGCTCGATCGGTCACACCGCCATCGCCGTCGGGGAGAGGGGGGACGACACTGCTTTGGCAGCGTGCACCTCGATCCTGTACCGTGTTTGTTATGACCCCCCCCAATGAACACACCAGTGAGGGTGGGCGAGACGATCGAGGGGTCCCGTACCATGCGGAACCGACCCTATCCAGTGCTCAAGTGCTCAGCTGTATATAGTCACTAGCTAGAGCTCACACTAGAGGCCGTCATCGCATTCGCCTTCCTGGTACCTACCCAGCGCTGGCTTCTGACTGTCGTTGCTGTCTCTCCCTTCTCGACTGTCTGTGCTTGCTTGTGCGTCTTGGGTCCGGGGTTGTGTTTTTGTGTGAACAGAATGTTCAATCTCAATGTCCAACCCCCCTGCGCGCGGGCCTTCTAGGCCCGCGGGTAGTCTCCCCCCATCCCCAGGGCCCCAGGCATACGACGTATTTTCTTGTCAATAACAAGTTCTGTGACACGATCGAGGGGTCCCGTACCATGCGGAACCGACCCTATCCAGTGCTCAAGTGCTCAAGTCTGTGAACATCCCCAGGGCCTCCAGGGCTCGCACCTCAACCTCTCACAGGCCAGCGCACAGCGCCATAGGACGTATTTTCTTCTCAATAACAAGGCTGTGAAGCGGGGTACCCCAACCTCACTCCACACCACCACCATCGGCGCTCGCACGCTCCTCTGCTCGGCCGCTGGACGCATGATCGGCCCGCCGCACCCCGGCGTGCCCCTCGCGTACGGCACGGCCGGCTTCCGCGCTCGGGCCGACCTCCTCGACTCCACATTCTTCCGGATGGGTGCGCTCGCGGTGCTGCGCTCGCGCTCGCGTGGTGGCCTGGCCGTCGGCCTCATGGTGACCGCATCGCACAACGCGGAGCCCGACAACGGGATCAAGCTCGTCGACCCGGACGGAGGCATGCTCGACGTTTCGTGGGAGCCGCACGCGTCTGCGGTCGCAAATGCGGCGGACGCAGACCTGGCGGCGGCGCTCGACGCGGTTGCCGACGCGGTGGGCGTGGTGTCGGCGGGCGGCGGGCGCGTCCTGGTGGCGCGCGACACGCGGCCGCACTCGGAGCGGCTCAGCGCCCTCGCGCTCGACGGGGTGAGCCACCTCGGCGGCGCTGGTGAGGACTTTGGCCTCCTGACGACGCCGCAGCTGCACCACATCGTCCGTCACGCAAACGGCGGCGCCGCCGGCGGGGCGCACGTGGGGCCGGCCGCGTGGGCGAGCGAGGGCGGGTACGCCGAGATGCTCTGCACCGCCTTCGCCGCCCTCCTCCCGCCAGACCTCGGTGGCGGGGGACTGCGCGCGCCTCTCACCGTCGACTGCGCGTGCGGCGTCGGAGGCCCGCAGCTCGCGCCGATCGCGCAGCGGCTCGCGCCTCTGCTGCCGCTGGAGCTGATCAACCGGCCGGGCGAGGGCGAGCTCAACGCGGGCTGCGGCGCCGAGTTTGTCCAAAAGGGCCGCCTCCCTCCCCGCGGTCTCGACACGCCGCCGCCCACCACCTCCGCCGATAGCGGCGGCGGCGGCGGCGGCGGCGGTTCGCGGCTGTGCTCCCTTGACGGGGACGCCGACCGCGTCGTGTTTCACTACTGGCGCCTCTGCGCCGGCGCCGTGCCCGAGTGGCGGCTCCTCGACGGCGACGAGATTAGCCGAGATTAGCCGGGATTTGCCGAGATTGGCCAGGATTGGCCGGGGTGGCCGGAGTTGGCCGGAATCGCGACTAGATCACTCGCTGCTGGTGCCCGCTGCCGCAGCTCCTACTCACACACACGGACGTGCGCGCAGGCGACAAGATCGCCGCCCTCTTCGCCGCCTTTGTGTGCGATGAGCTCCGCGCCCTCGAGATCGAGCCTGCGCTCAGCGTCGCGTGCGTGCAGGTGACCCCCTCCGCCTCTCCCGCTGCCTACCCCCGCTGCCCAGTCTAAGCATCGCCACACCCCGCCCGCGCGACCGCAGACCGCATACGCAAACGGCGCCAGCGGCGCGCACTTGCGCTCGCTCGGCGTGCCGACGCCGCTCGCAAGGACGGGCGTCAAGCACGTGCACCACGCGGCGCTGCGCTACGACGTGAGCGTCTACTTTGAGGCGCCGTTCACAGCCGCGAGGGCGGCGGCTGCACGCCGGGCTGCGAACAGCGCCGCCCCCTCACGCCAGCGGGCGTGAACAGGCCAACGGGCACGGCACGCTCCTCTTCTCGGACTCGGCGGTCTCTGCAATCGCCGCGGCGAGGCAGCGAGCCGAGGCGAGCGGCGACGCGGGTAAGGCGGCGAGCGCGGCGCGCCTGCTCGCGGCCAAGCAGCTCGTGAATCAGGCGAGCGAGGGAGGGGGCGACTAGAGGGGAACACGCGTGAGCGGCTGGGACAGACATCACTCCTGGCTCGCGGGACAGCTCGTTCGAGGCGGGCCCCGCTGCAAGACGGGGGCCCCGCTGCAAAGACGGGGGCCAGTCAGTCAGCCACGCACCTCTGGCGGGCGAGACACATGAATTAACTCATCAATGAATTAATTAATTCGCACCTCTGGCGGGCGGGACGCGGCCTCGCACACGCGCACCAGTCCTGGGACACGGCCTCTCTCCTGCGCACACGCGAGGGGACCCACATTCGTCGCATGCGGCGTCCCGTCTCAGCGGGGCGCTGCTGTAGTCGACAGCTCGTGCGCTCACGCCGCGCCTCCCCTGCAGGCGATCGGAGATGCGATCTCGGCCATCCTCCTCGTGGAGGCGATCCTTCTGCTGCGCGGCTGGAGCATCGAGCGGTGGGCGACGCCACCTCTAGCCCCCACCTTACCCTTCCTCCTCCCCCAACGCCGCGCTCTCCACCCCCCCCACCACACCTACGCCAAAAACGCGAACCATCGCCACCACCGGCGTCACACCCAAACACCGTCGCCGCCCGGCCTCTGCCGCCTCCAGCACCGCCCAGGTAGGCTCGCGCGGCTCGCCAGGGCGATGCGTCCGTGCGACGGCAGGTGGGATGCAATGTACGAGGACCTGCCGTCGCGCCAGGCCAAGCTCGGCGTCGCCGACCGCGCCGCTCTCCGCGTCAACGAGGACGAGACGCGCACGCTCGAGCCGGCCGAGCTGCAGCGCGAGATCGACGTGCGCTGCCGCCCTCGCCGCTTCCTCCCCTCCAGCCCACAACCTCGCCCCCCCCCCCCCCAACACACACACACACACACACACACACACACACACACACACACACACACACACACACACACACACACACACACACACACACACACACACACACACACACACACACACACCCGCGTCACTCCTCTCCTCCGCTGTCGCTACCGGCGCTGCGACTGCCAGCGCGGCACCGCCTCACTGCGTGTGCCGTGCACGAGCAGGACCTCGCGGCCGCCCACTCGAGAGGCCGCGCATTCGTCCGCCCGTCGGGGACCGAGGACGTTGTGCGAGTGTACGCCGAGGCGGCCACGCAGCAGGCGGCGGATGAGCTTGCCAGGAAGGTTGGGCAGGCGACGTGGCGGCTCGCGGGTGGGGTGGGTGAGCAGCCTTGAGCAGCAGCAACCGCAGTTCCCGCGCAGCCAATTAACTAAGGCTCGACGGCACACAGCATGTGCATGGCGTCGTCTCTCGCGAGGAATATACTACCGCGTTACTCTCATCGTATAAGCTAAAGCCGTAACCCCTATTGCTTATCGTACGGACAGGTCGGACTCGGAGCTCGGACGTCGGAGGCGGCGCGCGCACGGGGCGCAGTCCGCAGAGTCTATCTGATTCTCAGTCTGCCCGCGAGATCCGAGAACCGATGACTCGGTTCTCGCAAAATAAGTCGCGTCGTTTTATATCCGTGTGGTTACTGAGGAAAGATCGACGAGATCAATGCGATGCAGGCATGGGATGGCACCTGAGACGCGGTTTCAGAGCTCGCCCCACTAGCCGCGAGTCGTGAGACGAATAAAACTCGAGCATCGGCCCGGACTCATGAGTCATGTCCACATTCGGACGCGCTACTCGGACGGCTGGATTACGCGCAGCTTGTCGGCGATGAAATCGTGCATATGCTGCGGCAGCGACTCGGCAAGCAGACGGTGGTATATCTCGGCGGCGATCGATGCGTTGCCCATCTTGACGTACATGTTTGCCTTTGGGGAGGGAAGCGGGCGGCTCCGGTAAAGAGCTCGGCGAGTCGCCATCTCTTTCTCTCGCCCGCGCTGCAGTCCCTTGGGTGCGTCTCTCGCGCGAGATCGCGGCGCCAACACACTCGCGGCTACTCCTCGCGCTACTCCTCGCCGTGGAGACGAGAGTCGCGGGCTTTGGCAGCAGCAAGTAGGCGCGCTCAAAGCTGGTGCACGCGGACTGGTAGTCCTTCGCGTCGTTGGCGCGCCGCGCCGCCTCGAAGTGGGCCTGCGCCTTGTCGACGTCGGCCTGTGAGACGCTGCCGCGATTGGCGCGCGAGATGAGCCGGTCGACGTAGCGGGCCGTGTTTGTGCTCCCAGCCGCAGAGCTGCTGCTCACCTACTCGCAGCCGCGCCGCGCTGAAGGCCGCCGCACGTCGCGCCATCGCCCTGCGGCGGACCGCGCTCGCCATCGACGACGGGGTCGCCGGCCGCGAGGCGCCGCGAGAGGGGATGGCGGATGAGCTCTGCGAGTGGCCCGTCGCCGGCTGCGGCGGCTGCGGCGGCTGCGGCGGCTGCGGCGGCGGCTGCTGGCGGGTGGGTGGCTGCAGGCGGGAAGGGTGCTCGACGTGCTTGAGGGGCGAGGGCGGGCGAGGGGCGGCGGCGGCGGGCGGCGGCGACGAAGGCGCGGCGGCCGCGCTGCCGCTGCGGGCCACTGCGGCGGCGGCGGAAGCGGAGGGAGCGGCCCGCGGCATGACGGGGCGGGCTGCGCTGGCGCGAGAGCTCGCAGAGCTGTGCCGCGCCGCCGCTGTCCCTCCCTCGGCCGCCACTCTCTCGGCCGCCGCTGCCGCGCCAGCCTCGCCATGCCGCGCGCCCGCCGCCTACAGCAAAGGGGCGCGGCTGACGGGCGCCGCATCTCGGCCGCATCTCGGCCGCATCTCGGCCGCATCTCGGCCGCATCTCGGCCGCATCTCGGCCGCATCTCGGCCGCATCTCGGCTGCATCTCGGCTGCATCTCGGCCGCATCTCGGCCGCATCTCGGCTGCATCTCGGCTGCATCTCGGCTACATCTCGCCGCCGAGGCTGCCTCCCGCGCGGAGTAGAAGCCCGTCGACTTGCGCATCTGCGCCAGGTCGGCCTAGCGCCCGGAGACACGAACCGTCACGCGAGGGCGTCGCGCGCGAGCGTCGCGAGGGGCGGAGGCACGGCGAGGGCGGGGGCAGGGCGGAAGGCGGCGACGCGGCCGTCGCGGCGTGCGTAGGGGTGAGACGGCGGGGGCAGGGCGAGGGGCAGGGCGAAGCCTTCGGAGGTCGGGGCTGAGAGAGCGAGGTGTCGCGGCGGAGTGTCGGGGCTAGAAGCGGCCACCTGAAGCTGCGAGCTGCTCTGTAGCGCGGCGGCGAGGCGCCCCTCTGCCTCCGCCAAGAGCCTCTCCGCCTCAGCCCGGCGGGAGGCAGCCTCGTCGGCGCGACAGACCTGCATTGTGAGTACGCCAGAGGGGGTGGGTGCGGTCCTGTGTGGAGTGTATTGCGTGGAACACAAGAGCTGCGGATGCAGTGAGTGCAGTTGGAGTGCAGTTGGAGTGCAGTTGGAGACCATGCTCCGCATCTCGAGGCTGCAGTATTGTATCTTCCAGAGGCTGCAGACCTCGTCGCGCAGTGCTTCGGAGAGCTGACGTAGCATCGCCTGCAGAGGTGCAGCCGAGGTGCAGCCGAGGTGCAGCCGAGGTGCAGCCGAGGTGCAGCCGAGGTGCAGTCGAGGTGCAGCCGAGGTGCAGCCGAGGTGCAGCCGAGGTGCAGCCGAAGTGCAGCCGAGGTGCAGCCGAAGTGCAGTCGAGGTGCAGCCGAGGTGCAGCCGAGGTGCAGCCGAGGTGCAGCCGAAGTGCAGCCGAGGTGCAGCCGAGGTGCAGTCGAGGTGCAGCCGAGGTGCAGCCGAGGTGCAGCCGAGGTGCAGCCGAAGTGCAGCCGAGGTGCAGCCGAAGTGCAGCCGAGGTGCAGCCGAAGTGCACCGCACCTCCAGCGACGCCTCTCTCTCTCTGTGCCGCTCGACGAGGCCGCGCCGCTCCGCGCGCAGCTCCTCCATCTCCGCCTGCAGCAGCTCGCTCGCCGCATCCTCTCGGCTCCTCTCGGCTCCTCTCGGCTCCTCTCGGCTCCTCTCGCGGGCCCCTCCCCTCCTCTCCGCCTGCACCGCCTCTGCCTCTGCAGACAGAGTACCGAGCGCCCGCCGATGCTCCTCGCGCTGCCGCGCCGCCGTCGCCTCCGCCGCCTCGCGCTGCTGCTGCTGCTGCCGCTGCTGCAGCAGGTGCACCTACACACTCCGGTCACCTCTGGTCATCTCTGGTCACCTCTGCTCATCTCGAGCGATCACGAGTGATGTCGGGCCATCCGTGAGTGCGGCTTCGCCTGCGACTGCTGCTGCACAGCTACCTGCCGCCACACCTCCGCCTCCTGCACCGCCCGCTCCTGGAGCGCCTCCTGCTGCCCCCCTCCCCCACCGCCTCCTCTCCCACCGCCTCCTCCCCCACCGCCGCCTCCTCCGCCTCCCCCACCTCCTCCGCCTCCCCGGCTCTGCTTTGCCGCGAGGCTCAGCACAGACTCGACCAGCGCTGTGAGCAGCTCTCCCAGCGCCGGCTGCTCCTCTACAGCCGAGGGAAGCGCGGCCTCCAGCCTCGACCGAAGCCGCGCCGTCGCCGGCGGAGGAGGCGGCGGGGCACCGTCCTCCTCACCAGCCTCCTCACCAGCCTCCTCGCGGGCGGCGGCGGCGGCGGCGGCGGCGAGAGGGGCGGGCGGCGGCGAATACGAGGCGAGGAGCGGGCCCGCAGCGGACGGGTCGGGCTCCATGGAGAGGGAGCGCACGTGGCGGGAGCTCGACCGGAGCCAGTCCGGGGTCGCCGCGCCGCCTCCCGGGGTCTCTGCCGCGAGGGCGCGCGGGAGGCGAGGCGGGGTGGCAGCCAGCGATGGCAGCGGCGCGCCATGGCCGTTGGCGGGGCCAGGCGGCGCTCCGCCGCCCTCATCCTCGTCGGAGAGAGAGGGCGGCGTCGTCACCAGCGCCGCATCGTCGCCACCCTCGCCGCCGCCCTCGAGCGCAGTCAGCCTCCGCGCCGCAGCCGACCGTTCCGCCTCGCTTCCGACGCCAGCGGCATGGATGGCGCGGTAGATTCCCACGGCGCACGCCACGTCGCCCATGTGCGTGCGCATCGAGGCGACGTTGAGCAACGTGGACACTCGCGGACGCAGCCGAAACGCCGCCTCAAACTCAATGGCCGCTTCGGTGTGGGCACTCGACTGGTGGAGAGCGACGCCAGAGCGGTAGAGCTCTCCGGATCGGTCGGCAGTGGCCGCGTCGAGGACGGGCGGGGCCGACAGAAGAGAGACGAGCGACTCGCCCGACGAGGAAGCCATTTTTTGGAGCGACCGAGCGGGTTCACTTGCGTAAAGAAAGAAAACGTGCACAGCTGGGAATAGGACCGCCGCGAGCGGCGTGGCGTGGAGCGGTTGAGCATCCCTCCGGGGGCCCCTCTGCGCCGGGGAGGCGTTGTTGGAGGCTAGGACGCAAGCGTCCGTCGCCCTTTTCAAACTCGGGGCCCACTCCGCTACGCTCCGACCGACCCGAATTTGGAGGGCCTAAAAGTTTAAGGTGTTGCTGCGCAAAAGGGGTCGGACACAGGGCGCAGCTCATGCTAAGAGCTAGAAGGGGAGCTAGAGAGAACGACTACCCTGTCCCGTTTATTGCGTATACACCAACACCACAAAAGCTCTCTCTCTCCTGTCCTCACTCAGAGCACAGAGGGGGGTCACAACTACCGAGTCTCTCGACTAGCTGCCACGTTGCCGACCGAGAGCGGATCTCCTCCTGCTCCGCAAGGAGGGTGGCCAAGGCTAAAGTCTTGCCGGAGCCGCCGGGCGTGTTGACGACTTGGAGAAGGTCGCCCTTGTGCTTGTGCTTGTAGAGATGCTCGAGGGGGTGCTTTGTGGGGCGGTGCGCAGCCAGGCCAGCAGAGCTCGTCGGAGGCTGCGTCACGACGGGAGGGTCGCGACAGCAGTCCTCGGGCGAGCCGACGCGCATGTCCAACCAGCGCTGGGACTCGTTGTGACGGCAGACGCCGGCTGCCTCTCCAACCGCTTCTGCAGCGTCCTTCTTTGCCCGGTGCATGGGCTCGATCCGATTCCGCAGCGTGTCGTCCCCAGCGGGCGGTGCTGCGCGGGAGGCGGCCGCGGGCACGCTGGGCTCGATCAGCTTTCCCTAGCACGGATTTGGCGGACGTTCTTGGCTTCAATTTTACGAATGCTTGGCACCAGCTGAAGGCTTGCCCCCGTCCACGGCCCACATCACGCAGTTTCTGCACGGTATTCGGATTTTGCTATTTGTTCGTGTGGGGGTATATTGCAGATTTGTCAATGGTACCGCGTCTGCGACGCGGGCGCCTTGCGGGCAGAGCCCTTAGCCACCCTTCTTGCGCGGTCAAAAATGCTCCCAGATGACTGCTCTATTTATTTATTTATTTCCCAAAATCCACCTCTCTCCTTAAAATCCCTGTGTGGTGGCGGCGTGCCGTCCTCGCATCCCTCCTTTCCTTTGCTGTTTTCTTTCTTTCTCTTTGTACCAAGATCCTGCTCGTGCAGGTGGGGACCCTGTCCTCCTCCCATCCCTCGTTTGGCGTCTCCCGTTTTCTTTCTTTCTTTAGACAAGAACGACTGAAAAAAAGAGGATGTACCGTGGGTTGCGGGCATTAAGAAAACAGGATTCCGCAGCACGCCGCCGTTTCTAAGCCTTTCCACACCCCTCACCCACCCCATGCCGTGGTTTCTTAGCTCCGGCCGCACTCAGGCCAGAGCCGGCCCTAAGGATTTTTAGGTAAGAAAGAGGTGAGCTGCGGTCCGGAGGGCGATGCCAGAGTCTGCCGCCGAGTCGGCTCTCTGGATGACGCAGGCGAAGAGAAATTTTGAGCTGGGGCTCCCGTTCACACTCGTGTCTGGCCTTTTCTCGGCACTCGGGGCCGCGCCTGCGGCGCGCCGTGGTTTCTTAGATTTTTGCGAAAATCGCGAGGGGTGGTTTCTTAATGGGACGTTTTCCGCTTAAGGTCATTCACGGGTGTCCGCGGCCCACTGTGCCCGCTGGCTGACGCTGGTAGGACAGTGACCGCCGCAAACCCTGTGATCAGCTCCATGCGATCTCGGATATTTTTTGTAGGCACCGTAACACCAAAAAACTAGTATGTCTTGCAGTGAAAAGTAATCCGAGCACGCCCGCGGCCGCAATGAATTAAAAGGGGCGGTTTTCGAGGGGGAATCTGGAGAATCTGGGAATCGGCTCACCACGGATCCCCACCTCATCGAGAAACTTTTCACTGCAAGACATACTAGTTTTTTAAGGTGCTCTACAACTTAGGCACAAAAGATATGGCATTTGAGGCCATTTAGGGCCCCTTAGACGGTCACTGAGTAGGCCAAAATCCCCACTGGGCCGGGAGCAACCTTAAGGTCATTCACGGGTGTCCGCGGCCCACTGTGCCCGCTGGTAGGACAGTGATCGCCGCAAACCCTGTGGTCAGCTCGATATCATATCGGATATTTTTGTAGGCACCGGAACGCCAAAAAACTAGTATGTCTTCAAGGGAAAAGTAATCCGAGCAAACCCGCGGCTGATGGGGTTTTCGAGGGGAATCTGGAGAATCTGCACTGGGAATCTGCTCACCACGGATCCCCACCTCATCGAGAAACTTTTCACTCCAAGACATACTAGTTTTTCAAGGTGCTCTACAACTTAGGCACAAAAGATATGGCATTTGAGGCCATTTAGGATTTCTAGACGATCACTGAGTAGGCCAAAATCCCCACTGGGCCGGGAGCAACCTTTAGCCATTTGCACCGGTTAGTCAGCCGTAAAATGAGCTCCCTGGAATCTTGAACTATTTGTTCGCCCGCTCCGTTCTTCTCCGCAACGGGCACGAGCGCCTGGACGGTGTGCCGGTACGTGGGGCGCTGCGGCCTGGGTGCCTGCGCGACAGCATTGGAAGTCGTTTGGAACTTGACCCTTTTTAACCCCTGCTTCCCCGTCCATCCCCCCCCCCCGGTTCATTTATTTCGTCGCTGCGACCATGCGCGCAAGCGCGCGGCGCCGGGGCCGGGGCCGGTCGTGTGCTAATAGCCGGGCGGGGTGTTTGATCGGAACTCTGTCTCGGCTCTCGCCGCCACGTGTGCGGTGTGCCGCCGGCTCTGAGACCACGTGAGACTGTGAGAGCTAGGCTGGCCAAGAGAACAGCAGGACAAATCGCACACAACGGTGTTGAGATTCAAAAAAGTACCCGCCTTCAACTTTGACAGGGGGGCAGAGAGCCAGAGACTCTCGTTACAGTGCAACCCACCTCCACACAGGGAGCTAGCTGTGTGCGCGCGAGCGGTCGCGGCACAAAAAAAGGGAGTCAGGTCTCTATCACCGGGGCCCGAGCTCAGGCCTGCTGCCGCTCGAGCCTGCCGCCCGAGGTGAACTCGACGCTCTGCCGCTCCTCGTGGAGCTGCTGCGCAAACATCGGCTTGCCCCGCCTATTGGCAGTCGAGTGCCAGCGTGGAGACACGCCGCCGTCCACGCGCGAGCCGTACGGGCGTCGGAAAGGCGGCGCCGCTCCCTCGCCACCATGATGCACACGCACACGCCGAGACAGAGCAGGATGCAGAAACCTGCCACTGAGCCACCTGCCGCCGCCGCCGCCTCCGCGGTTGACACGTGCACGGTCAGCCCACCCTCCGGCGGGTGCACCTGCGGGGCAAAGGGTTGGGGGCGCTCAGCACGCTTCCTCTTTGGCCAAATCTCGGCGACACCTCCCACGGCTGCACCGTCACGCGCAGGGGACGGTAGGCGCTGCCCGCGGTTGCCTCCGAATAGAAGTCGCCGCCGAAATTGGCAACACTGAGCACGTACCGGCCAGATGGGGTCGTCCTGTTCACGTCGATGTGTTTCAGCACGGGGGCTCGTGTGGGCGCTGTGGTGTGGGGGGGGGGGGGGGGGGGCGTAACCGTGGCACGGCGCACGACACGCAGCTCTCGTTGTGAAAGTCGGCGGGCGCCAAGATGGGCTCCACACCGCGGTGCGTCCCGTCCGCCCCCGCCATGGTCGCGCCAGCCCTGACCGGCGTCAGCATGCACCGGAGCTCGGCAGAGGGCGCAAAGTCTGCGCCGCTGACGCGCACCGACGCGCCGGCGTGCACCGCGTCGCCTCCGCCTTCGATGGAGGCGGGCTGGGCGACGGGCGTACAGCGGCCAAAGTACTGGCCGCCCGCGCGGAGCACCCACTCCTGCCAGTCGGTGCCTATTTCAGTCATCGCGACCACTCCTCAAGCACCCGCGCGTCGGTCGGCGGCTCCTGCTCGGGACTGCGTGCGCCGCCCGGCTCGCAGAGCAGGTGGTTCTCGATCATCGTGATGTGCCAGCTGGAGGCGGCCTTGAGCCCGTGCGCGTCGTGCAGCATCCGGTAGACAGCGTCGGGCACGTTTCCCGAGAGCTCATTATGGTCGAGGTTGAGCGATGCGAAGGACTCCTGCGAGAGGTGTTGCGCAAAGCCGCGGATCTGCGGCCCAAAGGCGCCTGAGAAGCGGTTATGATCGAGGTACACGCGTTCGAGCGGCAGCGACGCGGGGAAGGTCGGGAGCGGCCCGCTGAAGCCGTTGAAGGAGAGGCGCAGCTCGCGCAACGAGCTCATCCCGTCCACGGCCCACTGCGGAAAGGGGCCGCTGAGGTGGTTCCGCTCGAGGGAGAGGCGCGTGAGGCGCTTGAGACAGTGCATTTCGCCAGGCAACCGGCCCGTGAGACCGGCATGGTCGGCGAGCAGCTCCTTCAGAGCCGTCGCCTCCTTGATTTCAGCGGGCAGCTCCGAGTTGAGAGAGAGGTAGTTGATCGCCAGCCGCTCCAGCCGCGGCGCGGCGACAAACAGGCAGCCCGGCAAGCCGACGGCGAATTCGTTCTGAGAGAGGTCGAGCTGGCGCAGCGGACTGTCGTCTGCGGGGCACGGGATGGGCCCCGAGAAGTGGTTGTGGGTCACGTCGAGCCGCTTGAGCACTGGCGACGAGAAGATGGCGGGCGGCAGCTGGCCGCTGAGCTGGTTGTTGGAGATGGCCAGCCTCTCAAGGGAGGTTAGGTCGGCGATCGAGCTGGGCAGCTCGCCGCGGAGGGCGAGGCCGTTGAGGTCGAGTTCGACGACGTTGCCGTTGTGATCACACGTAACGCCGGCGAGCTGCTGGCAGTCGCCTGCGCCGTCGAGCCCGGGCGGGCCTGGCAGTACGGCCGTCGGGTCGGAGGAGTTCGAGTCAAGCCGCGAGGCGAAGAGCCACTCGCAATAGGGGAGAGTGTCGTAGTTGCGCTCGTCGCCCGAGGTGTTGAAGCGCGCTTGGTGGGCGTACGTCTCGGCAGGGTCGAGGGTGTGCTCGAACGAGTAGCGGCCCGCCCGGTGGTGCTCACTCGTCCAGTGCCGGTTCACGTCCAGCGGTGGCTTGGAGAGGTCGAAGAGGGGAAGCTGCTCTTGCGATGGCTTGCAGGTGGACTCGTACAGCTCCCGCAGCGCCCGCAGCTGTGGCAGCGGAATACCGCCCCCTTCGGTGCGCTGCAGCACGGTAAAGGTGAGCTCCGCAGTCAGCACGCCTACAAATGACCAACCGGCAGCTGCCATAGCTAGTCGATCGGCGTAGACAAGCTACCGACACAGCTCACCGCTCTCGGCGTCGTCGTAGTCGTCTGCGAGCGAGCGGAGCGTGAGGTAGGCCCAGCCTTCGTTGATGGCCGGATCGGTCCCAACCACACAGTCGCGCGGGTAGAGGGCACCCTCGCCGCAGAACACGTTGGTCCCCTCCGAGGCGGTGTGGTAAAAGTCTCGGCCGTGGGTGTGGTCGGGCTCGAACGTGTAGACCGTCGCCGACTCGCGCGTGAAGTAGTTATATCTAGCGGCGAGGGTGGGGGCGAGGGCGAGGGCTAGGGTGAGGGCGAGGATGAGGGCGAGGGTGGGGGTGAGGGGAGGGGTATGGGGGTTTGGCCAGGGCTAGGGGGTTGTGGGTTTGGTCTGGGGTTGCCCGTTGTAGTCGGCGGAGAACTGGCCGTCGACGGTTGCCGAGACATAGTGTGGCACGACGTGCCAGTCGTAGAAGACGACGAACGGCTGGCTCGCCTCCCACTCGTACCTCAGCACCGCGCCGGCGGGAATCCATATCCGGCAATATGCAGACTCTCGCGCGTTGAGGGAGAGCGTGACGGGGCATCCGCTGGCGAGGGTGTTGATGCCACCAGCGCCGAAGAGCGGGATGTACTGACCCGTCTCATCCTGCGCCTCCGTCAGTCGGGGCAGCGCTTCGAAGTCGTCGCGCGGCACCAGCGCCTCCTTCCCTGGCCAGGCAGGGCAGGTTTCGTCGATCCTCGTCTTGGGAGGCGGCGGCGGTGCGGGACACGCGATGTGTCCCGGCGGCGGCGGGGTGTAGGGCGGATCGGGCGGCGACGGCGACGGCGGGGGCGGTTCAGGCGGCAGCGGCGGCGCGGCTGGAGGAGATATTGGCGGCGGTGGCGATGGGGCCGGCGGCGGCGGCGGCGGGGCGTCTGGCGGCGCGGGCGACGCCGGCGGGGCGTGCGGGGGCGGCGGTGGCTTGGGGTACAGAAAGCGATCGCCGCAGTCCGCGCAGTCCGAGCCGAGATCGCAAAACGACCAGAGGGAGCCTGCGACCAAGGCGCGTGGGGCGGGTTAATATGAAAAGCATACAATGCGCCACGCAGGTGGAGGATCGCTCTTTCGCTCTCTTCTGAAGCGCGCCTTCGCCGCCATCGTCGCACTCGTTGTCGTACGGGTGACTGCATGTGTTGGTGCATACTGTCGCGCTGCTCTCACCGCCCACGTGGGCTGCCCCATCAGACTGCGAGGTGTTTCCATTGCCCGCACCCTCCTCTGACACGCACTGAGGAATGTCGCAGAGCTCCCACCGCACGTCGGGCGAGACGGTGTAGCACCACGGCGCGGGCTCTCCATCAGGGTTGCGGCAGTAGTTGGACGGCAAGTCGTGGTGGTGTGTGTGTGTGTGAGGCGTATCTTCGGCCCACGGCTGGCAGGCGGTGCCGTTGGCGGTGACCGACACATTGCCGGTGTAGGTGGAGCCGTCTCCGACGTAGCAGTCACCCGCCTCATCAGCGAGTCGGCGTATGCCGTGCGCCCTGGCGGGCGCCAGCAACATGAGCAGCATCTAAAATCCTGGCCCGCCAAACACCCACAACTCCCAACAACACGACGGACGCTCGTGGGAGAAAGAACGCTCGCCCGCTCGCGCCAGACCTTCTACCTCCTCGTGATCCGCCCGCCGCCACCCTCGCCTCGCCCTCCCGCCACCTAGCCTCTCGCTCGCTCCTATCCGTGCCACGCCTATCCGTGATCCTGCCGTTACCGCGCCGTCCTTGCTCCTCCCTGCCGTGCCGCTCCTTCCTCCGTGCCGCGCCGCCCTTGCCGTTTAGCCCGCCGCCCCCCCTGCCGTCCGTTACCGCCGTGCCGCCGTACCGCCGCTACTACAGTGCCACGCCCCGTGCCGTTTGTCCCGCCGTCCGATGCCCTGCCTGCCGTCTGTTGCCGCCGCGCCGCCTTACCGCCGACCCTTGCCGTGCCGCGCCGCCTTTACACACACACCCATACTTCCTGCTTCGACGGGGGTTAGTGTTGAGGAGTGACCCGTGCCGCCGTGTGCCCCGCAGCGGCCTCGCTGGGCCAGAAAGTCGGCCCCGAGTGCCAGCAGCAGCCTCGTTGAGCCAGAACGTCGGCTCGCGAGGTGGGTGCTAGTATGAGCCCGCTGAGGCGTAGTGCTCTTGCAGAGGCGGTTAGTGGTGCACTAACCCCGAGAAACCCTTCGGGTCACTCCTCATCGCAAACCCTGTCAGCAGTCCTCCTCCGGGAATGTACGTAAGAGCCACATACATTGAAGAAGAGGAAACGCGAAAAACCAAGAAAAGGAGTTTTTCTTGGTGAATTCTCTAGGCACAGGCGAGAATGCTAGCACGGACACGCATCGCCGTCGCGAGCGGCACGGCGGCGCTCCTGTCGCGCCACCGCTCCGTCGCCGAGCTCCTCTCGGGTGGCGAGGCACTCGGTGGCTCCGCTGACGAGGAGATCTCCAACTGGTCGGCGACGCACTCGGCGATGCCGTCGCTCTACTTTGAGCCGGACTCGACGGATGCAGTCGGGCAGGTCATCGCCTTCATGCACGCGGCGGGGCAGAAGCTTCGCGTCGTCGGCTCGGCGCTCTCTCCCAACGGGATTGGCTTGTCAGACGGTGCGATGATCAACATGGCCCAGTGCTCCAAGATCCTCTCTGTCGACCCCGAGCGGCGGCAGGTGACGGTGCAGGCGGGTGCGCGCGTCAGCGAGGTGGTGGAGGCGCTCCGCCCTCACGGCCTGACGCTGCAAAACTACGCCTCCATCGCCGAGCAGCAGATCGGCGGCTTTGTCCAGGTCGGAGCACACGGCACGGGCGCCGCGATCCCTCCGGTGGACGAGCAGGTGGTGAGCATGCGACTGATCACGCCCGCGCTGGGCGAGATCTGCCTCTCCGAGGCAGACAACCCGCGCCTCTTCCGCCTGGCCAGGGTGGGGCTCGGCGCGCTCGGCGTCGTCTCCGAGGCGCTCCTCCCACTCCCTCGCACTCTCCCTCGCTCTTCCTACGGCCCTGCGCTCAACGCCCGCTCGCTTTGGCAAGGTGACTCTGCAGTGCGTGCCGGCGCACAAGCTCGTGCAGCGCGTCAGCGTCGAGACTCGCGCGGGGATCGCGGAGAGGTGCACTAGATGCTGCGGAGGGCAGGATGCTGCGGGAGGGCAGGCCCGTGCAGCCCGACTCGCGCTCGACGAGACACGGGCTCGGCCGTGCTCGCCGCTGTATTCCAGCGCGTATCCGAGTGTAGTCGCAGCCCTTGCCTGCGCGCGATGGTCGGAGCCCCACCGCACGACGCCGTGCTCCCGCCCTCAGCTCGAGGAGCTCTCTCTGCAGGCGAGGCATGCAGAGCTGCTCCAGCACCAGCACATGCGGTACATGTGGATCCCGCACACGGACACGGTCGTCGTCGTCACCTGCGACCCGCTCGGGGAGGGCGACGGCGGCGGCGCGCCACCCCCTCCCGTCGACGAGGCGTGGGCGACCGAGCCGCTGCGCGAGCTGCTGCTGCAGCGCGCGCCGGAGCAGGCGACGGGCGCACCCACCCCTCCCCTCCCTCGCGCCTCGGCTCCACCTCGGCTCCGCCCGGCCCACATGCCTCTCTGTGTGCTCCCAGAAGGCCGGCGCGTCGGGGATGAACTTTGCGCAGCTGCGCGACGCATTGCTCGAGCTCGCGCCGCTCGACAAGTCGCACGTCGCGGATGTGAACCGCGCCGAGGCTGCCTTTTGGAAGCGCTCGCAGGGGGCGCGATTCCCCCGAAGCCAAGCCCCCGCGCCCCCCCACCGCCTCCCCCGCCATGCCGGGCCGGCTCCTCCGCTCGCAATGCGCTCGAGACGCGCCGGCCCCTTCTCGCAGGCGCGTGTCGACTGGTCCGACCGGATTCTCGGCTTTGAGTGCGGAGGGCAGCAGTGGGTGTCCGAGGTGGCGCTGCCGTGCGGCGCGGTCGGCGCCTCGGACGGGCGCGTGGCCTGCGGGAGCGAGCGGGCCGTGTGAGGGCGCCGAGAGAGGCAGCCGACGCTCCGCCGAGAGCTGTAGGCGCGACTTGCAGTACATGACCGACTTGCTCGCCCTCATCGAGGCTTCGGACATCCCAGCGCCGTCGCCGATCGAGCAGCGCTGGTCGCGCCGCTCTGCGTCGCCGATGAGCCCCGCCCACTCGGCGGGCGAGGACGACCTCCACTCGTGGGTGCGCGCTTCTCTCGTACGCTTGCGGGCGCGTCCCCCTATCATGCCACGCCCACGCCATGCACGCGCCTTGCCGCAGGTGGGCATCATCATGTACCTCCCTATCGACCGGCCGGAGGCGCGGCAGGCAATCACCGACGCCTTCTGGGACTACAACGCGGTCTGCCGCCGCCAGCTGTGGCCCAAGTACGACGCGCACCAGCATTGGGCCAAAATCGAGCCGCCAGCGGACGCCGCCGAGCGCGCGGCCGTGCGGCGCCGGCTGCGCGACCGTTTCCCGGTGGGCGAGTTGGTGGGCGGGGCCCCATCGCGGACCTGCCCCCGTGACCGCCCACGACTCGTCTCGCGCAGGTGGACGAGTTCAACGCGGCGCGCAGGGAGCTTGACCCGAAGAATATTCTCAGCAACCGGCTGCTCGATGCGCTGCTCGAGGCGGACCCGTGACAACATCGAGTCTCGGACGTCTCGCGGCGACACGCGGGCGTGTGCGGTGTGGAGAAGGGCACATTATAATGGATACAGCTTTCTACAAAAGACATCGCAAACCCCGTCAGCAGTGGAATGTACGTAAGAGCTACATACACTTAGGGCCTAGAGAACACAACGCCCCTCTCCCGGTCTCTCCCAGTAAGCTAAAAGTACCAGTGCACTGAAAGAAGCTGAAGATAGAAGTGTCCGCTCTCCCTTCTCGACTGTCTGTGCTTGTGCGTCTTGGGTCGTCCGGAGTCGTGTTTTTCTCTGAAAGAAGGTGTTTATCTGAAAGAAGGTTCACCCTCATGCCCCCCGAGGCTGTCTGCTCTAGCCGCAGCCACTCCCAGCTGCTCGGTGTGAACAGAGTTCGTACACCGAGCAGCAGGGAGCAACTCGAGATCCCTCGAGAGTTGTGAGTTCACGCGGAGTCGGCTGGGGCTATACCAGACAGCCCCCGAGGGGTCCCGAACCAGTTTGTCGACAAACTTATGCCAGAGCTCCTGCTGCTCGACTGAGCGGCGGAGCCGGCCCCTCGCGGCCGAGGTGTGATGCGCCAGCACCGGGGCAACAACGCGGGACCGTTTCCGGGCCGTCTCGAGCAACCTCAAATTTTGATGGTTTCATGACCTCGCCACTTTGCGGCTCTTTGACATCCACCTCGCGGCCCGCTGCGCGGCTCCTCGAGCGCGAGAGGAGTCGTCTGCGAGGCGGCGGGAGCGCAGGCGGCGCAGGCGGCGGCGGCGCGGCGGCGCGGCGGCGGATCGCGGCGCTGACAACGGCAGCAATCTGCGGCAGGCTGCTGCTTGCTGCTGCAGCAGCTGCTGCTGCTGCTGCTGCTCCGCTGCTGCTGATTGTGGACACGATTCCCCCGATCACCCCGCCCGCCCGCTCCGCCCCGCCCACCCGCCGCTCCCCGCTTGCCCGCCCGCCCGCCCGCCCGCCCGCCTGACCGACCGACCACCCATTCCCATCACCATCTCACATACCTTCATATAGGCGCTCGAGACCTCCTCTCGCTGCCTACTTGCTGCCTCGAGGGAGGGGGGGTAGAGAGCGGGCGTGCTTGCGCGCCTTCGCCGCGAGGCCCCTCCCCGAAAGGCAAGTATTAGCCACATGAAACCGAGACCCCCCCCCACCACCCCAACCCCCCCCACCCCCTTGCTCCCCTCCCCCCCTCGGGAGGGCCGAACTGAGGCGCCCGTGGGGACCCCGCAATTCCCTTCCCCCCTCGGAGGGGGCCGGACGAGGCGTACCGAACCCCGAGGGCCCCACTCTTTCCTTCGCATAGCGGCCACTCTTCGGATCGCTGGTCGAGCGACCCGGGGGATGGGCCATGCCCCGCGCGCCTGACCCAGGCGCGAAAACGAATCTGCGAGGCGTGGCCGCTCATGCGGCCCGATGGGGAGGAGCGGGGCGGACTACGGGGATCGGCTTCTTACACAGCCCTTCCCTGCAGCGAGCCCCCTCCAACCCACCCGCGCTAGGTCTCGGGGGACGCAGGGGTCAGCCCCGCGCGACCTCGGGAACTAGCCGGGGCAGTCGGAGAAGGGGCACCTCCGTGCACTGACGGTCGGCCGTCAGAAAACACGCCTCCGTGGCTCGGGTTACACCAATCCTCGCTACCCAACGCGGCCAAAGGATATCCACCTCGAGAACCTCGAGAGAGAGGGGTCCCGTCCTAAATAAATAAATAAAAACGGACACCTCTCTACTGTGAGATGGGTAAAAAGGAACAGGCCCCCGCCCTTGCGATCTTTGTGCAGGGTTCTTTGTGGGTGTGGTCGGCGACTAGCCGGGGTCGTCCTCCCGATGGGGGACTAACTAGCACTAGCCGTCTTCCACATGGTCCCTCGGGTCCCTGCTGCTCCTAATCTCGTCGTACATCCTCCTGCTGATCTCCGCAAAGTCCTTGTGTGTTGTGAGAGATAAGTTATCATGATAAGGCGATTCACAGTGCCTTGCCTCCCCACACTTGTCTGTGTGAGTGTGATAATTGGGGAGACGGTGTGAACGGCGTCTGATCTAAAGCCGTATGATCAGCGTCTTCCTATAGTTCACACAGCAACTTTTGGTTTTGCTTCCCTGGTCGTACCCGCTCGCGCGCGCGTGTGGGCGAGGCATGCGCCATGTGCTCGAGAGCGGCCGAATCACTATATAAGGCACACCTTTATGATGGAACAATGCTAGTAAGGTACACTTGCAGGGAGAATCGGTTTACAAGAAGAGGGCCCTGGTAGCTAACTAGCAGTCAAAGACAGTCTTATTTAAGATACCAGCACGCTCTTCCGTTTGTCGCACATGCCCCCTCCGCGCTGCCGGTGCCGCGCAGCGCCCGCTCAAAGAGCTCGAGATAGCCCGCCTACTCCCCAGAAGAAGCCGCCCGTGAAACCCCTCGCTGCTCCACGAGCCCAGGGAGAGGGGAGGCGTGTGTGGATCCTGCACGGCCCACACAAGCAGGTGCCACACGCTGTGGCTGTGCAGCGGCGAGCGGTCAAACGCGGACGACGCGGAAAACAGGCTCTCGGGCCAGTGTCGCAGCTTGAGCAGAAGCGCGGCCGGCAACACCGCGGCGGAGAAGAGGGCGGGGGCGTGGCCCTGCGCCGCCGCGGCGACAGTGAGGGCGTACACGGGCAAGATCGCGGCGGCGGAGAAGACGAGCCGCGGCGGGCTGCCGGTGCAAGCCTGTGCGCGGCCACTGCACGTGTGAGACGAGACGCCGTTCACAGGCTGCGAGGCCGGTGGCGCGCCTGCACTAGTCCCCCGAGTCTACTTCCATTCGGCGCATATCGGCGCATCTCGGCGCATCTCGGCTGCTCTCGGCGCATCTCGGCTCTCGTAGAGTCTCAAAGAACTCAGCGCATCTCGGCGCATCTCGGCGCGCATCTCGCCGTGATGAAGTCCTCGGGCTCGTAGCCGGGCGCGTCTGCGATCGAGCCCGGCAGCATGAGCCGCACCTGGCAGAGGGGAGGCGTGATCAGCCGAGATCATCCGAGATCAGCGAAGCTCTATCTCGGCTGCGAGGTCTCGGCTGGATCTCGGCTGCGTCTCGGCTGTCTCTCGGCGGTCTCTCGGCTGCGTCAGAGCTGCATCTCACCGCGCCGCCGAGCAGCAGCGCGCTCGATGCCGCTAGTATGGCGGCCCACGGGTGCCAGAAGGCGTCGAGGCCGAGAGAGGGCGCCTGCTCGACAGCTGAGCGCGTGAAGGGGCGCGGCGCACAGCCGTGCAGCCAGGTTGAGGGAGAGATTTCGAGGCCCTCCTCTTTGCTCGCTCCTCTTGGTATCAGCCCTCGCCCCTCGTGTCTCTGCGCGCTTCACTGTCTGTCTCAGTGAGCACGAGTCCCTCCCCCCGCCCCCCCCCCACACACAGAGTCCTTGTGTGTGGTTTTGACGCCACGTCCCTTGTCGCTGTCGCTTGGGCGTGGGTAGGGGTCCGATCTTGGAGTTACGGCTGCCGACTACTATTCATATTTAGGGGAGAGGGCGCGCCGCGATGAAGGCCATGACGGGGCCGTTCCACAGGAAGTTGATGAGCACGCCCGCGTAGTCCACGTGCCACACCTGAGAGAGTGTGGGGGGGCGGTGGAGCGCCCACTGTGCTACGAGGTCCTAGTGTGGATCTGCGGCGGTTGTCCACACCCCTACTCGGCCTAGTGTGAACCCTGGCACTGCAAGCGGTGGCAATCTCCGTCTCGAGGGCAGGCCAGAAGGGATGGGAGTGCTTTTCGTCGTGCTTCACCGTGCGGGAGGCACGCGGCGAGCAGCACGTAAACGTGTGAGAGAAGAGCGACGTGGCATGCTGGAGGACGGTCGCAAAGATGCACATCCGGACAGCCTCCGAGAGAGCTGGCGCCGCGCCGCCGCCGCCCCTGTCAAGACCGCTGCCGCCGTCGGCAGTGGTGGCAAGCCGTAAAGCTTCGGCAGAGAAGTAGACGAGTGGGACTATGTCGGTGGCGAGGTTGAAGAACTCGTTGTGACTTGGGTCGAGCGCCGACGCGGCCGCCTGGCCGACTGAGAAGTTGACTCTGAAATGAGACGACTTTGAGAGGTCAAGGTTGTACCCGGGCGGGATCTCAGAGAGGTGGACGATGTTTGGCCTGAGCGCAGGCTTGAGCGACGCTGGCTTGCACATCGGCGTTGGCTCGACCGATCGACGCTGGTTGCACCTTGGCCCGACCCGATTCTCCGAAAATAAAGGCGCTCTCAAAAGCACAACACTGTGCGAAAAAAGAAACAACCGCACTGGCTCCTCATTCTCGGATCACCTACCTGCGGCGTTGGCGGAGGCGGCTGCAGCAGCACGCAGCAAACAAATGGGCGGCGGCGCGCGGGCGGCGGCGGCGGCGCGGCGGCGCTGCTCCTTCTGTTGCTGCTGATGATGCTTTTTTCTTTTGCGAGGCGACGGACGGCGGGGGGCGGGCGGGCGCTAACCACGGGCAACTACGTGCCGGAGGTTCAACGACGACTACTCGCGCCGCCTGGGTCGTTCGGGGCGCGCGGCTCCGTCGAGGACCGGGCGCGCCCCATACCCGGCGCGGCGTAGGTCCCACTCTGACGCAAAGGAGGGGGGAGGCACACGGACGATAGCCCGATCCATCAACTACATTCATCTTCTGGTGCTTAGCGCCGTGCGGCGGCGGTCCGGCAGGCAGGCTGCCCCCAAGGCCCCCTGGGCCGCTGCGGGTTTAAGAGTTATTTATGCTTAGGCACAGCTTCGGCGATGGCAGCCCCTCTCTGGGGTGTTGCATAGGCGGAGTCTCACTGGTCGGGATTTTAGCCCCTTCCGCCCCCTTAAGATCCAGTGCTCAAGTGCTCAAGCCGGAAGCTCCGAGAAGTTGCTTTCCCCGCGTGTCAGTCTCGAGGTAGTCGATGCCAGGGCGTTGGCTGTACCCGCAGGCGACCCAGCGCGCCTTGAAGCGGTCGACGGAGCCGTCGTCCTTGTAGAAGACACGGAAGACTCACTGCGGCACGCTGCGGATCGAGACGCTCTTCATCTTCCTCGCCGACTGCAAGCCAACGACGACGAGCTCGAGCGCTGGGACGTCGTCAAGGCGTTCACCTCCACCACCAAGCTCGATGTCGAGATGTACGTTGAGCAGCCCCACGGCTTCGTCGACCCAAAGTTCAAGGCGTGCCGTCTGCTCAAGGGCCTCGAGGGGACCAAGCAAGGTGGCGCCATCTTTCAGAAGGAGAACACCGCCGTCCTCAAGGCGTGCGGGTTCGAGCAGTGCGCCGCCGACCCAAACCTCTTCCGCATCATCTTTGATGACGGAGGCTACATCATCGCCGTCGTCTACGTCGACGACATCTTCGTCCGCTACCAGAGCCCGACCAAGGGACGAGTCGACACCATCCACATTCGCGCGCTACTGCCGCTCCTTCAAGGCCACCCGCGTCTCCGAGCCGAGGCGCATGGTTGGCTTCGACATTGCTCGCGATCGACCCGCCCGCAAGCTGCGAGTCTTCCAGACCAACTACGTCTGCGAGCTGTACAAGAAGTACCTCAGCTCGCAGTGCTCCAAAGACTTCACCACGCCTGTCCAGTCGTCTCGCTGCCCCGAGTTCATGGCCATGACAGGGGCGACCTGCGAGGAGGACGACCGCGCCGTCGCTGACAAGCCCTCCCTCCCGCTCATGGGCGGGCTGAACCGGATCGGCGGGACGCGCCCCGACATCAAGTTCTACAACGCGCGTCTCTGCTGCTTCATGCACCGACCAAAGATCGAGAACTACGAGGCCGCTCTCGCCGTCCTCAGCTACCTCTACACGACGCGCGACCTTGGCCTCGAGTTCAGCGCCTCCTCCAATCTCGACGGGGTTGTCTACTGCGACTCGTCGTACAACCAGATTCCCGACACCTTTTACGGCCACGGCGTCTGGTATGGGGGAGCGCCCGTCGCGAGCTGCTCTCGCGTTCTACGGCTCCGCAGAGCTCCTACGAAAGCGGGTCCTTCGCCTACGCTGGCGCAAGCATGTCCCTTTTCGGTTTTGCCAGCAGGTCGCTGTCTTTGGCGGATGTGAGGTTGAGGTGTTCACAGTCCTCCGCTGCCGGCGAGGCGGTCCGCCGCGCTCCACAACCCTTGGCTTTGGACATGGCATCCAAGCCTCGCTTCACCGGCCTCTGGGCGCCGACGAGCGCTCCGGTGGGCGCCGCGGGGACGAAGCCGAGCGTGAACGCGTCGGCGCTCGGCCGTGTGATGCGGCACGTCGCTGCGCACAACAAAGTCGTGGAGTGCGAGGAGCTGTGGGACGCCCACCGGCGGCAGCAGCAGCAGGAGTCAGCGCACCCCGCAGCGACAGATCCGCGCGCGCGGCCGCCGCGCGGCCAGGATGGGGCGCGCAAACGGCCGCGCGACGAGCCGCCGGGAGCGACGCCTGCAGGGAGCACCGCCGCCGACGCGGCCCAGCGGGAGCTGCGCGAGGAGCGGGAGCGAGCAGCGCAGAGGAAGCTGCAGCTGCTCGCGGCGCGGGAGCAGCAAGCGGAGCCGGGCGCGGGCGACGAGCGCGGGGAGGACGACCGGCGGAGGCAGCGCAAGGCGGAACGCAAGGCCAGGAAGGCGGCAAAAAAGGCGAGAAGGGCGGCCAAGAAGGAGCGCAAAGCCAAGCGGAGGGAGCGCAGGAGTAGTAGCAGCAGTAGCAGTGGGAGCGACGGCGAAGGCTGACTGTGTCACCCTGTGTCAATGCCCAATGCGACCGTACAATCTCCATCGACCGTGCTCAAAACTGCGGCACGGCACACCATTTCGTGCATTTAATTTGATATTTCCACTGGGTATCCTGTCCTCGATGTAAGATGGCTGGTTTGGGGCTGGAGATTGGCTGCCCCTTTTTAATTTGACTGTAAGAGAGACGATGTGTCGCCTCGGGTCACGACCGCCTCTCGGTCTCGCACGCCACACACGCCAGCAGCATTGCGCGCAAGGTCGCCTCGTCGAGGTTGCGGCCGATGAAGACGAGTCGGCTCTCGGCCACCTCCTCCTCACCCCAAGGCCGGCCGCGCTCCAGCTCCCAGGTCTCATGCACGGCCTGCAGCGTGTATCTCGCGACCACGCCCCCCACCTCCTCGTCCGCCACCGCCAACTCCCCCTTTGCGCGGTACACCTCGACCGCGTCGGCCGGCCCCGCCGCCTCGCCAGCGGTGCCGTGGGGGGCGGCTGGCGGCGGATCGGCGTCGTCGTCCGGCCAGAACAGGCTCGCCAAGAAACCCTGTGAGAGGGGGGGGTTTGGGGGGGCTCCACTCGACAACTCAACAACAACCTCGGCTCGACCTCGGCTCGACCTCGGCTCGACTCAAGCCGTGTCATCTCCGTGCCATCTCGGCGCCATCTCGGCAGCATCTCGGCAGCCATCTCGTAGGCCCGCAAGAGCGCACGCGCCTGCAGTAGGGGCAGTCGCAGCGGCGCGCGCCCGAGCAGCAACGTCACCGTGCCGAAGCGGCGGTCGGCGTGCAGCGAGACGGGGGAAGAAACGGGCGAAGTGGGCGCGGCGCGGCCCTGCGCCACCCGCGGCGCACCCTCCTCCCGGCCCGCCTCCGCCTCCTCCTCCTCCTCGCACTCGCCGCATGCCGGACCTGCGCCGACCGCCCGCCGCGCCGTCGCGGTCGCAACCTACGCCAGGACCGCTCGGACAGCCTCGTGCGGCGCTCGGCGAGTCCCTCCTTCGGCCGGGCGAACACACGACCGGAGCAGTCGTCGCCCAGCCGCACCCCGGCGCGCGCGGCAGGAGAGGCCTGCATCGCGGGTCGACCAACGGGGTGTGCAGAAGCCTTGCGGGGTTCGTGCGCTGCCTCCAGAGGATTGGGTAGGAGAAAAGAGGGTGCTCGCTTGAAGACGTGTCCTCTCGAGCGCTGGTCGGAATACGCGGGTGCGTCCTCGGCGTCTAGCGGCGGAGGCCCTTCGCGCGCGTAGGCTCTGCGGTTGAGGATCGAAGCGACGGGCAGCTGCGAGTGCGACGCGCGCAGCTGCGGCGCGACCGCGTTGATCGCCCGCAGCCGCGCGCAGAGCCGGTCGAGGTCGACGCCCGCCTGCAGGGGAAGCTTCCGAGACGGTTCCGAGACGGTTCCGCGCCGAGCAGAGGCGGTCGAGGGCGAAGCCCGCCGACGCCGCGTCGCCACACTTGTTGAGGACCTAAGGCGCGGGCACAGAGATGGGCAGACCCAGAGATTGGCGCACCCAGAGTCGCTCGCCCGCGGACGTGTCGCGGGCGCGTGTGTGCGCTCGTGCCGCGCCGCCGCGCTCGAGGCAACAGGCGCACGAGTGTGTCTGCCGAGGCGGTTTGCCACTCTCGGCTACTCTCGGCGGTCATCTCGCGCCATCTCGGCTAGAGGCGCACGAGTGAGTCTGCCGAGGCGATCTGCCGGGAGCACTCGACGGTGTGTAGCTGGCGGTGGGCGTGGACAGCCTAGCGGGTGGCCACGCAAGCGGCTGAGGGTGGGAGTACCGGGCCGACGAGGACAGGCCGCACGGCTGCACTGAGGACAGTGTCATGCAGCCGAGTACGCGTCTGGACGAGCGCCGGCCGGAGCGACAGACCTCTGCGGCACACCGCCTCTGCGGCACAGCGCCTCTGCGGCACAGCGCCTCTGCGGCGGGCATCTAGGGGCGGACTGCGTCGACAAGCGTGATGACTCCGTCGAGCTCGAGAGGGGACTCGAGCGCGTCGTCCAGCCATAGCGACGCCGCGACGGGGCCGGGGTCCGCCATGCCTACAGTCCTCGGCTAGGTTAGGGTTAGGGTTAGGGTTAGGGTTAGGACGGGGCCGGGGTCCGCCATGCCTACACTCCTCAGTGGCGCGCCTCACCTCCCCGGCAGAGGTGCGGGAGAGAGAGGGGAGCCTCGCTCTCTCTCTCTCTCTCTCTCTCTCTCTCTCTCTCTCTCTCTCTCTCTCTCTCTCTCTCTCTCTCTCTCTCTCTCTCTCTCTCTCTCTCTCTCTCTCTCTCTCTCTCTCTCTCTCTCTCAGCGGCGGTGCGCGCGCCCGTCGTCTCGATGAGGACGTAGTCGAAGCGCCCCTTGGCCTACCGTCTCAGATGCGGGCTGATGTCGGGATGATTGCCCTGCAGCCCACACGTGGCCAGCCGCACAATACACAACCACGCTCCGGCGGCACACGGCCGGACATATCTCCCATCTAATGTGTTCGTGGCCTCCATCAGCCGCTCGAGCGCAAAGGGCAGCTCGTCGCGCACCTCGCAGCAGACGCACCCGTTGGCCAGCTCCATCCACCGGTCAAACGTCTCGCCGCCGGGACCCTGCATTGTCGACGCCTACCGCGGCGCAGCGGCGGCGCAGTGCAGTGAACGTGGCGGTTGAGAGGGCACGCTGGTAGCTGGCTGACACAGGCACGCAGGCGACGTGCAGTCACCGGTGCACGGCGCCGGGCAACACGGGCTGGAGATGCGGCTCGCACCTCGAGACCAGACGTCGCCGAGAGCTCGTTTTGGATGACGGCGATGCGTAGCCCGTGCTTCTCCGTGAGGAGGTGGCGCAGCAGCGTCGTTTTGCCAGCGCCGAGGAAGCCGGTCAGGATGGAGACCGGCACCGACGACGATTCGCTGGCCATTGACAGCCTAGGGCAGCCACGCCCTGGTCCTCGGCCGGGCACAGTTTTTCTTTTGGAGAACAAAAATCACGCCGCAACCGAGCCGGGAGAAAGGGGAGTGTTGACAGCTTGGGATGCGGATGGCAACAGTCCTCAGTCGAGTACCTCGCACTCCATGTGCGAGAAACAGGGTAAATGTAAGCCGATGGCTCACAGGCCACTCTCGCGCGAGCTGACCCTCTACACCGCAGCGACCCATTCTTCTCCAACCAGGGTTCCGGCTCCTACCCGGATAGGGGGTCTGTTTACCACGGTGACACCCTATGCAACAGGTAGGTAGGTCCGGTTTTGACCGCCCCAGAGGGCCCTGCAACAGGTAGGTACCCCCTCTTTTCGTCTTTTTTCGCTTCGCTGCGCGGCCTGGGGATAGATAGGTAGGTAGGGCGTTTTGGCGCGAGTCGTGGTAAACAGACCCCCTTTCCGGGTCGGAGCCGGAACCCAGAGCCCCTCGGCCGGGAGTAAAAACGTATCCGCCTCTCGACACCCGATGAGAGCCAGGACGCTCAAGGGTATGAGGCCGTTCGACGCCAACCCCGGCGCGTGCATGTTCGTGCAGCCGTCTGACGATCTCCGCAACTACCGCGAATGTCTCCGCAACAAGCGCGTCTTTGTCGGTGGAAACTCCGTTGCACGACACCTCGCTTTTGCAATGGCTATGCTGCTCAGCGGCAACAGGCAATGTCTCCCATTGCGAAGCTTCCTAGTCCGCGAGTCGTCCGTGATGCGGAGAAGGCCTTCTGCGGCACAGGGTCCTTCGGTCGCGAAGACGACGCGGCCGCTTGCGAGTTCATCGTCGGACAAAACACAAACATCACCTTTGGTTGGGAGCAGCGCGTCTACTACACCGGGCTTTGGCACGGGCTAGCTCAGCTTCAGCCAGACTTGCTGCTGCTGCACGCGGGCTCGGACGACATCTTCGACGCGGATCGACGAGACGGCTGGCACTTCAGGCAGCGCGAGGGGGCGTTGCTCGCGCACGCGCTGGCCAACTTGTCACGCGGCATCGTGTACTGGAGGACGAGCCCACGCGTGTGCAACTCGACGCTTGGCCAGACTGCTAGCGTGCTCAACGCAGCGCTCCAGTCCTCCAATCTGCTCCTCCTCTCGCAGCTCTGCGGCCAAGAGACGATCAAGGTCCGCAACCATCGCCCCCCCTTGCCCCCCCCCCACCCTTGAGAAGTTCACCTTTCCTTACCTTGCCAAGGTCCGCGTGGCGGATTCCTTCTCTTGGACGTTTGGCTGATGCGACGAGTATGACGACAGCATGCACCACGCACTGCTCGCACACGATCACGTGCGCTCAGTCCTAAACGACTACTGCGCAGAGACAGCGCCCCGCGTAGCACTAGCAGCCCCAGCACCCCGCAGCAGCGCGGCGACGGTTTCTCAAGTAGGCTGATAGCAGGCTGGGGAGAGCAAAATTAAATGAAATAAAACGGTCAAACTCTGAGGCGAGATGGGATTTAGGGACATGTGCCCCCGCCCCCTGCACCATATGCATATCCCGCACTGGACTGAAGGATCGTCGTGGGTCACTGCCGAGGCCCCTTCCTTATTGTTGTTCAGCCGGCCTAACGTTAGCTACTGTTGTTGGGGAGCCCCACTGTTGTTCTGTTGTTACTGTTAACACTAGCAACACTGTTCAGCTCCCAACGTTGAACAGCTCTACGTCTTGGGTCGTCAATCCCCGCCTAACGACAACATGCGGCGTACCGGCGACGGTGTACATCAGTCGCCTTATGCCACCGTTGCATACCCGGATATGCAACGGTGGCATAAGGATATGCAACGGTGGCATAAGGCGACTGATACACCGTCGCACAACTATTGGGTCGCGAGTTTCGAATTGCCCGCAGTTCCCAGTTCGACTTCTCGGCGCAATCGGGGCGCAAACACCCCCCCAGTGCCAGACGGGGGCCGGTTGTCACTGGTTCGAAACCCACCTTAGCAATCACCTGCTATCCGCCGGTGCCCAAACGGATGCATCTCCGCACGACCCAGGAATGCAGTTTTGCGACGGTGTATCAGTCGCACCTTTGCTTTTGCCACCGTTCTCCGTTGCGCAGGACGCCTCTCTGCGCGGGGGCGTTGGGCGATCCGGGTGTTTTTCAGTCGCCTTAAATGCCACCGTTGCAATATCCCGCGTGTCGGATTGCGGATATGCAATTGTGGCACATAAGGCGACTGATACACCGTCGCACAACACAGGATATTTCGGAGTTTACCGGGTTGGCATTTGCCGGATTTTCCGAGGTATCCTTTCGGGTATTACCTGCACTGGACGCTAGAAGAGATCGTCGTACGACTCCGCCTGGCAGCCGCTGCCTCAAGGCATCGCCACAGTCGACAGCGGCTTGCCCGCCTTGCGCGAGCGGCTCTCGACTGCCACGAGCGCCGCCTCGAGCTCGGAGAGGAGCCGCTTCTTCTCCGCGCGTAGCTGCAGCGCTAGCGCGCGCCGCGGCGGGCAAGCGGTGGAACGCGCCTCGGCGAGGTCCGCCTTGCGCGCGCCCCCCATCGCCGCGCGCGCCGCCTTGCAGTACGAGCGGAGCGCCGCCCAGCAGCGCGCCTCCGTCTCGAGCGAGACGGCGCCGCGCAGCCGGGCGAGGTCGCCGGACACCTGCGGGCAAGTTCGGGGCACGCTCCGCAGGAAACTCCACGCGCGCAGCCGGGGCGAGCGGCGCTGGGCCGCGTCCTCCACCGAGCCCAGAAGCAGCCGCAGCGCGTGCCAGATCTCGGCTGTATCTCGGCTGTATCTCGGCTGTATCTCGGCTGTATCTCGGCTGTATCTCGCCTCCTCCACCGAGCCCAGAAGCAGCCGCAGCGCGTGCCACGTGCCTTGTGGCGCCCCGCGCGCAGTCAGCTCTGCCGAAGCGAGAGAGGGGCCGAGGCCGAGCGAGTCGATGAGGCCGACCCGCCGAGTCACCTGTGGGAAGGCCCGGGGACCACCACTTCCGAGCAAATTCACGCCGAGCCGAGGAGACGTCCCCGCCGAGTCACCTCCGCCTCGCCGCCGCCGCCGCGGAAGCTGTCGCGCGCCACCGCAGCGACGTGCTCCGGAAGGCCGACGGCGAGGAAGGAGTCGTGCGGGTTGGATGCCTAATCCATTCCTTCCTCGGTCGGGTCCCTTCCTTGCAGGATCCATTCACAGTCGCGCGGGCGGGGCTGAAGGCCTCGACAAAGCCAAACAGCTGCAGGAGCGCATCGTTGCCTTTGTCGCCGTAAGAGATGTACGCCTCCTCGCCGCGCCGCAGCGGCGCGCCCGCCGTCAGCACAAACGCATTCGCCTGTAGTAAGACGCAGGCGGTGTGAGGAGCCGCGGCTGGGCGCAGGACGGGACGTCTGTACGCGGCCGCGTGCATGCCTGCCGGCCCGGCACGAGTGGCCCCGCCCGCCTCTGTGGTGCGTCTAGGAAGTGTCCAGGAAGTGCCTAGGAAGTGTCTAGGAAGTGGCCCGCCTGCCTCAGCGGTGCGGTGTGGAGCGGTGTAGGCGTAGGTGTGGCGTGTGGGTGTGGCGTGTGGGTGTGGCGTGTGGGTGTGGCGTGTGGGTGTGGCGTGTGGGTGTGGCGTGTGGGTGTGGCGTGTGGGTGTGGCGTGTGGGTGTGGCGTGTGGGTTTGACGCGCTGTGTGTGTGGTGAGGCACGAGGCACGCCTCCGGGTCAAAGGAGCAGCCGTTCACCGCCCCGGACTTGTGGTTGAACGAGTCGAGCATCGGCATCAGCGCCATGGCGAAGGAGGGGTCGTTGACGGGCTCGCCGCCGATCGCGCCCTTGAGGTCGTCGAGGGAGGGCAGCTTCGGCATCCGCGTGGCCACCTATGGTCGAGCCTCCGCCGATCGCTCGTCAGTGAGTCCACGGGAGCCGCTTCTCCGCAGCCGTACTGGACCACGGTCGACAGCTCCGACCTCTCCCACGCCTGCGCACGAGGACAGGCGAGCTGGGGGCGGGAGGACGGGCGCGCGCAGCGTGCTCCGAGCACCGCGGCACACGGGCTACGAGTACAGCGGGTACAGCGAACGGTCAGCCGAGTCTATCCCGAGTGCCAGTCGGAATACAGGGCATCCGTATTCGGCGTCTGGGCTCGGGCGCCTTTTGGAATCCGCTCTTCGGCGGCGGCGGAGGAGGCAGCGGCGCCTGCGTTGGGGGAGCACAAGGGCTGGCGGTGCAGGGCGTGGGGCGGAAATGAGCGAGGGCTGGTTGGGAGCGAGGGCCTGTCTGTTGTCTCCCGCATCTATCTGGTGCATCTATCTGGTGCATCTATCTGGTGCCGCCCGGGACCCCATCGCACCCGACGTGGCGCCGCGCTCGCCCTTGTTGATGTCGGAGGCGAAGGCGCGCGAGAGGACCAGCTGCTGTGCCCACGACAGCTCCTCTAGGGTGACCGAGCCGGCGTCGGCCCCTCCACCCGCGCGGAGCGCCTCGAGCAGCCGCCGGATCGAGTCGCGCTGCTCTCGAACCGCCGCAGCGAGCGGCGGGTAGCGCAGCTCCGCAAGCTCGGCGTCGGTCCAGTCGAGGAGGCCGTCCTCGAAGCTGGCGGGCGAGGGCAGGTAGTCGATGTACCCGCAGATCTCCGACGCCCTCCCGCGACGCGACTCGGCGAGCAGCCACACCGACAGCCGCTCGTGCCAATCGAGGCTCGCCCAGAGCCGAGTCGGCGCGAGCCGCTCGCAGGGAGAGGCGCCCGCCTTGGTCGGGTCGACCGCCAGCGAGGCCAAGTCGAGGCAGCGCGTGCGCGGCACTACGCACAGCACCTCGCCCTCCTCCACGTCCGCCGTGACGATGACGTTCCGGAGCTCATCTGCATCGTCGATGCGGATCTTGGGCGCGACGATGCCAGCGCTCGAGGCCCACCCCTCGAACGAAGACGCGATGCCGCCGGCAGGCGGCGGAGTAGTAGAGTAGGTGAGAGCGTGTAGCGGCGATACGCGAAGCAGGAAGCTGAGCAGGAAGCTGAGCAAGAAGCTATCCCGCATTTTTGAGCAGCGGAAAAAACTCGGCGTCGTTGAGCAGACGAAAGGTATCCGCATTTTGTAGCGCCCCAGGAAAGGTATCCGCATTTTAGGCTCAACCACCCTTGCGCTCCGCCCCGCTCCCCTCCCCTTGCTTGTGTCCAGCCTTAAGTAAGGTCCCTCGGGCCAGTTTCGGGGGGCAAACCCCGCCCGGCCCCTAGAACCCCGGGTAAGGCCCAGGTATGGCCTAGGGCATCAGAAGGGACCAAGAGGAGTCCAGTCTGAGCCATAGAGCCCATGTCTTTGCCCCCGAAGGTCGCGTTCAAATGCCCGGAACGGCCGTCACAGTGGTGTCCGGCCGGCGCGATCACCGATTGAAGGTTGTGCGTTGTGTTTTGTGTTTTGTGCGAGGCAAGAAGTCAAGGAAAAGCAACTACTACGTAGCGGGAGAGAGGGAGGGGGGGGGGGGCGGGGGGGGGGGGGGGGCGCGGTCGCCGACGACGGGCACACCTCATCAAACCATCCCGCTCGCGAGTTTGCGCGGGAGTTGCGCAGGCAAAGCCAACGTCTTCATGCCGCTAAACCGCGTGTCCACCCTCACCGACCTGAGCATTGCACCAGCGCCGCACGCGACCGCCCCTTCCGATGCCTATGCCGCTGACACGACGGCACTGACCGGGCTGTCCCTGCTGGGCAAGCCCCTGCTCACGGCGCCTGATGCCGTCAGCCCGTTGGTAGTAGCCGCAAGGCGGCTCCAGTTGGTCGAGCAGCGGCTGGCGACACCGGGCAAGCGCGGTGGGGATGGAAGTCCGTTGATGAGCTCTTCCTTTGGGCCGGCGGGCCACCCTCTCGCCTACCAGCCCCAGGTGCCTCGTGCGCCCCCACCCATCAGCAAGCACCGTAGCCGCAAGCATCGGTGGGGAGCGGCTGTCGCTGCCGCCTCGCACCTCGCTGTGAGGGAGGGTGGGCAGCGGGCGGTGCGGTCATCTGCTGGGCGCGAGCGCTCGTCAGGAGAGGGCAGGCCTTGCGTAGCTGGGTGAGACGTGGGGACCTGTGCAAGCACTCCTTTCCGGTCTCCTGTGCAACTCACGTGTGTGTCCCCAGCACGCGCAGCAGAGTGCAGAGCACGCGTGTTGACTCTGTCTACTGGTGTGCTGTTTACGTACTTATACGCGCAATAGTCAGGCACTTGGGGGGGATATGCGCCGCGCCATCACGTCGACGCCCAGGCCGCCCCTCCCGCGCCATGGCCCATGGGTCCCGCGCCCCTGTGTGTGGCGCACATGGCGCGTGGCGGTCATGGTGGCCCGGTGCAGCCATCTCCCTTCTCCCATCTGCCATGCGGATTGCGGTCGGCACGTGGACCGCACCCGCAGTGGGCCATGGTACGCACGAGCGGCACGAGCCGCGAGCGCGCCGCGCGCGGCGCGGGGCGCGCAGCCTCCACATCGCACATGCAAGACCCCCGATATGCGTCTTGATAGCTCTACCCAAGACAAAGAATGCAATACGGTCAACGAAGATGTCTCCCTGACCCCGGCACCCGGCGCTCGAAGATCTGCCTCCTGGAGGCCAGCTGCCGTTTCGCCGCCGCCGTCAGCTGTCTTGGCACGCAACCGGGCTCCACCAGCAGACCCGCGCTCGGCCTCACCTGCCGGCCTGGCCGCTCCGCGCAAATCGGCTGCACCGGCGCAGCCTCGCGACCAACGCGAGCGGGTGCAGCGCGGCGTGGCCACGCGGACCACCCTCTGGCTGCGCCGCCCGCGGAGATGCAGGGCGAGGGCCGGGAGCCCGACACAACGAGGGCGGAGCGATGGTAGCCATCGGGCGCCACGCGAGCCGACGCCCGGATGGGAGGGAGGGGCTGGATGCGAGACGCCTGCTGTGGCGCGGGGCGCGCCCGTGCGCTGCCCAGGGCGTCGAGTGGCGTCCGCGCCGCTGCGCCATAGCCTCTAGTACCAACGCAGCGTGGTGGTTGGTGGTGCACTGGCGGCGGCTCTCGTGCGGAATGGCGCGAGAGGAGCTGGCGGGCAACCATCCGCGGTAGCACCTGGGTGGGGAGGAAGGCGCGGCTCGGGCCAGGGCGGAGAGTCGTGGCATGGGGTTCGCGGGACGAACCACCTCGAGCAGGGGCATCAGAGAGAGCCACCAGTTGCGGAGAATGGCGCTGGCCGAGTCCTCGCGCATTGCCAGCGCCGGCGTGCGCGGAGGTAGCCCGAGGCGATGGCAAAGACGCAGCTCGTTGGAGGCGTACCGTCCCCCCAAATCGGCGCCCCTGCCTCGCCTGCCGCTCGAGCCCTCCGCTGTGCCAAACTCTGTTGGGCTGCGGAAGCCGCCGCTGCCGTCGCCTTCACCGCCGCCGCCGCCGCCGCCGCCGCCAACTTCACCGCTGCCGCCGTGTGCCGCGATGGTCTCGATTAGCGTGCCGTGCGAGGCTAGCAGCTCCTCTACGTACTCGGCGCCCTCGCCAGCGCAGCGAGGCGGCGCAGAATCTCCCATCGCGCCAGCCACCTCCGGCTCCTCCGTTGCCTCGTCGGCGTTGTAATGCAAGCGACAGGCCACTCCTCTGACCATGACACCGCCTCCATCCTCCGTGAGCCGCGGGGCGAGGTAGGAGGCGGGGCTCGTCGGCCGGCGCCGCGGCGCAGCCCTGCCTGTGCACCAGTCGCTCGACCCTCCAGACTCCTCTCCGCTGTTGGCAAGGCTCGTCAGCCCTGGCCCGCCTGGCTCGCCCTCCCTCTCGCCCGCGCTTCCTATCCGCGACGCGTCTTCCAGCGGGGAATGGCCAGCGACGCAGAAATAGGCCCGGCGGCGGGACCACTGCATCGCCTCTGCGAGGTGCGCTGCCGCCCCCGCCCCGCCCTCCGCCACCACCAGGCCGGCGTGCAGCGTGCGGTCGACCTCTCCGAGCAGAGCCTTGGGAGGAGAGTCGGGCGAGGAGGTTAGGAGTGGGAGGGGGTTAGGAGTGTCAGGGAAGGCAGGGTTGGGGGCGGGGCCGCATACGCCGCGAGGGTCGTGGTGTGGTTGGCGGCTGTTGGTACCTCGAGGGATGAGCGGGTGAGAGACTCGTACTCGGCGTCGTAATCGCCCTCCTCCTCGCGACGCCCGCTGTCGTGATCGAAGGCAGTGCGCGTAGACCGCGCGCGTTCGTGCCCGACCGTCGACCCGGCCATCCGCGCGTTTTCCCTCCGCGCGTTTCGCTCTCCCCCGTCGTTACACGATCCGTTACACGGAGGTAAATTAGGCATCAGTTTTCTTTTTCGATTTCTTGGATCTCAGGCGAAAGAAAGAAAACATGCGCCCGATCTCACTGCTCATTTCGCTGCGCACTATGCTTGCCCTCGCCTCGGCATCGTACGGCCTCACGGTCGGCGTCCCGGCCGCGCCCGCCGCCGGCCGCGCCGCCGCCCCGACGATGGCGGCGGCTGAGTCGCGGCGCAACGTGCTCGCCGCCGCGCTGCTGCTGGCGCCGTCCGCGGCCAACGCGATGACCATTCCCGGGTTGAATGCGCCGGGCCTCGTGCCCGCCACCAAGAAGCCCGCCGGCGCCAAGCCCAGCTTCGAGTCTTACCGCGACACGTCCCACTTCTGGTCGTCCCAGGGGGTGCGCACCGCCGCCCGCCGTCCGCCGCTCGCCCACTGCCGCTCGCTTGCCGCTCCTGCACACATGCGCTAGCAAAGGGGGGGGATGTTCCCGCCTGCTCCCGCCTGCGCCCGCTCTGAGCGCTGCTTCCCGCCTCGCCGCAGATCATGGATTCGGTGCCGAAGGTCAAGGGCATTGTGACGCCCAAGACTCCTGTCGGCTACGGCGCCCCAAAGGCTCCCGAGCCGCCCGCCGCGTCCTAGATAGCGAGAGGATGCGACCGCAGTCTCGCGCTTGAGAGCGCAATCGTGCGCGCTCCCGGGGCGTTGCTGGCCTGGGCGCTTGCCGGATGGTTGTGTCGTGCCCCTGGTGGCGTACTCCTTTTTTTCGGACAGCCTCGAGCCTGTCAGCTGTGGCCGTCTCAAAAAAACGTCTGACGCCTCTCAAAAAATTAGGCTAAGAAGGGGCACGCCGCCGCCTCATGCCCCCTCTCGGATGCTCACCGCGCCCGGATAACGCCGCCTCTCAAGACGTCCACCAGTGCCTGCTCCTCCGCCGCCGCCTCGAACGAAAGCGGGGAATCTGCAGCCGCGTCGTCGGACGGCGAGGCGCTGCGTCCCTGCATCGCTCTCACCTCTTGTGTGGTAAGCGGCGCGCCGATCCCGCCGTTGCCTGCGTCGCCCGGCCCCATCCCAAGCGCCACCGCGACGCCTGCTGCAAGCAGCGGCGGCAGGAGGAGGGCGGCCCCTCCCAGAGCTGCCTCCGCCAGCGGGCGTCCTCCCCCCCCGCCCTCGCACATCGCCGGCGGCGGAGCACGAGGCGGCGGCCGCGGCGGCGCTGAAGGGGGCCGCCGCTCCCGCAGCGCCGCCCGCAGCGCGGCGTTCTCCGCCAGGAGCTGCTCCCGCAAGGATGGCGTCGACGAGGCCGCCGCAGCTGGCCGGCCGCCGGCCGCAACTTCTCGAATGTCGGCCTCCAGCAGTTGAGCCGAAGAGACGCCGCCATCCTCTGTGCCGCTCTCCACTCTCCCGTCCGCTGGAGCGACTATGTGCTGCACGCGACCGACCACGCCGCCCTGCAGCATCACCTTGAACCCTCGACTGTGACGACGACTGCGCGTGAGCACGCGCGCCACTGTGCCGTTGGTTAGTAGACCGCTCGCGTAGTCGACTTTCTGCACCACGGACACTCGGTCGCCGACTGCTGGGTATGCCGTCGGCGTGGGGGCAGAACGACGACGAGGGCCGGGCTGCCGGCGCGGCGCCGCGAGGCCGGCGGAGTCGGCGACGAGCATGAGAACGAGGAACGAAAAGCCCGCCAGCAGCTGCATGGCGGAGCTTTGCTCAGCTCCACGTAGAGCGGCGCGCACACGACCAAGCCTCCAGCTCGCTTGTGGGCGTGAAGTCTGGCGTATGTACCGTCGGGTCTCTATTTTAAGATGAGGTAAACAGCAATAGATCCGGGTGTAGTGCCGGATCATTTCCTGGAGCCAGGGGGACCGATTCGCGCTTGCCAAGGGACCAATTGCTGGAAGCCCGCGCAGCCTGCGCTCCGGCCGGCAGAGGGCTTGCGACCCGTGGCAGGGTGACAGCCCGCCGGTGGGCGAGCCAAACTCTGGCGGAGGCAGCCCGCTCAGCCCCAGGCGCCCCTCGAACCGGAGGGTGGTCTGCCGCCGCTGCGCGTTGGGCGCGCCGAGGGCGGGAGACATCAGCTTCGCGCCACAGGTGACCTGGGGGAGGCCGATTCTCGGCAAGTTGGCACTGGCGCGGCTTCTTACCTTCGACGGGAGGACTGCGTGCTGGGGGTGATCGAGTCGTTCTACATTGTGCAAACGGGCGCGCGCGTGAGCGTGATTGACGAGTGCAAGCGTTCGTGCATCACCGAGACGGATGTTGCCCGCCTTTTCAACGCAGTCGGGCGGCGGGTGGCTACGGGTGTTCCGGGCGAGGACACCTTCCCGATGGGCGGCTACTTCAATGAGTTCCGACGCGAGGGTGTGAGCGTGGAGCTGGTGCGTGAGCTGCGGACGGTGGTCACAGGCGCAATCGCTGCGATCGGTGGCGATGTGTCAGCGATCACGGCGAGCGCAAATTCATTCCGCAAGTGGTACAGCGACGCGCAGAACGCGACGGCCGTCGCCTTGCTTGGGCGAGGCGGTGCGGTGAACATTGCGATCATGCGGGCTGCGAAGCAGGTCTTTGCCAGATGGTACTGTCCGGGAGGGCGGCTGTACGTGCCGGGAGCTATGAGCGAGCTCGCGTCGCCGGCGGCCTTCGGTGATTTCGAGGTGCCGGGTGGTTGGTGACTGACTGGTGTGGTGCTGGGGCATACTGGAGAATACTGGAGAATACTGGCGGATACTGCACCGCTGCTTCCGAGCGAGGGCGTAGCGTAGGAGCCGGGCTGAAAAGGAGAAAAAAACAAGTGGCGCCTTCCCCTTAGCGCTTACTTAGCATGTACATACTATTATACTGCTTAGGACTGGTGGATGAAGGACTGTCTATTGGGATTGACCCCATAGGGAAAGTGACGCGATGGCATCGTTTGTGGCTCGGCCTGGCGACTGGCCTGCAAGGTCCACCGCGCGCTTACAGCCAACCAAGCGGGTGGGCGGCGCGATCGGCCAAGCTCCTGGCGGCGCTACTGATGAGCCAGCGGCTGATGTGCGACGTCGACATGGTCGAGGAGCAGCAGTTGAGGCCCAACAACAGTTGGCACCCGGAAAGTGCAGGCAAAAATAGTACCGGTAATAGAGCAGTTTGGTCGGAGGGCGCCCGGGTCGCCCCGGAGCGGCAAAAGTCGCGAGCGGCAGTCCAGCCAACTGCCGGCTCGCACGGCAGCCTCTTCCTCTGGACCAGCCTCAACTTCCGTACAGTCAACATTTTGTCGCTGCGTGCTCGTGGCGAGCTGTGGCGGCGGTCGAAGTTCGCCCAGATTCGGTGACGAGCGCCAGACGATAGTACCGCCTCTGTTCGCGCCCTGTGCATGTCAGGCCAGGCTGCAGCAGGGCACTACCATCGTGCTGCCCTGCTGCAGCCTGACTTTGCCCACTGTGCACAGTCGCCAGAGCACCACCACCGCCCGGAATCGTGTCACGGCGAGCTCCTTCTGCGCCCGCTCGCGAGGCTCTCGCGCTGGCACACTTTGGCCATCTGCTGCTCGCGTTCGGCGAGCTCTTCTCCGCACTCCTGCCACGGTGCCGTCACCACACACCTTCTGGCCGGCCTGAGCCGCGCAGGGTCGCCGGCGGGGGCAACGTATCGACCTCTCTCTCTGGTGCACCACGGGCCGCGACGGCTGCTGGCAGCAGGCGCGAGGAGGCAGTGTGCCGGCACAGTCGAGCCGGAGCATCGGGTTCTTGATGCTTGTGGGGTCAAGTCTGACCTTATGTGGCATAATATGCAACAATAAGGCTATGCTATCTCCCGGCTTTTTGAGATATGATCCCTCAAAGTCGAATTATGGTTTACTGGTGGGACCACATACCGTAGTGTCTGTCTTGTTTTGCGTTTCTTCAAACGAATCCTTTAAAGTCTCGACAATCACTGAGCTGCTTATGTGGCACCGCAGAGGCTCCCTTGGGGATGCCTGAGGCCACCCCAACCACTCACCAAGCCTTACGTGGGCGTATTCAAACCTACTCTTATGGTTTACCCACATATTATGCGAGTACTTACTGGGAGAAAAGGGAGAGTGGCTGAGTGGGTTGTGTTCTCTACACTCTAGGCCCTTAAGGGCCCTACGCGCGGCGTGAGAGCTCGGAAGCGAGCTTTGCACGGCGACGTAAGAGCCACATACACACACTGAGACACACAGGGGAGAGAGAGAGCTCTCACGCCGGCGCGTATTGCAATAGGGCCCTTACCTAGGGGCCTACCTAGAGAGCACACACCCCTCTCCTTTTACTCCCAGTAAGCGAAAAGTTCAAGAGGGAAAAAAAGTACCAATGAAAAAGAGAGAGAAAACATGTTCGTAAGAACAACACATACACTGAAAGGGAGAGGGTGTGTGTGCTATCTAGGCCCCTGTACACTGAAAACGTGAAAAGAAGAAAGAGAGCCGATTCTAAAAGGGTTAGTGCCAGTGCGCGCCAGTCCCGTGGCCGTGCCCAGTAGAGTTTTCTCGTAAAATTCTAAAGGGTGTACCTGTGTTAGTGCCAGTGCGCGCCAGTCCCGTGCCCAGTGTTGTGCGAGGGAGTTTTGTTATAAAATTCTTCCTACCGTTGTAAAAATTCTAAAGAAAAGAAAAACACGGTCCCGGCGGCGACAGCGAGCGGCTCGCAGTGGAGCATCGGGTCGTCTCGAGACCCGCAGAGTGGAGTCTCTGGAAAGATTGTCCAGAGGATTAGGCGCCAAACGCGCCATGAGCAAAAAGAAGTCGTCTCGGCACGGCGACGAGACGGGCCGGTCAGCCCGGCACCGCGTGAGCAAGCTGGCGTCTGCGATCGCAAAGCGCGAGCTGGCCAAGGCTCGCACTCTCCTAGCGAGCCTCGTCGCTGAGCCGGCGGCGGCAGAGAGCCTCCGCTCCCAGCTGCGCGCGAAGCCGCACCGAGGCATCGCCGAGGGCGACACGCTGCTCCATCTCGCCGTCAAAAGCGGCGACGCCGGCCTCGTTCGGCTGCTCACGGAGCACGGTGCGGACGTGAATGCCGCCGATGCGCGTGGGCGGCTTCCGGGTCACGTGGCTGGACCCGCCGGCGCGCGCGCGCTCCTCGAGGCGGCGGCGGCGGCGAACGTGCTGTTGGACCGCGAGCGTTGCGACGACAGCGGCTGTTCGGCGTGTGCCGCCCGCCTGAACCGGCGCCTGCAGAGGCGGTGGGCTGCAGCCCTCACTGCCGACGCGGAGTGCCGCTCAGGTGGACGACGCGCTGTACCTGGCGCTGCGCGAGGGCGAGGGGCTCGAGGAGGACGAGGGCGAGGCGAACTCCCGTCTCTCACGCCGCCGCTGCGTGTGATACCGGCGGAGCCACTCCTCTGCCGCATGTCTTGGCTGTAGGAGGCGGCGGCGCTCTACCGGCGCGCCTTTGGGGGCGACTACGAGGGGCTTGGCGCCGCTCCGCCGCCGCCCTCGGAGGAGTCGGCATGGCGGGAGCGGCTAGCCGAGGAGAGCGGCCGTGGCAGTGCTGAGGTGGCTGGCGGGTGAAGGGTGCTGATGTTGCTCGCGCCGGGATGACACTGTAGGAGAGCTACTTTGAGGCGGCGGAGCGGGGAGAGACGTCCGGCGGCGGCTTCGGCTGGGCGGGCGACAGCGAGGAGGGCGGGTACGCGTCGTGGTCCGACGATGGCGGCGGGGACTGGTTCTCGGAGGTTGCTGCTGCGATGGCGGCGCGGCGAGCGCAGCACGCGAGGGAGGCGCGAGAGGCGGCGGCGGCGGCGGCGGCGGCGGCGGCGGCGGCGGCGGCGGCGGCAGCGGCAGCGGGCGGGCACGGAGGCGGCGTCGGTGCGGGTGGCGGCGGCGCGGGTGGCGGCGGCGAGGGAGCTGCCGAGAGGCAGCAGAGGGCAGACGCCGCCTTTGCGCAGCTGCGGAGGGAGGAGGAAGCGGCAAGCCGCGCCGCCGCGCGCGCCGAGAAGCGTGCGACGTACATTGCTCGGTGGGTGGCTTTGGGCAGCGAGGCGGAGGATGCGGCCGCGGCGGCGGGCGCTCCCCCCCCGCTCCGCTCCGCAGACTTGCCGTGGCCGTGCGGCGAGATGGCGGAGCTCACGCCGGATGTGGTGGCGATGCACGTGCTCGACGACGAGGCGGCGGAGGGGGGGCCAGGACGACGACGCGCGCTGCAGGCCGAGCTGCGGCGATGGCACCCCGACAAGTTTGTCGCGCGGTGGGGGGCGAGGCTCTGCCCCGCGGAGCGCGAGGCCATCCTCGCGAGAGTGACGGCCGTGTCGCAGTGCCTCACGCAGCTGATGGCGGGCTGACAGTGACACTGTACTTTGGCGGGGCCAAATCTTTGGTCGCACAGTTCGCGTGGGCTGTGGGGGGTGGGAGTGGCCCGCCGACCACAAACCCTTCACACTGATACACTTCTTGTTCTTCAGTACACTGCTCACTGGCGCCGCGGCTCGCAACTTCCAACCCCGTGCTACTGTGTCACGCGCCAAAGAAGCTCGACAAGTCCGGCATGCCGCGCCCACCCCCTCGCGCCCTCCCGCCTGCCCCTCCTCCGCCACCCATCCCGCCCATCATGTTGCGCAGCATGTCTTCCATGCCGCCCCCCCCACCGCCGCCGCCGCCGCCCGGCATCCCTGCGCCAAACCCGCCAAACCCGCCCCCCATGCCTTGCCGCCCGCCGCCGCCGAAACCACCAAAACCACCCGCTGCCGACCGCCTGGCACCGCCATGCTGCTGCTGCTGCCTGCCGCCGCCGCCGCGCGGCGCAGCAAGCTCGATCCGGGCGGGCAGGACACGCAAGCGCAAGTGGCCGCCGCCGCTGCTGCCGCCGCCGCCGCCCGCCGCCGCGATCGCCTCGGAGAGCTTCCGCCCGCCTCGCAGCGACTGGCCGTCCACCGACAGCACCCTGTCTCCCACGCGCAATCGGCCGTGCCTCGCCGCCGCCCCGCCCGGAACCACCCTCGAGACGACATTCTCGCCGTCGACGCGGATGCCGAGCGACGCATCTCGCGGCACCTCCACCTAAGAGTGTGCTATAGGAAGTGTCTAGGAAGTGTCTAGGAAGTGTCTAGGAAATGTCTCGCGGCACCTCCACCTAAGAGTGCGCATACTGAGGCAGTGGGCCACAGCTGCGCACCGCCGAGATGGAAGAGGCGGGTCTGCACTCAAATCTCACTCGGCATCTAGGTGCCTCCGCCTCCACCGCCTGCCCCTCGGAGCCCTTGACGTATGCCACTTTGAGGTGGTGACCCTCCGAGCCACGAAGCCGCTCCGCCGCGCGCTCGCCTGCAGCCGAGAGGCAGCCGAGATCCAGCCGAGAGGCAGCCGAGATCCAGCCCACAGGCAGCCGAGACGCAGCCGAGAGAGACAGCCGAGAGGGAGCCCAGAGACAGCCGAGAGGGAGCCGAGAGAGAGCTTAGAGAGAGCCGAAAGAGAGCTTAGAGAGGGCCGAGAGACGGCCGCTCCGCCACACCCGCACTCAGCGGCTCGCCGTCCACCTCGTACACCACGTCCCCCACGCGCAGTCCTGCCGCCTCGGCCGCACCGCCGCGGCTCACGGCGAGCACCTGCCGCCCACCCGCCAACCTCGCGTCACACTTCTCGGCGCATCGGCCTCATCATCTCAGCCCATCTCAGCCCATCTCAGCCCATCTCGGCCCATCTCGGCCCATCTCGGCTGCCGGCGTGCGCGTCCGGCGCCTCGTTGGAGCGCGATAGGCGCAGCCCGAGCCCGCCACCCGCACCCGCGCGCAGCTCTACTGGGTGCAGCTGCGACGGCACCGGCACCGCGCCACCGCCGCCGCCACCGCCGCCGCCGCCGAAGGGGTGCGAGGAGCCGTCGGCGTTGGTCGCAAACTGCTGGAACGGGCCGCCGCCGCCGCCGCCAGACGAGAACGAGAAGCTGCCTCCGCCGCCGCCCATGCCTCCGCCCATGCCTCCAAAAGGGTCGGCGCCGCCAAAGAACTGCTTGAAGATCTCGCGGGGGTCAACATTCATGCCCGCGCCGCCGCCGAAGCCGGGGCCGCCGGAGCCGGCTTCGCCCTTGAGGCCGGCCTCGCCAAACTGATCGTAGACACGCCGCTTCTCGTCGTCAGTGAGGACGGTGTAGGCCTCCGTAATCTCCCTGAATTTTGCCTCGGCCTCCTCGGTCTTGTCCGGGTTCTTGTCGGGATGCCACTCCAGCGCAAGCTTGCGGTAGGCCTGCATAGAGCGTTGAGGAGGCTGGTGGAGCGGGCAGGCAGAGAGGTGTGTGCGGCTAACCTCTAACCTCACCTTCTTGATCTTCTTCGCGTCGGCCGACCGCGGGACTCCAAGCACCTTGTAGTAGTCTGCGCCAGCGGACCTTGCTGGGGCGCGTGTGGTGCGCTGAGCGTCAACTGGTACAACGAGGAGAGCGAGCACGATCATCCAGCGCACGAAGATGTGCATGTCCATGCTCTAGCAAAGGCGCCACCGTGAGAACGCGGCACAAAGAATTTCCCCCCAGAGAGTACAACAACGTGTGCATGAGCATGGGCATGCAATATTCTTTCTTTCTTAGTGCCAGTGCGCGCCAGTCCCGTGCCCGCAGTGTCGCGTAAACAAATTTTGCGCCAGTTTTCGGCCATTCCGAATTTCCTTTCGTGCCATTCCGCATTCCCCATAAACTAAGAGAACTTACGGCGCGGAGCGGTCAGGCATGACACATTTTGTACCCATTCTAGACTGACACTGTGTCCACGTCTCCACGATAGTGCACAGATGGGCTCTGTGGGACAAGTTCTGCTCGCAACGCCCCAGGGCCCGGTCGTCTCAATGCGACTACGTAGAAGAGAGCGGAAGGAGCAGCTACGAAGATTGCAACATTTCTTAGCAGACCATAATCGCTTCCGTCGTGCGCAGCGGCGCCGGGGAAAATATCGCCATAGCCCGCGCGGATCGCCGCCTTGCGCACCGGCTTGTAGTGCTGCGGCGCAAATGGGTTGTGCCCGCTCCAAGGCTTGTCGCCACCCGACCAATGAAGGGCGCAACCCCTTGCGACCTCCCCCGTCCACCAAGCGGCGCTGTACTTTGCCCACACCCGCAGTGGCAGCAGCTCCCCGTTCCCCCAGCTGGTGCCCAAACCGCCCACATTCCAGCAGGAATCGATCCGCTGAAAGTCGTGCCCAAAGAGCAGCTGCAGCGGCACCTGGCTGCTCGGCGCAGCTCGCATACCGCCTGGGAGCGAGATGCCAGCATACGAGGCGAGGCCGACCTCCTGAAGCGCAGCCACCAGCGCCTCGATCCGCTGCGTCAGGTTCTGCGCGCGCCACTGCTGGAGGTTGAAGGCGATGAGGCCGGCGTTGAAGGCGTCACCCCGCAGCACTGTGCTCACGTTGTATCCCCATGCCTTGAGAACCCCAAGCTTTGACGGGCGGTACCGCGTGATGGTGCGCAGCTCCTTCTTGCGCGCCACGGCAGCAAGCGACTTTGAATGGTTGGCGCCGACGAAGAGCTTCGAGAGGAGGTCGTGCACATCTGAGCGCACTATGATGTCCGTGTCGAGCCAGAGGACTGAGGAGGCGGCCTCCGGCAAGAGTTCGGGGAGGTAGAAGCGCACCAAGTTCATGGCGCTCGAGTTGCTCAGGTTGTGGAGCAGTGGAAACCGCTCGAGATTGACGACATGGACTGTGATCTCCATTCCGACTCTCCGGATCGCCTCTCTGCTCTGCGGGCTGGGCTCCGCCTCGACGCAGAAGGCGTGCACATGGATGCAGTGCGGGCTGCGGCTGCTGCTGAAGATCGACCAGACCAGCGGCGCCAGGCCCGGCGCCTGGTGGCTGTCTGCGCCGAATGCGACATGCGAGATGTGCCCACACGACCGCGTTGGTCTGTGGAGACCACCTGTGGACCTGTTCGAGACATCGCTGTGCCCCCCGCGGTTCTGGAGGTGCTTGCGGGAGGCATCGGTATGATCTCCGCGCGGTTGGGAATGCTTGAAGAAGTTGACTTGGCCGGCGGCCACAACCGCCACCAGCGCAAGCCCCCACGGCATCTCACCGGGCGCGGGGGCACGCGGACCGAAATGGCACGTCGTCTTGAGGGGGGACGCCTGCTTCGATCCTCCTTTGAGAACACATTTCGTCATTTTCTTTTTTGTGCTCTTACTTTTACTATTCTTTGGGTTCTTCTCTTGAAGCATGCCCACCACGCAATTATGACCCAAGCTTGCGCTTGCTCGCATCCGGCGGCGGACCGCCGCTGGAGCTCCCATCGTGGGCGATAAACGCTCGTTCGGCGCTGGGGGGCCGAAGCCCGTCGCTGCGTCGTAGTTCAGAGTTCGGGACGGCGTCGCCCACGCCGTTCTCTCCAACCCTGGTTCGGTATACCCGGGCAGGGATCCTACCCACCGGGGCGGCCTCGCGCCCGTCGCCCGCCCGCAGCCTTTGTGTATACCGGCGAGCTCCCCTCGCTGTGCGACGCCGCCCGCCGTCTGCGGCACGTCCAAGACGCCTCCGCAAGGCATCGATTGATCGAGCGCAGCGCCATGGGCACTTATACCCTCGCCCGGGGAGCAGGAGCAGGGGTCGTGCCTGTCTGGACGGGCATGCGTGAGCGAGCGGCACGTCCGGTCACACTGGCTCTCGTCGCGCTGCTGCTGGTTGGAGTTTGGGCATTGCTGCTCTTCCGTAGCAGACCGTCTCCCACGCCCGGTCTGCCTAGCACAGGCATCGCGGCTGTTGGCCCGTTGCAACTGCGGTGCTCACCGTGCGCGCCTCATAGAGATGCCTTCGCCACACTCGAGAAGCTGCGCATCACCCCGCACGTTGTTGAGGACGTGCGAAGTGGCGGCGCCCCTGGCGTCTACGCTGTGAAGCGCGTGCCAGCTGAGGACACCGATCTGAGGGACTACATCCGCAACCTAGGGAGGCGGTCCATAGAGCACCACGATCGAGTCATGGCCTCGAACAGATCTTCCCGGTCCCTCGGCAATCCAGCGACCCTGGGCCGACGTATGATTGATTTTTTGCTAGGTGTGTGTTCGTGAGTGTTGTTTCCTTCCTAGCTGCCAGTGGCGCGCGAGGACAGTGTTAAGAATTCTGCGTTTCTGCGCCAAGTCGGGAGAGACGGGCACCTCTCTCTCTCGTGTGTTTGGTGATTGATGATTGTAGATTGACTGAACTCTGAAGACTGTGTCTTCGTTTCACGTGCGTCGTGCGATAGTCTCCGAAAGATTCCCTTTACTAAAAACTTTTCCCGAACCAAACGCCGCCTCGCCTCGCTCTCTGGCAGCCGGCCTCGGGCCCGCCACATCGTGGGCGGAATAATTCTTCTCTTCGCGCCATATAGAGCTCTATCAGCGACCGCTACACTCGCGGTGCCGCCAGTCTCATCTAGCGACCGCTACACTCGCATGAGGCACACGCTCGAGGCCGAGCTCGCCTGGCTCCGTTCGAGCGCCTTGCCGCAAGCGGGCTGCGTCGCTCCCACCGCGCCGGCGTCGCTTCCCGAGCTTCCCGAGCAGGCGCGGGCGGACGGCGACCGGCTGCGCCGCATCCTGCGCGAGTTTGAGCAGTCGGAGCCGATCCGCTGGGCCAAGCAGCCGGGACGGACGCGCGACGAGCTGCATCGGAAGTTCGATCCCGTGCCGCCGCTCCCCGCTGCCCAGCCTCCACCAGCACCAAAGGCGCGCGAGTCGGCATTTCCTCGCGCGCAGCCAGCACAGGCGCCGCCAGCACAGGCGCCGCCGGCACAGGCGCCGCCGGCACAGGCGCCGCCGGCACAGGCGCCGCCGGCACAGGCGCCGCCGGCACAGGCGCCGCCTGCAACGGCGCCGCGCCACCCTCTGCCCCAGTGGCCGCAGCAGCGCCAGGTCGGCGAGCGAGCGGCCCCGCCGCAGCACGGAGGCCTTTCGCCGCAGCGAGGCGCAAGCCAGGCGCCGCAGGGCCTCCACCCTGCCGCGGCCGCGGGGTGCGGCGGCATGGGGGCCGGGTGGGGCGGTGCATCAACCTCCCCGGCTTGCGCATGCGGTGCTGCACCTGGCCATGCAGCACCCAGCCACGCCGCGGCACCCGGCGCCGCCGCCTCTTGGGGCGCGAGCGCCGCGCCCGGCTTCACGCCGCAGATGAAGGAGGGGCTGCTCGAGTACGCTCGCGTCTTCGGGCGGCGTCGCTTTCACACGCACTCTGCGTGAACAGGAGGAGCTGCTCGAGCTGTACGACCAGCGAGAGGCGAGCGGCGGGGTGCTGCGCCCCGAGGCGCAGCGCCGCTTCGAGCAGCTCAAGGCGGCCAAGGCGGCGGCCGCCGCCGGAGGAGGAGGGACCGCCCCGGCATTGGGAGCGGCGCAAGCCGCGGACGGCGGACCCTTCGGCGGCGGCGGGTTCGGCGGCGGGTTTGGCGGAGGGGCTGGCGGCGGGTTCGATGGAGGCGGCCGGGGAGGAGGTGCGGGCGGCTGCAGCGGCGGCAGCTACGGCGGCCAAGGCGGCGCCGGAGGCCGCTGCGGCGACTGCGGCGGCGGCTACGGCGGTGGCCACACAAGCGGCTGCGGCGGCGGCCGTGGCGGCGGAGACGGCCCGAGCGGCAGCGGCCTTGGCGTCGGCGGGTGCGGCGGGTACGGCGGTGGCGGCTACGCTTCCGGCGGCGGGGTGGGCGGCGGCGGCATCTCGGACGGCCCGCGCGCCTGCCCCCAGTGCCAGGGCCACGTATACGACAACCGCGCGCGCAACGAGGAGCGGGTTGCCGCGGGGCAAAGGCATGTCCACTACACGTCCATGACACGTCCGTGACGCGTCCCGCAGGAGCGGGTTGCCGCGGGGCAAAGGCCGATGCCCGAGTTCAAGTGCGCCAGCGCAGCTTGCGGCTGGCTGCAGTGGCCGGACCGCGCCGGCGGCAGTGGCTTTGGCGGCGGAGGCGAGTTCGGCGGCGGCGGCTACGGCGGAGGCGAGTACGGCGGCGGCGGCTACGGCGGCGGTGACGGCGGCTACGGCGGGGGCGGCGGGCGGCGCAGGAGTGCTCTTCGCCGTGTCGCGTGTGTCCGCGACATGCCCACGGCGTGTCCGATAGGCTGGGAGGAGCCGCAGCCGCTCGCCATGCCCGCCGCGCCGGAGGCGTGCACGCTCGGCTCGCAGAGCTTCGGTGGGGGCAGCCAGCCTTCGGGCGCCGAGGCGCAGTACGAGCGCGGAGGCTACGAGTGGAGTGCCGATCTGCTGCGGACGCTGCAGGTGCCTTCCGAGCACGTAGCGTCGCCACACGTCGCCAGAATCTGCAAGAGTCCCGCGAGCCCCCAGCCACCACCACCACCACCACCACTACCATTTGGCGCGCGCTCTCTCGCCGCCTCTGCCGCCTCGCGTGTGCGCCAGCCCGCCCATCACCCACCCTCCTATCTTCGCCCCCTGGCAGCGTGTGTTTGGCTACTCGGAGTTCCGGTCTCCGCAGCGCGCCATCATCAACGCGACGATGTCGCAGACGGACGTCTTTGTCATCATGCCCACCGGAGGCGGCAAGAGCCTCTGCTACCAGCTTCCCGCGCTACTCGAGCGGGGCCTCACCGTCGTGGTGCGCCCGCCGAGACGCCCCGAGATTCCCCGAGATTCCCCAAGATTCCCCGAGATTCCCCAGGCCTCACCCGTGGTGTTGCCCGCTCCTCTTTCCCGCCGGCGAGCGAGGCCATGTCCACGACACGTCCCCGACGCGCCGGCAGGTGTGCCCGCTCATCTCGCTGATCGAGGACCAGGTCTTTGCGCTGCGGCAGTGGGACGTGTCCGCCTCCTTCCTCGCCACGTCGCAGGACGCGGACGAGGCGCGCGAGGTGATGCACCAGCTGCACCGCCCCGCGCTCGTCGCCCAGGAGAACGGGCTGCGCCTGCTCTACGTGACGCCGGAGCGCATCACCTCCTCGCCCTCCTTCACGAGCGCGCTGACCAAGCTGTACAACGCGGGCCAGCTGCGCCGCTTCGTGATCGACGAGGCGCACAAGTTAATTAATTCATTACGAGCTAATTAACTAATTACAAGTAGTTAATTAGCTCATCATGCTCGACGAGGCGCACTGCGTGAGCCAGTGGGGGCACGACTTCCGCAAGGACTACAAGGAGCTCTGCAAGCTGCGGCACAACTTCCCGCAGACGCCGATCATGGCCCTCACCGCCACCGCCACCAAGCAAGTCGCGGCGGACGTGCTCAACATCCTCGGCATCCGACAGACGGCGGCCTGCTTCAACACGTCCTTCAACCGGCACGTTTGCGCTGCGAGGCGCCGCACTCTCCAGGACACGTCCACGACGCGTCCGCCCCGCCTCCGCAGGCCCAACCTGCGGTACGAGGTGCTGCAGAAGAAGAAGAAGTGCGCCGAGGACCTCGCCAAGGTGATTGCGCAGAAGCACGCCAACCAGACCGGCATCGTCTACTGCTGCTCGCGCCGCGACTGCGAGACGCTCGCCGACGAGCTCTGCAAGGAGGGAGTGCAGGCGGGGCCGCCGCCCCCGCCCGCCCCCGCCCTCTCGCCACCGCCGCCCTTGCCGCCGCCGCCCTCTCGCCGCCCCCGTCCGGGCTGCCGCCGCTCTCGCCCTCACCGCCCCGACCTGGCCCCGCACACCAGCCGCACTTCACATGGCCGGTGGCGCGAGCAGGCGGGGTACTACCACGCCGACCTCGACCCGCTCGAGCGGCGCGCGACGCAGCAGCGCTGGATGAACGACGAGCTGCGCGTCATCTGCGCGACCGTTGCCTTTGGCATGGGGATCAACAAGGCGGACGTGCGGTTCGTCGTGCACCACTCGCTGCCAAAGTCGCTCGAGGGGTGCACGCGCGGGGGGGGGGGGGGGGGGGTCCCCCCCCCCCTTAAAAACCCCCCTTTACCCGGGGGGCTTTGAAAAAAGGACCTTCAGGAAAAGGGGCCCGCCCGCCGCGAAGGTTTCCTCTCCCACTGGTTTTTGTTCTACACCTACCGGGACAAGGCCCAAAACCATGCGATGATCTTTAAGGGCCCCCCCCCCCCCCCCCCCTTTCCCTGGACCAATGCCCTTGGCACCGCCTTTAACGCCACCGCCTTTACCGCCGCCTCTTTAGGGCCCCTTAGAGGGAAGGCAACGGCGAGACCAAGGGGCTGCAGGGGCAGCAACTGATGCAGGTCGGGACGTACCCCGAGGACGAGTTTGAGTGCCGGCGCGGGTCGATGCTTTCGTACTTTGGGGAGAAGAACTTTGACCGCTCGCAGGGCCGGGGCACGTGGGACAACTGTGCAAAGGAGCCCCTTTGGGGGCGGCGCGGCCAAGGGCTGCGTTTGAAGGCCGCCTTACCGCCCCCCCCCCCCCCCCCCCTCTGTCTGTGAGTAGGAGAGCCGGCGTGGCGGCAGCGTGGAGGAGCTCGACGTCACACCAGTGGCGCGCGCCGCGCTCGAGACGCTGCACAGCCTGCGCGCGCGGCTCACGCTCAACCAGCTGGTCGACACGCTCAAGGGCGCGCGCAACAAGCTGGTCACGCAGAAGGGGCTCGACCGGCTCGCCTCGCACGGCGAGATGCAGCCGAGATTAGCCGAGATGCGGGCCGAGATGAGGGCCGAGATGCGACCGAGGTGCGGCCGAGGTGCGGCCGAGGGACAGCCGAGGTCAAAGCCGAGGTCAAAGCCGAGATGTGGCCAAGTGCAGCCGATGTACAGCTCGACCAGCCGGCCTCGCGCCGCGACAAGGGGGAGGAGAGAGGGAGGGAGGAGAGAGGGAGGGCTGCCGAGGGCAGGACGCGTCCCGACGCGTGCGATGTGTCCCGCAGGCGCCGCCGCGAGCATGAAGAAAACCGACATCGACCGCACGCTGAAGCGGATGCTGCGGGGCCAGTTCCTGCGCGAGGAGTTCGAGGCGAGGGGCCGCCCCTCCCGCCCCACCACCACCACCACCTTCTCGTGCGTGCCTTGCCCCCATGCCGGCGTGTGGTGACGTTCCGCCTTGCCTCACCGCAGGTGATTGGCGACTGGGGCGGCGTGACGGCCTACCTGGCTCCAGGCCGCAACGCCGCCGCCCTCGCGTCGGGCCACGCCCAGGTCTCGATCCCGACGGCGGCGACGTCGAGGAAGTCGCTGGAGGTGACTGGCGGCGAGATGACAGGCCGAGGCGGAGGCGGCGGCGGAGGCGGAGGCGGAGGCGGAGGCGGAGGCGGAGGCGGCGGCGGCGGCGGCGGCGGCGGCGACATCGGTGCTTACGCGTACGACGGCGGCGGGCAGCCTGGCAAGGCGGAGGCGGAGCTGACGAAGAAGCTCATGGCGGTGCGCAGGGAGCTGCCTGGCGGCGACAAGAAGGTGAGCGCATGCTATCCCGAGAAGGGCGCGCGCGACATCGCCAAGAAGCTGCCCGCGAGCGAGCTGCAGCTGAGCCGGTGCGACGGGATTGGCGAGCAAAAGGCGAGGAAGTTCCACGCGACGATCCTCCCGCTGATCCGCGCCTTTTGCGAGGCGCACGACGAGATGAGGATCCGCTGGGCGGAGCGCGTCGAGCAGGCGCGCGTGGAGGACGCGGCCGCGGCCGCGCGCGCCGAGGCGGAGGCCAAGGCCAAGGCGGACGTGGCGGTTGCGGCCAAGGCGGCGGCGGTGGCGCGGAGAGCGGCCAGCGCGGCGGACGACCCCGACTTTGCGGAGCCCGCCGCGCCGCGCCGCTGCGGGGCCACCTCGGCCTACTTTGAGGGCGGGATGAGCACTCCTCTGGGCAAGCGGCCCCTCGACGCCTCCGCCAGCCGCTCGATGGCGAGCCGCGCCGCCGCCCGGCTCGGAGTCGAGAAGGCCTCCTTCCTGGACGACGAGCTCGACGACTCGGTGCTGGCCAACATCGACCTGCCGGACGCGTGGCCGCCGCCGCAGCCGCCTCCGGCGCAAGCGCAGCCTCCGCCGCAGCAGCACGCGCCACAGTGGCAGCCGCAGCAGCCGCAGCAGCTACCGCCGCAGCCGCCGCCGCCGTGGCAGCAGCCGCCGCCGCAGGCGCAGTGGCCGCAGCAGCAGCAGCAGCAGCAGCAGCAGCAGCAGCAGCAGCAGCAGCAGCAGCAGCAGCAGCAGCAGCAGCAGCAGCAGCAGCAGCAGCAGCAGCAGCAGCAGCAGCAGCAACAGTCACAGTGGCCGCAGCCACAGTGGCCGCAGTATCCCCCGCATCAGTCGCAGCAGCACCCGCAGCAGCGTCCACCACTGCCGTACCCGCCACCGCAGCAGCACACGCCGCATGCGCACCCCATGCCTCCCGCGTTGCAAGAGCCGCCACAGCGGCTGCCGCCGTCCCCGGCGTGGCGGCACGGCGCACCCCCGCACCCGCCGCCGGGGCACGCGCTCGCAGACGTGACGCAGTCCCAGCGAGCCCCGGAGGGGGGGCCGCGACGGCTGTCCCTCTCGACCAAGGGGCGCAAGGGCGGAGCCAGGTTTGGATGAGGTGCAATACTGTGATGATGAAGGTTCCCAGTACTCGGTGTACCGGTCCCACGGAGACGGACGTAGAACGTGGCACGTACTATGTCGTGTGTGATGTGAGTGTGGTGAAGGACACACGAAGAACAGAGAATTTGTCAGGTGAGTAAAAAAAGTGAGACCCAGACGGCGGGCTCGGGGGGGGGGGGTGGCATTGGCAAAACCAAAAAAGAAAAATTGGCGGTCTTGTGTGCAGTGGCCCACTAACGGCAAACCCGCACGAGAAACTAATTTTTCATAAAAAGCTGAGTGCTTCAGGCGAGGGATTTGGTTGGTGAGGGCGCGGGTGGGGCGCGTCCGAGGGCTCGCGGGCGAGGGCGAGGGCCGAGGGCGGTTTAGCGCACCAGCCGCGTAGGACGATGGCTCCCTCGACGACATCCCTTCATCGACGGACGCCTTCACCGCCGCCGGCCCTGGGCCATCCAGCGCAGCCTCCGACGTCCTGCACGTGATCGAGGTACAGAAACGGTGGCTGCCGCAGCTCACACCCTAATCTATCTGCCTTAGGCACGGAGCCAACGGAGCCATCGCGCATGCCCGCATCGCGAGCGGCTCCGAGGTCTCCCGCCGAGACCGGCTCGGCGCGGCGCGTGGCCGCACGCCGCCGTTGAAAAGGCGATAGGAGAGGGAGAGCGCCGGCCACATCGAGCGAGCACTGACGTGTAAGGTGTCTGCGCTGCTCCGGTGTGTGTGGGATTATGCCTCCCCCCATCTGTGCGGCGAGGTGTTTGCGGTGGGTGCGATGGCCGATCGTGCGCGATGGCCTACCATTGTGCGTGGTGTCGGTGTGTCGGTCGTCCGGAGCGTGTGGCGGCGCCGTTGCATGCAGCGACTCTGCTCACGTGCCACGACTGCTTTGACTGACTTATGAGTGCTGATGGATGATCTCCGACAACCCAAAACCAAAATGAAAATGCGGAGTGGCCCCACGATTCGGCCCCACTTTGGCGTGCAGATCCTGCGTCTCTCACTGCCCGCGAACAACAGAGGCGGGTCCGCCGCAGGTCCCCCACTAGTTGATGAGTACAGCACCAGCGACAACAAACCGCATTCCCCCCGGCCCCCCCCCACCCTCTCCCCGATCCCGAAACGGCGCAACGCACGCTTCGCGCGTGACACAACAATGTCGGCTCCGGGTGTCGCGCATGGACCTGCCGCGGCACCCGTCAGCACGTCCTCGGATGCCGCGGTCCGGAGCGCGTTTGCAAAGTTCGACAAAAACGGCTCCGGCGCCCTCGACGTCCGCGAGCTCCGCTCAGCGCTCGGCCAGCTCGGCCTCGAGGCAGGCCGCACGGAGGCGCAAGCAATCCTCTCCAAGTACGACGCCGACGGCGGTGGCTCGCTCGAGCTGTCCGAGTTTCAGGCGCTCGTGGTGGACCTGAGGCGCTTCCAAGAGAGCTCAAAGCCGCCCGCGCCCTCGCCACCGTCGCCATCCTCAGGCTCAAAGCCGCCCGCTCCCTCGCCCGCGGCCAAGGCCCCCTCGCCCGCGGCCAAGGCCCCGCGCCTCGAGGATGCGCTCAAGGCCGCCGACGTCATTGCCATCCGCAACCAGACCCGGGATGACGTCGACCGGCTCTTCAACTTTTACGCCAAGCTGCGGTGCGCGGCCGCCCCGCACCCCTCATTGCTACCGTTTCTTGGCGCCCTCACCACTGCCCTCACCGCCGCCCTTCTCAGCACTGCCGGCGCGGACGTGCGGTCACCCACACTCGAGCTCGACGAGATGAACCACATGCTCACCGACTTTGGCCTCCTCGCGCGCATCGCCGAGCCTCGAGCGGCCAAGCTGGGCCCGGCTCCGCCTCAGTCACCCATTAGCTACACGCGCGAAGCGGCGCGGTCTGCCTTTGCGCAGGCTGCGACGGGAAAACATACGTCGAATGCGAAGCGCGACGCGCTGGGGCGCAACGCCTTCTTCGAGTTCCTGCTCCGGCTCGTCCTCGGCAGCGACACGAACCCACCTTTCGCGGCCACGGATGGAGCGGGCAAGCGGCTCCACGCGCTCCTGCGCTGCTTCAAGGTTGGCGAGGGAGCACAGGCCATGCGCGCGTGCTTCACTGACTTGCGCGGCGCCGTGCCGCCCTCGCTCAAGAGCCAGAGCTCGGCCAACGCTGCGATCGCTGCCGACGTGGCGGGCTCGCCCGATGCACCGCGCTTCAAGCGGTACGGCTCTCAGGCCGACGCTGCCGCCACCCGGGTGCAAGCAACGTACAAGGGGTCGCTGGCGCGGCGCAAGACGGGCGAGCGCAGGCGGGAGCAGAGCGCTGCAAGCTCGACGAGCGACTCCCTCGTGACGGATCCCATCCGGAGGGCCTTTGAGGCCCTCGACCGAGACCACTCTGGCAGCCTCGACAGCCGTGAGCTGCGCTCTGCGCTTCGCAAACTTGGCCTCACCGAGGTGGACGCCGACGCGACCAAGGCAATCATGCGCAAGTACGACACCGACAAGGGCGGTAGGATCGAGCTCGTCGAGTTTGCGTCGCTCGTCCACGACATTCGCCGATTCCAGGATCCGGGGTACCAAGCGCCGCCGGTCGCGACCAAGCCGCCGCTTCCGCGTGCCGTGGGTGCCACCGCTGAGAAAGCATCGCCTCTCGGACCGGGGGTGAAGGAGCTGCTCTGCGAGAAGAGAATGCCGCTGGCACTTGTGCCAGGTCAGATATACTCCTTTTGCGTGGGTGCGCACGAGCACCTCGAGCTCCTCTCGGTCAAGAACACCGACGCGCAGCTGCTAGTCTCGGCACGCGATACCGCCGACCGCAGTCGCGTGAGTGGCGCGACCCTCTTTGACGGCGCCGTCTACTTTCACCAGCCGCGCGGCTCGGACGTCCGCGGTGGGACGGCTTGGTCAATGCCGGGGCCGTTCGTGTACGAGCTTCGCGCCACGCGAGGAAGCTCGGCCGACGGGGCGACAAAGACTGAGCCAGTTCATGTCCTGCTCCGCACCGTGTCGCTCTTTGCGGCATCAGAGGCTCTGCCTGTCGGCACCGACCATCCTCTCCTCCAGTCAGCCTCGCCGCACAAGCCCCCCTCCGTCTTCTCGCGCCAAGCCCTAGCGCAGAGTCCCTCACCCCCAGAGTCGCATGCGAGGCATGGATCGCCTGCGGCGGCTGGATTGACGGAGGGCGCCATTGTCGCCGCTTTCCGCGTGTTCGAGGCTGATAGCAGTGGCACGATTGTGACGGCCAACCTCCGCGCTGCACTGCTGCGAGCCGGAGTAGACGCGTCCAACGACCTCGCCTCCGAGATCTATGCTGACCTCAGCACCCGGGCGCAACAGGCGATTGACCTACCGGCCTTCCGGCGAATCGTCCGCGCCGTCCACGACCACTCTGCGGTTGGCTGCACAGCGGGGGGCACGGCTGCCACCGGGTCCACCAATGTGCTACATGTAGGAAGGGCGGCCCTCGCGAACAGCGAACACGCCGCTGGGCCACCAACCCCGTATGAGGCGTACATGGCGGCGGGCCTCGCCCGCCTGCAGAACGGCAGTGCATCGCCGGTATCGCCGTCGAAGCCCTCCACGCAGAGCTCAGCTTGCTCGAGGCTGGGTGGGCGGCAGGCGGTCAAGGGCAAGGGATCGGGTCGTGCAGGCTTACACGCAGACGCCTATCGAGCGGCGTATGCCTTGCCTGGGCGAGGGGGGAGGCCAGGAACCCCAAACAGCCTGTCGGCGTAACTCAGGGGTCGTGCGCAGACCGTGCTCCGAGGTCGCAAAGTATCATGTCGTGGGTAGGGATCCTCTCTCTAAGGGATCCCTATGGGCTCATGTGAGATGTGGGGTCAAAATGTGGCGAGCACGGAGTAGAGTGTCGGCGAGGCGCGCATCTCCATCTGCCATGTGCATGAAGTTCAAATATCAAATTGTGGAGGGGGGCACAGGGGGCTAGAGCTGCCTGTGCCTCGAAGCTGCCACAAACGTTAACTTTTTTACTTTTCGGGTATTATCCGCACTGGACGCTGGGGCAGACCGCTCTCCTCGGCCAAGAGTAATGCGCGAGATGAGCGCAAGATGTATGTACATGGTCGATCGATCCGTCACTCTTGAGGGTGCCCACCGCCGGCTTCCCTCCAATCGCACATCGTGGCGAGCACCAACGCCTCTTGGAGCACTTGTGAACTTACGGTCGCTTTCTTTGGGTGTTCGCATACAGATTTCGTAATTGTAAGACTTGCAATTCGCGTCGCCCGGGCGCCCACCGGAGAGTTGATAGGTGCTTGTCCCGACGGGACGCGACACCCCCTCGGGGAATGGGTGCGGCGCCGTGGCTCTGCCTCCTCTGCGTCGCGTCCGTCTCAATGACGCTGGGAAACAAGGCGTTGATGATGGGGCCGCTCGCGGCGAACAAGCATCTCGTGCTTGTCTTTCAGAATGCCATCTCTGTCACGGTACTCAACGGCGGAGCTCTGGCGGGTCTGATCTCGTTTGAGCGCGTCGATCGGCGGCAGCTGCTCTTTTATGTCTGGGACGCAGCGATGCTGGTTGTGCAGCTTTTCACCTCGTTCGTCGCGCTGCAGCACCTGCCGGTTGCGACGACGACGGTTGTCCGCGCCCTCGCCATCCCTCTCGTCGCCTGGAGCGAGCTTCTGGTGATGGGGACGCGGCTACCGGCCTCCAAGCAGGCGAGTGCTGCCGTGGTGATGGCAGGCGCCCTGCTCTACGCGCGCGAGGACCTGGTGGGCCAATCCTCCTCGCAGAGCGTCACGGGCGCACCACCTGCCCCCGGCGCGACCGCCGAGTAGATGCCGCGCCGCGACCGCTTCGCGCGCCCTGGCCGCAGGCTACCTCTTTGCCCTCTTCAACCTCCTCGCGTACACCTCCAACGCTCTCCTCGACCGCGTGATGATGTCATCGTCAAAGCAGTCGGCGGCCGGTATGGCCATGTACACCCAGGCGCTATCCATACCAATCTGCTTGATCGAGGGCGGCGCAGCCTCGGCCCTCGGCGCTGCAGCATGGCTCTCGCCACGCACGCGGCCACACAACATCTATAGGTGCACTCTTCCACAGCGTCTCCCCCTCCTCTGCTGCGGCGCCAGCTGAGTGCTCGGCCCAAGGGGCCCAAGACACGCGGCGGCAGCGCTTGAGCGGCCGGGCTGTAGGCGTTGTTCGGCGGGCTCGACGCCAGTCACGGCTGCGCGCTCCTCGTCACGGGCGTCGGCGCCGCGCTCCTCGGGAGTTGCTTTGCGATGTGCTACAAGAGGGCATCTGCCACCACCGTGACCATCGCGGGCAACGTCAACCGGGTTGTCTGCGCGCTCGCGGGCGGCGCCATTTTCCCCGGCAAGAGCCTGACGGTGGAGCAGGCGCTGGGCATGGCGGTGTGCCTCAGCGGTGCGACCTCGTACTCGCTGGTTGGCGCGCGTCAGCGCGACGGCGGCAGCGGCAGGGAGAAGCGAGCGAAGGGATCGTGAGAGGTGCCCCTGGGACCGCGCGACCGCGCGTTTTTCTGTTCTCGTTCTCGCGGTCTCGTGTTCAGCATCCATGGTGTGTGAGCTCTTGTGTACGTCCATATCAATATTACTTATCACGGACACGTGTGTGGCGAGGCTGTGCCGTCCCTCGTGTTAAACGGTTAGGACCACGACCGTCACGCTCACACACTGCGGGTCTGCCTACACCGTGCGCTGCCCTCTCGGAGTCGGACGCACCGAGAGTATCCGAGCCTGCACGAAGAGGTCACCCCGCGATGACCACCTCGACGTTCCTGCGCACGCGTGACGAGTCGTCCGCCTTCTCGACGAGGTCGACGCTGTCAAAAGCCCCGTACAGCGCGTCGGACGCGAGACCGTGCGTGATGACGACGGCGGTCTCGCACGGCACGCACCGCAACAGCTCCGCCATCGCCGCCTGCCCGCGGGCGTCCATGTGCTGCATCACCTCGTCAAAGACGAGGTAGCCGCACGACAGGCCGAGCCGCGCGCGCGCAAAGTCAGCGAAGGCGAGCGAGAGCGCAAAGGCGAGCCGGCGCCACTCGCCGCCTGAGAGCTGCGAGACGGAGCGCACGCGTTCGTCCCCGCCCGGCCGCACCAGCCGCACACTCTTCTGGATCGCGCCGCGCTTGGCGTCAAAGGCTAGCGCGAGCTGGAGGGTGCCCGCCGAGAGCAGTCCGGAGTAGCGCGCCGCTGAGAGCTGCAGCTGGTCTATCGCGAGCTCGTAGAGCAAGTTTTGCACGCCGCGCTTGCCAAAGTGCTCACCGAGCTCGCCCATCGTGCGCTGCGCGCGCTCCGCTCGCTTCCTCTCCGCCTCAAGCGCCGTGCGCCGCGCGCTCGCCTCGGTGCGCCGTGCATCCATGTCCGCCAGCAGCAGCGCGCTTGGGTTGGTCTCAGCGCGCAGCGACGCGACGGCCGCCAAAGCACGCGCCGCTCTCGCCTCCGCCTCCGCTGCCGCCTCCTTGGCAGCCGCCTCCACCCGCACCTCGCGCACGAGCGCCTTCTCGCGCAAGGACGCCCACCGGCCGACTTCGGACTGCAGCTCCGCCGCCCGGCCGTCGAGCGCGCGCAGCCGCTCCGCCTCCTCGGCTGCCGCCCTCCGCCGCTCCTCCTCCTGCACGCACGCCTCCGCCTCCGCCTCCGCCTGCGTGGCCCCCGCCGCCCGCCACGCCTGCTCCGCCCTCGCCGCCGCCGCCGCCGCCGCCGCCTCCTGCGACTCCAGAACCGCCCGCTCCGCCTCCCACGCCGCAACCTGCAGCCCGTCTCGCGCCTCCCTCGCGTCGCGCAAACGGCCCGTTGCCACGCGCAACGCCGCCTCGCTCGCCTCCGCCGCTGCCGCCAGCTCCGCCAGCCTCGCCCGAAAGTGCTCGATCGTCACCGATTGCCCACAACTCGCGCAGACACCGCCGGAGAGCGCGCCGTCGGCGCCAGCGCCATCCTCGATCAACGTCGCGGCCTCCCCGCCGCCCGCCGCCTCGCTGCTCGCGTGCGCACTCGCCGCCCCAACCGGCCGCCTGACTGGCACCTGCGCCCTCTGCTCCTCGATCCGTTGCCGGACTGCGAACGCCGCGCCCCTCAGCTCCGCCGCCTCGGCCTCGAGAGCCGCCAGCACCTCCGCACCACCCAACCGCTCCGCGCCACCGCCGCTGCCGCTGCGCGCAAGCGAGGCCGCGGTCTCGTCGAGCGCCGCACGGAGCGCCGCCCCGCCCTCGCTTCTCAGCCGCGCGCTGGCCGCCTCCCGCCTCGCGGCAGGCCACTGCCACCCGTCGGCCGCAACTCGATGCATCTGCAGCCGGCCGCCGGCCGCCGCGAGCCCCTCCCGCGCGCGCTCCGCGGCCGCCTTCGCCTCGAGCGTCGCCGCGGCGGCGGCGTGAGCTCCCTCGATTGCAGCACGGAGCCGCTCGGGCGCCGCGAGCGCGCCCGAAGTCATCTTGGCGCGGTGCGCATCCCGCGCCTCGACAGCCGCGTCGAGGGCCGCCCGCGCCCGCTCGAGTGCGCCGTTGCAATCCTGCAGGCTCGTCCCCCCCTCGCCGGCGGCCGCGACGGGCTTTGCGGCGGCGCGCTCCGCCTCCGCCGCCGCCGCCGCCGCGCTCGCCTCCACCTCTGCGGCAGAGACTCGCGCGGCCCGCGCGGCCTCCCACGCGGCCGACTCCGCGGCCGCCGCCTCGCGCGCCTGCGCAGCGCGGGCCGCGTGCGCCACGGCGGCGTCTAGCTCTCCCGCCGCCCGCGCCGCCGCCTCCCGCGCCTGCGCGGCGCGCGTGCGAGCGCCCTCCGCGGCCGCCTCCCAGAGGCCAAGCGGGAGCAGCGCCTGCAGCTCCGCCTTGAGGGCGGCGTCTGTCTTGTCGAGCAGGCCGCCGCCCATGTGCTGCCCGAAGAAGGCCACTGTGCCGACGTGCCGCGCGCGCAGGTGCTCCTCGACCTGCGCCTGCACCTGCGCCAAAGTGCCCTCATGCACCTGCGCGTGGGGTGGGCCTGTGAGCAGATGCCATGCACCCGCGGCGCCGTCCGCGACCAAGCAGGACGCCTGGCCACCGAGCACAAAGCGGAGAGAGTGCTCTCGCCTCCCCATCGTCCGCGTCACCTCAAACGGAACGGGCGCCGCACCGCCGCCCTCGCCGCCCTCGCCGCCCCCGCCTTCGCCGTCCCCACCTTGCAGCACGCCGCCGCTCACCTCGCCTCGCAAGCTCACCACCGCCCGCGACGCCCCCTCGCTAATCACACCCCTCGCCTCGACGGGCTTGCCGTTGGCGCGCGCGTCTGTGCTGCCCGTCAGCGCCCACAACGGCGCCATCGCCAGCGTGGTCTTGCCCGCGCCGTTGCTCGACCCTTGGCCCTCGCCGCCAGCATCACCCTCGGGGAGGGCCTCGCCGCTGGCCTCGCCGCCGCCGCCGCCTCCCGCCGCCGCGCAAGCGCCCTGGAGCAGCAGCAGGCCTCGCCCGCGCAAGTCGTACTCTGTCGGCCGGTCAAAGGAGCCAAACCCGTCCAGCGTCACGGCGTGCAGCCGCAGCTGCACCGGCGGCGGCAGCTGCAGCCTCGCGTTCGCCGCGCACGCGGAGAGCACCTCCTGCCCGGCGGCGACGAGTGGCTCGCTGAGCCCCCTCGCGGCGGCGTACCGCGCAAACAGCGCCTCGGGCTCGAGAATGTCCGCTGCCCCGGCAGCCGCCGCCGCCGCCCTCGCCGCCGCCGCCGCCGCCTCGCCCCCCTCGGCCGCCTCGGCCGCCTCGATCGAGACCGGACGGCGCAGCTCGACGGCGGCGCCGCGGCGCCGCTGCTGCGCCGCAAACTCGAGCAGCGGCTCGTCGATCTGGTCGGCCAGCAGCAGAGCGCGGTCACCAGACCGCAGGCTCGCGCCGAGGTCCGCGAGCTCCGACCTGCGGGACGTGTCGAGGACGTGTCGAGGATGCGACAGGGCGCGTGCCGGTGCACGTGTGTCGGCGGGCGCCGGGCTGAGCGCGGCGCCGGTCGTGGCGGTGCGAGCGGAGTGGATGTAAGAGAGGCGGAGGCATGGAAGCTGAGGCGAGCTGCCCAGAGGTGCGGGAAAGCAGAGAGGGGCGCATGTCGCGGGGGCGGTGTCGCTCCGACCTGCCCGGCTGCGAGAGCACGTGGTGCCTCCGGCCGATGCTGAGCGGCACCTCCTCCGCCACCCGCCACCCGCGTGCGCTGTCGACCACCAGCAGCGCCTTGCGCTGCCCCGCCTCGGACATCGACGTCTGGTACGGAGAGCCGACGTACCGGATAGCGCGGCCCTTGGCGGCTGGCTCGGGGACGGAGTGCGGGTTGTGGTAGTGGCCCGAAAAGACGCGCACCGGCGGCAGCGGGAAGGCGTCTGCGGTGAGGCCCTGGGTGGCCACGCGCCTATACGCCATTCGCGGCTCGTGAGCAGCGGGCGCCCGTCACCGCACGAAGCCGCCAGCGTCGCCGGGCGGCCGGTCGCTCATCTGCGCGCCGACAATGTCGGCGTGGCAAAAGACGGCGTCGAGGCCTTCGTGGCCGTCAGATGCGGCGTGCTCGCACGCGGCGCGCAGCTCCGCGGCGGTCGTGCCATACGGAGCCCACAACGACGAGCCGAGCCGCGTCACGCGGCTGAAGACGGTGACCGAGCGGGGCAGCGCGAGCTGGAGGGGGGTCAGTGCGTGAAGCAGCGGGTCAGAGTTGCCACGCATGGCCTGGTCGTGGTTTCCCGGGATCATGAGCATCGGCACGTCGTCGCCCCACGACGCGAGCTCCGAGAGCACCGTGTTTAGCTGCCGCGTCGACAGCACCCCACCCGTGTGCCAAAAATCGCCGAGGCAGGCGACGCCGGCGTTGCGGGCGCGCGCCTCGGCCGCCACGCGACGCAGAAGCTCGAGGCAGACCGGCAGCGTGTCCTGCCGCACATGCAGGTCCGAAAAGACGACCCACCTCTGCGGGAGCGCCGCGGCGACGTGCGTGGGCACCACGTCGTAGGACGGCCTCGGCTGCGAGTCGACGGCGAGTGAGGCGCGGGCGGAGGAGGAGCAGCGGTGCAGGTGGTGAGGAAGACGAGGCCGGATTGAGGTGGTGAGCACGTGAGATAGCATCATACACATGTGGTATATCAGCCGGTGAGCTTCCGCGCCAGTCCGCGCCCGTAACTGCGGGATGTGGCAACAAAGTTGGGACAACCAAGCATGTTAGAAGCCTGAGCGGGGCTAAGCACACACACGGGCAGACTGCGAGAGTATCAGCATGCCTGACTGTGATGGCCATGCTTGGCACACGACGCAACCCCCACTACCTCTAGACAGGCTTGTGAGAGTTTATAGAGCGCGATGGGGATGGAGGGTGGGAGAACCTCCGCGCCGCACTGGCGCCTGCGCGCCGGGCGGGGCGCGCGCCTGCGCCCCCGCCCTGACGCGGCCCCGCCGAAGAACGGCGAGAACAATGGACGGGGACGTCCAATATGCGGATTACCATTGGACCACCGCCGTAGTAAATCTGATTGCGATTGGACGCCCGTTGAGGATGAGGGAGATCACACTCCCTCGACTGATCTGAACTCTGCTTCCCCATTCCCACAGTCACCGGTGCTCAACACTTGGGTGTCAAGCTGCAGTAACTGCGGGATGTGGCAACAAAGTTGGGACAACCAAGCATGTTAGAAGCCTGAGCGGGGCTAAGCACACACACGGGCAGACTGCGAGAGTATCAGCATGCCTGACTGTGATGGCCATGCTTGGCACACGACGCAACCCCAAACTGCGGCTTGACACCCCAAGTGAAAGCGGCCGGACATAGGTGAACCCACCGAAGGCCGCAGGGCACAGCGCAGGGAAGCAGAAACTGTCGCATCCGCGACGGTCGTAGAGGGCATTGAGCACTGTGCCCATCCGGCCCCCAGAGGCACGTGCCGTATGTTGCTCACGGCATCTCCTCTCCGGTACAGCCAGCCTCCTAGCCCTTAATGCGAGGCGCAATGCAGCCAAGCACATCACAACTTGCTGTGCCATAGCTCCGTTGCTGGGTTCCTTTCGTAAGGGATTGACCAGCACCGTGTTCGCAAGTTACTTTCGTAGAGCTCGCTATGCACGGCCGGGGCACTGCGAGCTGTACCAACAAACGGCAGTCGCCAGCCAGACTGTCGCCAGAGAGAGCCGCACAGAGGCCGCGTTGGCCTTTGTGCGACCGGCAAAGGGCACCGACTGCGGGCCAAGAGGCACCGCCTCGGCCCCACGAAGGTCAGCCCAAGCTCAGAACCTCCGCGCCGCACTGGCGCCTGCGCGCCGGGCGGGGCGCGCGCCTGCGCCCCCGCCCTGACGCGGCCCCGCCGAAGAACGGCGAGAACAATGGACGGGGACGTCCAATATGCGGATTACCATTGGACCACCGCCGTAGTAAATCCGATTGCGATTGGACGCCCGTTGAGGATGAGGGAGATCACACTCCCTCGACTGATCTGAACTCTGCTTCCCCATTCCCACAGTCACCGGTGCTCAACACTTGGGTGTCAAGCTGCATTGTCGTGTGCTCTGACGCAGGCTTGTTTTTTAAAATCTTGTCTCCTGCCTTTTGTAGCCGTCCGAGCCAGTCCGCTGTGAGAGGGCTTGGTAAAATTCTTTTCTGCTATTGCAATACTCGAACTCGAGTCATGCAAACCGCGGGGGCGGCGTGAAGTGCTTGGCCCCACGCCTATGGCTATGCCTTGTTGGTTGGTTGTCTGGCGCGAAGAAATTTCTGTGCATTGACACCCATTTAACAACACGTTGCAGGCAAAATGGGGGGCCGCGATTTCGGCGTTAGTCGGAGAGGGATTTTCTCCTCTTACTTCTGGCAGCGTGGGCGCCGACCTGCATATTCCACGCTGGCCGCGCATCATGGTTCATGCTGCGCTTCGCGAGCAATCGCGTAACGGGAGTTGTGGCTTTTTGGACGGCTTTTTTGGATTCTCCCGCCCTCCTCCCCTCTTTTGGATTTTTTGTTTGGGATTTTAGGGATTTTGAGTGCAACCACAACAAAGTCAGTCGGCTAAATAAATCAGGCCTCGCTGGCAGATAGATAGCACTACCGTCAATCACGCCCTGCGTGGTGTATGTAGCTGGCTAGCTTGCCTTTCGATTCGTTCGTTCGATTCGATGTATTAGGCTAAGGGTGGTCCCTGTGCGCTGTACTTCTTTTCTGGGTCGTATTCACTGCAAATTCCTTAAGTAAGTGGTTGGTTGGTTGTCTGGCAGGGCCCTAGGGAACGTAGCATAGGCGGCCTCCAAGTTTTTCACGCGTCCCCTTCATTCGCCCCTTCACGCGCGTCCCCTCCCTGAAACCGTCCAACTTGGTGGGCCAGGAAGGTCCGGCTTCGGCGGGCGACTCCAGCTCGTCGCGGCCCATCGCGAGCCACATGCCGCGCGTCTGCGTCGACTGCGGCAAGAGCCTCGTGGCTGTCGGCACCGCCCGCGTTGGCGGGAAGCAATCGCATGGCGACTGGGCAACGCGGCGGCTTCATAAGCAGTGCCTCGCCGCTCGCAATCGCGCAGGCAAGGCGATGGAGGAGCCGGGGCCCTACGAGGAGGAGCACCGCGCCGCGGTCGACACTGGCGCGCCCGGCTCCTACTCGCAGCGCAAGCGAAGGCACGATGGCGCTCCATCGACGCCGCCGCGGAGAGCGGGGCCGTTTGGCATGCCGGCCAGCATCGGTCGTTCGGCTTCGGGTAGCCCGGCGACGGATGACGGCCGGCATGCCAAAGGGCCTCGGACGTACCTCGACGTGCCGTACACCGAGAAGGACGAGGCCAAGGCGCTCGGTGCGCGGTGGGACGCGATGAGGAAGAAGTGGTGGGTGTCGAACCACAGCTCGCTCGCCCCTTTTGAGCGGTGGATCGGCGCGGGCGAGGCGTGGGGTAGTAGCGCCTCCTCTGGCCCGGCTTGCGCAGCCTCGCTCAACCTCGCGGCGCGCCTGCGCAATGCGGCGCAGGAGGGAGACACGGCCGCCGCGTTCGAGTGCATTGCCGAGGCGAAAGACTGGGGGGGCGGCGGCACGCACCCGGCCATCAATGCGTGCGGCGCCGCGCGAGGTGGCACGCGGAACGCGACGCCGCTCCGCTTCGCGGCCTTCCACGGCTACCTCGACATCGTCCGCGCGCTCCTCGAGGCGGGCGCGATCGCGACGCTTCGCGAGGTCAACGCGAACGGCGAGGATTGCCACGACGAGAAGGACGCGCTGGAGCTCGCGCGGGTCGGCAACGCGCGAAAGGGCGCGAGAGGCGACCCCGCCTCCCGCTACGCCGTGGTCAGCGCGCTCGATGGCGCCAGCGCCAAGGAACGCTTCGAGCTCACCGGCGTGACCGACCCGGCCCGCCAACACCTCAACGGTCTTGAAGTGGACGTGCGCGGCGTCAATGAAGATAGTGGCAAGTGGGTGGTGCGCCCCAAAGGGAGTACAAACTTGTACTCCCTTTCCCAGGACAAGGTGCGGCGAAGGCCGGCGGCGGCAACGGGCGCGGCGGGGGCGGGTGCGAGGCGGCACGGAGAGGAGCAGGCCGCGGCGCAGCTCCCGGTCGGGGCCATGGGAGTGGTGCACGGCCTGTCGAGCGGGACCGCGTACAATGGCGCGGTGGTCACCATCGAGGCGCACGACCGCGACCGGAAGCGGTACACTGTGCGGTTCGTCGCGTCCGGCCGCGGGTTCGAGGAGGGCTCGCAGCTCACCTTGAAGGTGGCCAACGTGAAGCCGCTCTGACTTGGTGGGGAGGATTGTCTTAAAGCGTTAAAGGTATGTTAAGCATTGTGGTTGCTGTATAGCATAACGTGTAAGTCGTGGGCGCCCGTTTTCTTAGAGTGTGTGTGCCAGTCCGCGCCAGTCCGCGCCCTTGTCGTGCCAGTGTGCTGTGAGAGAGGCTTGTATCTTAAGAAAACTGAGTAGTTTTGCCAACGATCCGTCTCGGGAGGACGACCCCGGCTCTAGCCGCCGTGTCTAGCTCTCGCCGCGTGTCCGCCGAGCGCCGCATATATGCTGGTACTCTCCGGCTTCGCCGCCGTCGCCGCTGTCACGCCGCGCGTGGCCGTCTTTGGCGGCAGCGGGTTCATCGGCAGCCGCGTCTGCCAGACGCTGGTCGACGCCGGCTGCGACGTGGTCTCCCTCTCGCGGACGGGCGAGGCGCCTGCCTGGGCGAGCGAGGAGCGGTGGTGCGGCCGCGTGGAGTGGCGGCAGTCCGACCTGCTCAGCGATCGCCATCCGCCACTCGGGCACATCGACGGCGCGGTTTCGTGCGTCGGCAATATGCGACCGTCGCCTCGATGGGAGAGCGGCAGCTTCTTCGGGCTGCACTGGGACTATGAGGCGATGGTGCGTGAGAATGGGCTCGCCACGGACCGCAGCGCCGCCGCCGCCAGGCGCGCCGGCGCCTCCCGCTTCGTCTACCTCTCCGCGAGCTCGGCGCACCAGTTTGCCTAGGCGGCGCGCTGATGGGCTATGTGGACGGCAAGGAGGCGGGCGAGGAGGCGGTGAGGCAACGGTTTGGCGACGCCGCCGCCTGCGCCGTCGGCCCGTCGCTCGTTCTCGGCGGCGGCCGTTACGCCGGCCTGCAGCAGGCCTACCGCGCGCTGGTGGACGTGCCGCTGGTGCGCCCTCTTTGCGCCGCTCCCCCGCCGCTGCCGCGCTCTCCGCTGCCACACTCTCCCTCGGGGCGCTGAATTGCCTGCCACTCTCCGACACTTTCTTCGGGGCTGTCCAGTGTCCGCCACCCGCCTCTTGCCGTCCACGGCGCTCGCAACGCCGAAACACAGGTGCGCGCGCAGACGCGGCTCTTCAAGGCGCTCAAGAGCGGCGTCTCGACCGGCTGGGTGCCGCAGGACGCCGTCGGCGAGGTGGCGCTCACACCGCCAAGTGAGGTGGCCGCTATCGCACCACCAGGCCCGGCGCTGCGCCCGGCGCCAGTGGCACGCGTGCATGACACCACCCCACGGCGCGTCGCAGGTGGGCGAGGTTGCGCGGGCGGTCTGCGCCTGCCTGCTCGGCACCGTGGGCGAGGCGCGCTTCCCCTCGTTGGGGTTGTCGAGGGGTGTCGCTATGTCCGTGACGCGTGGGTACTAGTATGGAGCGTTTCTCAGGCGCGGCTCGCCGCCTTCCGCGAGGAGCAGCGGGCGGAGTACGAGACGCGCGGCACCCCGCCCGTCCGGCTGCAGCCCGCCGTTTGCAGACCACGTCGATGACACGTCCCGCCAATTCGCGCGCGCAGGCATCCTCGCCGACAAGGAGCGGGCCCGCGCGCTCGACTTTTGCTTTATCGACGGCAGCGACCAGATCCGGAGGGTGGCACGCGAGTGCGGCACGCCGTCGCTGCTGGCCGCCGCCGTCGCAGGGGGGGGACTTGCTGCGGCCGGCGGCGAGGTGGTGGCGGCGGAGGCTGAGGCGGAGGCGGAGGCGGAGGCGGAGGCGCGGTGGCAGAGGGTGCCCATTGACATGCGCCCGGTGGACTCGCCGACGTTGGAGAATGCGCCGCTAAGCGCCGCTCTCGCCGCCGAGCCGGCCCTGTGGCGCTCCTTTACCCCCGCCGAGCTGAGCGCCTTTGGCCTCGCCCCGCCCGAGGAGCTGGCCGGCCGCTACATCCGCGTGGGCGAGCCGGGCGCGCAGTTCTGGTACCACCCGTTCGATGTCGAGGCGGCGCAGTCGCCCTCGGCGCACGGCGCGCCAAATGAGGGCGCTCTCTACGGCTTCCGTCCCCTTCTCTACCCGTGGCCGCCCGCCGCCCTTCTGTTTGGCTCGTTTGCGGCCGCGATCCTTTCATCAGCTAACATAGCATGAGCGTTGTCTCGAGCCGCGGGGAGCCGACGGTTTGAGGCCGACACACCCGTCTGCGGTCTGCCGCGCTCTGGTACAGTTGTCAGAGTTGGCTGAGCATGGCATATAAAGCCGTATGTACACGCTGTGTCACAAAGATTTCGTCCGCGCGGGTGGCAGCCTAGTCCCTAGAGCCGCGACTAGCGCGCACGTGCCGACCGCGACGCCGACGTTCCTCAGCGCCCCGTTCGCGCGGTCGAGCATTCAAGACCGCGGAGACGCCCACAAGGATTTCCCACGATGCACCGAATGCTCAATGGTGCGGCACGACGGTCAAGGACAAGGTGTGGCACGAAGAACGCTGACGGTGACGCTAGAATTGGATCGTAGACCGCGTGAATGGGGCCAAACAAGTGGCGTGCCAATCCACGCACCACGGTGCACTGGACTGGTTGGGTAGTAGTCTAAGTTCTGACGCCTCGACGCCTAGCGCGTAGCGGGTCTAAGTGTGCACGTGCACGCTGGGGTGCTTGCGCGGTCTAAGATCAGCGGGAGCCGCTTACATCGGCTAAGTCGGCCGTGGACGGCCTGGGGCCAAGAGGCTCCCACCGTGATCCGTGATCGATACAGTACGGCGCTCCGCCCAAATTTTCTTCGCCTGCGGCGGGCGCCTACTAAAATCCGGATCGATCCTCCTCATGCCTCAGCAATCGCCGCTCGGCATCCTCCCCTTCCGATTCTCGTTGCTGCTTCTTGAGCGCAATCTCTAGCCAAACATTTCTCACAAACAGCCTCAAGCTCAAACAAACGCATGTCAGAGAATCCTGTGTATGCTTGTCCTCTTTGAACGATCCGCGCGTGAAGGTAGGAAGCATAGGACCTTGTTGGCAGCAGCCAGCTTGTTGCGCTGCTTCGTTGCGATGAGCTGATTGGGATCACAGAAGTGCATATCCATGCCAAAGCACCGCCACGATCTTGAAGCAGAACACATCGCAACCGCATCGTCCGCACTGCCATCAGCATGCCGCGCCCGCCGCTTCGCCGCAGCCACCTTACGGCACGCATAGCATCCACGGACGGGCTACAAAAACTCCGCTCGCCGAGTTTTGCATTCGCGCGCGAGGGGCAGCCGTTCCCACGTCCCACGACAATCCCACGACGATCATGTGAAAGAAGAACAGCGATCGCCACCTCGCTGGCCTCTCCGCAAGGCCCCCCGACCGCGTCGAACTCATCGGCGCGGGCTCTCACGGCTACGGGACCGGCCCCAGCTTCGGCTGAGGGCTGACAAGGAAAGAAAAATCTCTCTCTCTGACAAGCTGCCGAGCCCAAATCACTGTGAGAGTCGTGATTTCTTGTTGGTTTTCTAAAATCATGTGCCTCGGCATGGTGCGACGCAACACATGGAGTGCCCTTTTCCTCCTTGAAAGGGAAGAGGGAATAAACGTCATTTTCTCCTAAGGGAAGAGGTGTATTTATTTTTGCTTGGGCGGACAGCATGATGAAATTCTGGAAAAACCTGACCGGCCCCTGCCCTGCCCCTACCTACCTACCTACCTACCCTACCCTATTTATGGGGAAACTAAAAAGAAATCACGTGGGCGTGAAGGTGGGGTACTATACCAACTAAAGTGATGGCTGGTGGTACTCTCCTGCAACCACAGTCCTTCCTGTGGCATGGCAGGCCACTCTCAAGGCCATACAAGCATCAGATCACCCACTTGGGGAGGGTTGACATCGTGATTTCGCCGGAAAATTTCTTTTTTTGAAACCGGCGTGAAGAGAGGAAAACCCCGACGGGAGGGCCCAGACCTACCCTACCTACCCCGTCATGCTGTCCGCCCAAGCAAAAATAAAATACACCTGAGGGAAGAGCAAAAAACTGAAAAAGACGTGACTGAAGTGGGATTCGAACCCACGCCCCTTTCGAGACTACGACCTGAACGTAGCGCCTTGGACCGCTCGGCCATCCAGTCAGTTTGCTGTGAAATCGAGCGAGATCGGGCGACTCATATACCGTGAAGAAAAAAGTTATTTTTTTCTTATGTGTTGGAGGAGATGGGGTGTATGAGTGTGTGATGGGGGTGAGAGGGGATGGGGTGGTGATGGTAAGAGGGAAAATGAGAATTTTTTTCAATTTGTAAATAAAATTTCCCTTTCTTAAATGGGAGATGGTTTGAATGGGAGGAGATGGGTTGTTTTGTGTGTGATGGGTTTGCGAGGGGATGGGGTGGTGATGGTAAGAGGGGAAATGGGAGGATGATATGGAATATAATGGAGGGGAAGATGGGGATGGTGATGGAGTGGTGTGTGGAGAGGGGAATGGGATAGTGCTGTCGGGTATTTTTTTAAAGAGAAAGTAAACAACAATAGATGGTGGGAAGCGAAATGCAAATGGGCAGAGAGAGAGAGAGAGAGAGTTTTGTTGAATGGGCAACAATTGATGGGGGCGGACTTCACCCGTCACTGCCAACTGTGAGGCGCCCAAAAAGAAATCATCTGGTCCCGCGGCGCAGCACACGACCTTCACATGTCCGCCAGCACCTTCTCGAACTGGGCGAATCTGGTCGATGCTTGCCAGGACTACGCTCAAAGGTCGGGCTGGCGCTTCAACCGCGTAGAGTTCATGCGGCTCGATGGGCCGCAGCCCAACGCGGCGCTGCACGAGGCGCGGCTGCGTGCGATGCCGGCCGTGCTCGAGTACGGGCAGCGGCTGCAGTCGGCGGCGGAGGTTGGCTCGTCAGAGTCGGAGCTGCTGCAAGAGTTCCTCTGCTGCCAGAAGCTGGTCTCCTCCGAGGCTGTCCTCAACGCCATCATCTCCATCTGCAAGGCGCTCGAGCTGCCCGGCTTCGACGGCAAGGCGACGGCCGGCCGCGGCAGCGGCAGCGGTTTCGACGTTGCGTACCACGACATGACGGCACCTCTCGAGGTGATCGCGCGCCGCCTCCGCAATCACCTCGCCATGATCGACGCCAACGAGGAGGCGCGCGAGCGGCGCAACGCGCGCGTGCTGCAGGCGTCGTTCATCACCGAGTTTGGGCTCGAGCACGGGCTGCCGGAGGTGCGCGACCCGACGGCGGAGGCGATGCTCTCGGACTTTCTGCTCCGCGTGACCGAGTGGGGCCGCCGCGACAGGGCCTCAGCCGAGCGCGTCAAGTCGCTCAACCTCGAGGGGCAGGTCCCGCCCGGCCGCGCCCACGCCGCCACCCGCGCCGCGCTCTCGAGGTGGGTGGAGCAGAACCAGCGCGAGGTGCTGATTGGCGGGGCGGTCGCCGTCGCCAGCCTCGCCGTCGGCGCCGCCCTCTTTGCAGGGCTGGCCAAGGGACGGCGCTGAGATGGGGAGAGGGGAGGGAGCGGATACACGTCAGTACGGCTCTCTACGGCGCTCTCTACGGCGGGAGCCGCTGACCGCGAGCACGAGCACTTGGAGCACTTGGAGGAGTGTAGTGTGCGATCAGATCAATAATTCGGCCATGGGTTCACCCGGCGCGGCGGCGGCGCGGCTCCAACCTCCAAGCTCCAAGCACGCCCCCCCGCCCCGCCAGCCGCCTCCCCTCATAAAGAGCGGCGTCGTGTTACAAGTGAATAGTGATCAAGTGTCGTGGGTGTAATATAGTGTGGGCCGACTACACGGTGAGCCATACGGACCTTGCACAAAACCTTTCCTTCTAAGCAGGGCTACACAATGACCCTATAGTGTGGGGGTGTTCCTGTGGCGAGTTGTGATGAGTTTGAGTAGAACGATTAGAACTAGCCAATACTTTTTTCGGCCCCGGGAGGGCGGGGGCGCGGGTAGAGGTAGGGCTGGCCTGGGGCTGGCGAGGTACTCCCACGCCTCTCGGGGTTTTTGTCTGGCCGAGTCAACCCGAGATGCTGGGGCGAGCCTCGGCGAGACTGCGTCAGCTGTTCCCACAGCAGGCTGGAAGTACCTCGCCAGCCCGCCGAGAGGACCGACGAGGTCCCACGAGAGCGCTTCGCCTGCGGCGCGCCTGCCCGGCCATGGACCAGGCTTCACCGCCGCTTGCTGACGGCTGATCGCATCGCCTACTGCATCGCGAATGGCCAGTGCCGCGACCACTTGGACCTTGCACTGCCTGCCTGCTGACCCGGTGCAAAGAATCTGCGTCTCAGCTCTTCGGCGCATTGATTGTGCATGATTGCTCAAGTGGCTCGAATTGGCAATCCACCGCAATGCGAACATGGATGGAGAGCATATGCAACACGGACGCAGGCTTGCCGTTGGCGACGTCGGTTATCAGAGGGGTCACATAGTGACGCGCTCGATGGGATGCTGCATTGACGCAGACAGCAAAAGCATCGCAGCGGAGACCTTCTCAGGAGTGGCGGCTCGCACCATGCGGCAGTGCGGACACCAGGTGCGCGAATTTAAGAGCCATTTTCGATTACGTGGTTTTGGCACTGTCTACCCGGCCCCCCTCTCGCTCTCGTAGCCGCAGCCGTAGCCGCAGCCCCAACTCTTGCCGCTCTTCCGTGTCGGGTTGTGACGAGGGGTGAGGGGACACGGATTGAAGATCCCTCACACCAAGATCGTGCAGGGCGGGGACACATGTCCCTAAATCCCATCTCGTCTCAGAGTTTGACCGTTTTATTTATTGACCCGCCCCGACGCCCGAGCACACCCGGGGCCGTGTGTCCACCTATCTCGACGGTGTGCAAAGAGCGCCGATACACCCGTCGGGCCTGTCATGAATGCTGATATGTGAAAACCGCCGAAAATCGCGACGCTACAAGTGAGAGAGAGAGACGTACGTCGTACAAGTGAGAGAGAGAGACAAGTGAAAGGCCGTCCCGCGAAGCTTCAGCGCCGCTGAGAAGCTGGTGGCAGCCACTCACGCAGTCCGCCGGCCTTCCTTCGCGGCCTACCGGCACCAACTTGATTCCCGGATCGGCGTCGTCTCATGGCCGGGTCGCGGGACGGGGAGGGAGGGGGGTCGATCCGTAAATCCGTAAATCCGTAAATTTGTAACCAAAAGCCACCAGGGAGTCCCCCACCGCACCCAGCTACCAGGCAGGCAGAGACTCAGCGCTCGCGACATGCTGAGAAGCCGGGGGCTGGCCTCTCCAATGCTCGCGCAGCGCTGTCTGCACGCGCAGCGCCCTCCGGGGTCCGGGCGGCCCACACGGTGGGAGGGTCGACGACCGTACGACTGTAACGCTACGTATATCTCTTAACAATCACTTGTTCGCGCTTGCGCTGCGCCTCTGCGAGTGCGTCTATCAACCCCTCACGCGTGCGCATAATCCCCTCCATCTTGTCATACAGCCTTGACCTCTCTGCCTCTGCGGCATCAGCGCGCCTCGCCTCTGCCTCCATCGAAATCTGCAGCGCGTCGAGCTGCTCGCGCAGCTCGGCCTGCATCTTGGCCCGCATCTCGCCGATACGCCACTCACACTCAGCTCGAGCTGCATGATTTGCCTGGTCGGCCATCCGCTCAGCCGCTTTGATGTCGCGTTTAGCAGCCTGCTGCGCTGTCCTCAGGTTGTCGCAGTCGGAGCGCCTCAGCTCTTGTGCCGCAGCAAGCTCATCCTGCGCCGACGCGAGCACCCTCTTCACAGCGCTCACCGAGCGCTGCTCAGAAGCGAGCTCCTTGGTCTGTGACCGCAACTTCTCTTCCAACTCCTGCCGGAGCAGCACCTCAGCACTCGCACTACTCGCGGCTGCATGGATGTCCGAGCCCTTTAGCGTGGTGTGCGCGTCTGTGCTGACGAGAGTGCGGGAGATGCTGCCCTCGTGCTGAACAGAGATTGCGCCAGCAGTAGCAGTGCTGCTTCGGCACACAACAACATTGCTCGTGGCCGAGCTGGCATAAACCGCCGCACCAGCCTCTGCGGCTGCAGCGGTGCTTCGGATCGCGTCGAGCACCGCGCCTGTATCGTGCATGAGCACAGCCTCGAACATACTGAGGTTGGCTATTCCGAGTTCGTTGAGCAGGCGCTCCAGCACAATGCTGAGCTGCGTCGGTGCCATTTGTCGACGTGTCCAAGGGAACGGCCGTCGCCGAAAGTCCTTCCGAAAAGTACGTCTAACGCCTCCTGCTAGCTGGGGCACGCTCCCATGCGGCTGGGGGCCGCTCTCCAGCTCGATTAGGGCGCTTTTCGCGCGATTTTACGGAATTACGGATTGGAGGGGGGTGGCGGCACATAGGGGGAGGGGGAGACGCCGATCCGGGAATCAAGTTGGTGCCGGCTATGTGCACTGTAGGAGCACCGAACGCACCGTTGGAGCCGGCTTTCATGCAACGTGGTTGCGTTCCTGTGGAGCCTATTCAATAACATCGCGCCGTCCCGAACTCTCAGCGTGAGCTGATCCACACATTCCGGCGCCCAACTCGGCCCGATGCTAGGCCCGATGACGCTCTCATGGCGACAGATCAGTGCACTGTGGGAGCACATACCGAGCAACACGCTGGCGCCTCATTTTGTCGACGCGTAGCCGCGCTCCAGAGCCTATTCAATAGTATGGCCTAGAGAATGGCTCCACGCTGTGTGTCTTCAGAGACCTTGTGGTGTCGTGTGTGCGTCGCCTGTGTGAGCTTCCTCCACCAGACTGTACAGTGTAATTTTGCTGCTGTTGACTCTGACTATCTACTTAAATCTTGCCCAACCGATCATCTTGTTCCTTTTTACCCATCACAGTAGAGGCGTCCGTTTTATTTATTTATTTTGCGATTTGGGTTTTGGATTTTAGATGATTCTTTGTTTATTTATTTAAGGGGTGGGAGAAGGACAGGGTCCCCACCTGCGCGAGCAGGATCTTGGAACAGGACGATCAGGGACACAGGGGAACGGGAGCGGGGAGCGCATCGCAACACGGAGGGGGGCTGGGCAGGGTTCACCCACACGACAGGGTCCCAGGGATCCCCCTCTCGTATAGGACAAAGTTGCACCCGGCGGCACGGGGGCAGGCGCGGGCCTCCTACTGGTTGCGCTCTCCTAGTTCTCCTGCTACGGACAAAAGGGACAGCGACAGGTTCGCAGCACGGTGGACTCCCTATTCCACGGGCGATCTCTTCGACTAGCGACCTTCCTCCGGCTTCTCGCTGGCAGTCTCTCACTATCACGGGCACACTGACAGAGGCAGCCAAGGCTCACGCCGTGGGTGGGGCAGCGTGGCAGGGCCGGTGATAGGAGTCTCCCACGCTGTGGGGCTTCGCTAGAGGTGCGGCCGACGCGTGTCCTCGCCCTTGCGGTCTTGAGGGGGAAGGGGAAGGGGCTGTGTGTCTGTGCATGTGAGTGCGTGCGTGCGTGCGTGTGTGTGTGTGTGTGTGTGTGTGTGTGTGTGTGTGTGTGTGTGTGTGTGTGTGTGTGTGTGTGTGTGTGTGTGCGATCGCGCGGGCGCTGCGCGAGCCGCCCTGCCCGCTGCGCTGCTAGGGTTGCGCCGCGGGAAGGGCTCGGCGGCCGCTTCTAGGACTCGTCGTCGCTCTCCCCGTAGAGCGAGGGCTCGTTGGACTCGAGGCGTGGGCCGCCGTCGTAGGGGGAGCGGGCGGCTCCGCGAGCGGCGCGCGCCCAGTCCTTCTTGCCCTTGCCGCCGCCGCCGCCTGGGACGCCGCGGTTGCGGCCGCCGCCGCGCCGCCCGCGGCTCGTGCCGAGCCTCACCGCCCTCGGCATCCGCTCGTAGACGGAGCCCTTGAGGGCGGTCTCGAGTAGCTCCTCGAAGTTGGTGCACGGCGCGTAGCGGCAGCTGGCGCTGAACTTGCACGGGAGGCCGGTCTGAGTTTGGGCAGAAGCCCAGCCCGCCGCGCGCCGCCCGCAGAGTTTGACCGTCTTGTTAAGGTCCTCCGGGCCAGTTTCGGGTGGCAAACCCTGCCCACCCCCTAGAGCCCCAGGAAAGGAGGGTCGGGACCCTGAGAAGACGGGGGGTGAGCCCTCAGGCGGGGGGGTCTACTCAAGTGCCTGCGCGAGTGAGTGCGGAGTGGTGGTGTGGGGCGTGCAGTGTGGTGTTCATTAGCGCCGAGTAGAGGGGGCGTCCTGCAGTTAAGGGGAAACCCGGTACGCGGGGCCAACCCTCGGAGACCCGTGTTTACTTTACGGCCCTTTCCCTGCGAACGCGCACCCCCGGGGCTAGGGCTCTCTAGCCCGTAACCCGATACCGACCATCCGGCCCGCTAGGTGCGCTCCTTAGCTCCCCGGCCCTGGATGTGAGGTTGATGACTGCACTCCAAGTGCTCCAAGTGCCCCCACCCAGGTAAGTAAGGCCCAGGTGTGGCCTAGGGCATCAGAAGGGACCAAGTCCAAGAGGAGTCCAGTCTGAGCCATAGAGCCCATGTCTTTGCCCCCGAAGGTCGCGTTCAAATGCCCGGAACGGACGCCTCAGTGGTGTCCGGCCGGCGCGATCATCGAGCTGTGACGCTCAGGGAAGCCTGTTGAGGTACTGGTTTCTTTGCCCAGGGCTGGCCTTCCCCCCAGGCTGGATCAGCTTAGGCTGTACGAGGTTTTCCTCTCGCACCCCGTCTGTTTTCCTTTCCTTTTTTCTCTACAGCACCCTCTCTTTTCCTCTCTATTTTCCCGATAAAACTCCGTGGAAATCGTCAAATTTTTGGCTCTGAGCCGAGTCTGAGGCTGGTTTGGGCCCAAAATCAGCCAAATTTTAGGCCAAATCGTCAAAATGCCGGGAATTTTGCGGAGAACCCGTGTAGACCTGGAAATTACCCTGCGACCGCCTGGGTATTTTGTCGATTCCTCAATTTTGCCTCAGATTTTGCCCCAGACCAGCTCTCAGACTCAGGGAAACTCGCGAGTTTCCAGAATGGAGCACCAAACACCCTCTGTTTTCCCTGGAAATTTCCGGCAACGCAAAGTGCTGGGGACCCTCTCTTTTCCTTTTTGTTTTCCGGAAAACCTCGTACAGGCCAAGGATCAGCTGAGCAAGGTTTGGGGAGAATGCTACAGTAGGATCTTCACATATTTTTTTCGTATGCGAAAATTCTTTCGACGTTAAAATTCTTTCGCCACCAAGAGCTGGCTGGGGCTGCAGAAGCAGCGCATCTCAGTCGTTCTTCACACGGCAATCGCAGAGCAGATTGTGAATGAGCTTGCCTGCGGCGAGGGCGGTCGAGTGCACGGAGCTAAGTGCCTCGCCGCCCTCGCAGGAGTCGCTTAGGCGGCTCCCGTGGTGTACCTGTGTTAGTGGATAGTGCCAGTGCGCGCCATAAATAAATAAATACAACGGACATCCCAAGCTAGGGCTGGGTCGAGGACAGACACGCCAAAAGAAAGAAAGAAAGAAAGAAAACAGACACGCCAAACGAGGGATGGGACGAGGACAGGGTCCCCACCTGCACGAGCAGGATTTTGGAAGAACGATCAGGGGGACAGGTGGGGCTCTCCTGCTCCTGACAAGGGACACGCCAGAAAGAAAGAAAGAAAGAAAACAGACAGGCCAAACGAGGGATGGGACGAGGACAGGGTCCCCACCTGCACGAGCAGGATTTTGGAAGGACGATCAGGGGGACAGGTGGGGCTCTCCTGCTCCTGACAAGGGACACGCCAGTCCCGTGCGAAATATGCTTGTAAAATTCTTTCGCCACTGTGCCAGTCCGCGCCAGTCTGCGCCCTTGTCGTGCCAGTGTGCTGTGAGAGAGGCTTTGGCTTAAGGTGGCGGTCCGGGTTTTGCGAGACGGGTGTCGTCCGGCAAGATGGCATCACGCTCGCACCTGCCGACCGCCGCCACGGCGGCGAGACGCCTTCTCCGCCACCGCGGCGCCGGCCACAGGCCAGCGCTAGGCAGCTGCCGGCCACACTGGGCCGGATTTGCCGGTAACCGTCGCCGCACACTCCTACGTCCACGCCGCTGTGACGTCTGGCGACGAGGCGCCGGCCGCCAAGCTTCATCGCCAACGTGGTCGCTCGCTGGTCCTCTCGGCTCGGCCACGCGTCGGCCCAGCTCACACGAGCTCCAGACAGCCACCAGTCGCCACGCGCAAAGCGTACGGGTCGCCGGCTCCCTGTTGTGCTCTCACGCTGGCCGGCGTAAAACTGTGCTGGCAGTTGTCAAGCCGTACCCGTCGCGTTTCGAAAGGGAGCCCTCAATTGACGCGTCTACACGCACCGTGCCACCGCTCTCCACAACTGCTACCGTGGACATCAAGCTCCTCGACTCGATCTGCGGCTACGACGGCGCTCTAGCTGCTGGCTCTCGCGGGTGTCTGGCGACCCGCTCAGGCTTGCGAAACGGCCGGCCGCGGCGACGTGTTTCGAGCTCGCTGGCCTTCTCCGCGCGGCTGGGCCCGCCCCTAGTCGGGACAGACCCGCCCAGTCACTGGGCAGCGCGTGCGCCGTCATCCTGGACGACGGTGTGCCGATGCATCCGGGAGGCTCCGCGGGGCTGCTATAGCAGCCTCGGGAGGGTCGAAAATCGAAGCCGGAGCGGCGGACCACGGAAGCTCCACGGACGGTGAGGCGGGCTGTGGTTGGCCCCCCCTGACCGGGTGAGGGAGTGGCGCCCCGGGAGTGCCGCTCCGGCGACGTCTGTGGCCTCCAAGGTACCGTGACCGCGGTGCTCGCTCTCGCGGCCGTCTCACGACCCGCTCGAGACGAAAACTGGAGCGGACGGTGCGACGAACCGCGAGTGGGATGATCTTCTCCGCGCGGCTGGGCCCGCCCCTAGTCGGGGCCGACCCGCCCAGTCACTGGGCAGCGCGTGCGCCGGCGTTCTGGACGACGGTGTGCTGGTGCATCCGGGAGGCTCCGCGGGGCTGCTCTAGCAGCCTCGGGAGGGTCGAAAATCGAAGCCGAAGCGGCGGACCACGGAAGCTCCACGGACGGTGAGGCGGGCTGTGGTTGGCCCCCCCTGACCGGGTGAGGGAGTGGCGCCCCGGGAGTGCCGCTCCGGCGACGTCTGTGGCCTCCACGGTACCGTGACCGCGCCGGCCTCGCTCGGGAGGCTCGTCTTTCGGAGCCGTCGGCCTCCGAAACCGTCGCGTTGCTGCGCCTGGACGGCTTCGATGCTCGCCAAACCCGTCGGCACCGTCCATATACACATGAATTGTGAACGAACGCGCATTTTTCTGATACTTTACTCGCATATGCCGAAATGTTAGTTTCGATCTAGTCCTCACGGACACAAAACAGAGGCCTCCTAGCACGGAGAAGCGACTAAGAGTCGCCGACGTGCGAGTAAAGTGTCAGAAAAATACGCCCGGAATCACAATTGATCCCGTCGACAAGGCGCCCCAATCGCGGAGGTCTGGCGCGGGCGTGGAGGCGAGCATCGACGCCTCGACGGTTGCTCTTCAGAGGCCGAAAACAGGCGCCTGAAAAAGGAGAGAACGCGAGACTGATCACGCGCGCGGAAAAGCCCGAGGGGCGAATCTAAAGTGCCGAGGCGCTTGCTATTCACCCCAGCTAGGGCCACGGAGGCGCTCGCGGCAGGTCTCCGCGCGCGCGCTGGCCGGTGGCAGCTGATCTCGGGCGGCGGGCGGCGGGAATGGGCTCGGGCGGCACCTTTTGCCCTCAAAAGTCGTTCGAGAGTACCGGGTCGCGGCGGGAACGCGCCCATCCGCTCGATGGGTGTCAGGAGTCGATCGCCTGCGCCACGAGCGAGCACGGGAGTCGTCGCGATGGGAGTCGTAGCGGCGTGGCGCTGGGCTTCGAGAGAGCGACGTGGGCGCGGCGGCGCGGGCGGCCGGTGGGGCGCGTGAGGTCCGCACCTTCGCGACGGGCAGGCTCGATACGGCCGCTGGCCGGGGCGGCCGCTCGACCGGCCGCCGCGGTCGTTCCGGCGGCGGCGTCGGCGTCGGCGTCGCGAGCGAACTGGCTCGCATTCGACGAGCGACCCTCTTCACAGAACCCGGACTGCCACCTTAAGAATTCTTTCGCCACTTCGCTGGTGGCCCAGGGTCGCCTGCTCCCTGGCCCGGTGCTACTTGCGTCGCTCCGCCCGCATCCGCATGCGCGACGCGTTCGGCCTCTTCCGCGGGTGGTGCCGCGCCGCTCCCTCGTGCCTCGAGTACGTGCCCGTAGCTGCTCCCGGCGGCGCGCTGGACACCCGCGCGCTGGCCTGCTCCCGTTGCCGCTGTCAGCCGCAGCAGCACCAGGCCGTCGACGTCGGGCCGGCCGGGTACGACCCTCACTCGCCGGAGCAAGTGGAGGCTCGTCGGCCGTACGACGAGCGGCTGCAGTCGCCGGAGGAGCGCGCCGCCACCCGCAAGGCCCGCGGCGACGCCGCCTTTCGCGCGAAAAACTACCGCACGGCGTACGAGCACTACACGGCGGCGCTCGAGGCGACGCCGTCGTCGCACACGCTGCTGGGGAATCGCGCGCAGGCGTACCTCAAGGTGGGCCGGCACGAGCTCGCGCGCGCCGATGCGGAGGCCGCGACCACCCTCGCGCCAAGCTGGCCAAAGGGCTGGTACCGGCTCGGCTCAGCGCTCCGCGGGCTTGAGCGACCAGCCGAGGCGGTGGCGGCGTTCCGCCGCGCGACCGAGCTGGAGCCGACGTCCGAGGAGAGCCGGCGCGCGCTCGTGGCGGCCGAGCGCGACGCTGCGGCCGCCGAGGCGCTCGTGGTCGAGCTGGACAAGGCTCGCAAGGCGACGACGCGGAGACAGGCGTACGACGCAAAGACGGTGGCAGAGTACGACGCCAAGGTCAAGGCCAAGGCGGAGGGGCGCATCCGCGAGACGACCGAGTGGAGTGAGGAGCTGTCCAAGGAGTGGGAGAAGGAGTACGAGGCGAGCTGGACGCCGCCGCCCGGCGTACAGCTGCTCACCCACACTGGCGGCGGAGGCGGCGAGGGCGGAGGCGGCGAGGGCGGAGGCGGCGAGGGCGGCGAGGGCGGAGGCGGCGAGGGGGGAGCCGGCGGAGGCGGCGGCGGAGGAGGTGGCGACGGAGAGCTGGTCCTCGAGGAGAACACCGCGGCGGGCACAGGCGGCGGCGGCGGCGGTGGGGATGGGGGTAGGGGAGGCGGGGGTGGGGACGGCGGCGGGGAGGAGGAGGAGGAGGAGGAGGAGCTACTGCTAGAGGAGAATGGCGAGGGGAGTGGCGTTGGTGCGGCCGCGGCTGCCAGCGGCGCGGATGGCGGCGGCGGCAGCGGCGCGGCGGCCGAGGCGGCGGCGGCGGCGGAGGAGGAGGAGGAGGAGGAGGACTCGGAGGACGACAACTACGTCTCCGACTCGAGCGACGACGAGGACAAGCGGCCGCCCGAGCAGTTCGATCTCTCCTCGAGCACGACCATCATGCTGCCGCCCCGCAACTACACGCTCGTGCACGAGGACGGCAGGTTGCACAAGCGCGACAACTTCACGCCAATGTCCTTTGGGATGCAGCGCATTCACAACAACGCGGCTCCCGAGCCGGTGTGGGTGCAGACGCAGAACGCGCGCTGGATGCAGGGCACGACCGAGGTGGTGGTGATTGCGCACACAGTGCCGCGCGACCAGATGCGAGCGGCGCTGCTCGATGTGCAGCTTGCGCCTCGCCAAGTCCACGTCGCCAGCCGCGCCACGGGTCAGGTCTTCTTGCACGGAGAGCTCGAGGAGCGCATCGACCCGCGCACCCTCGAGCCTCCCCACGACACGTCCCAAACACGTCCCCGACACGCCCCTCTGACACGTCCTGCAGGAGCGCATCGACCCGCGCACCTCGACGTGGCTGACGGACGGCACGCACGTCACAATGACGCTGGTCAAGGCCAACCTCCAGATCTACGACGCGGGCAAGAAGGGCACCGCCGCCGACACACACTGGCACCGGCTGCTCACTACTGACCAGTGCGCACTACACGCCGAGACACAGCCGAGACACAGCCGAGACACAGCCGAGACACAGCCGAGACACAGCCGAGACACAGCCGAGACACAGCCGAGACCTGCTTACCTCACCGACAAGTGCGCGGCACGTCTCTTCGCGGCGTATCTCGGCTTTATCTCGCGGCAGACACGTCGAGATCGCGCGGCATGGTGAACGCCCCGACTCATTTCTGAACCACCTCTCCCCCCCTGATCCTTCCGGAGGTATGTTGAGCGAGGCATGGTGGACGCGGACTACTCGGAGCTGCCGGCGGAGCACAGACACAAGGCGCGCTTCCCACCCCGCCCCGCCTACCACCCCGACCCCCCACCCCGCTTTGCCCCGGACCACCTCCCGGCAGGCGAAGATGAGCGAGCTGGAGCGCAAGGAGAAGAAGCGGCAGGAGGAGCTCGCCAACGAGTGCGCGCTCTGCGGCAAGGACGTGCGCTTCTTTTGCGACTGCCGCTCGGGGGACAAGGACTACGAGAAGCCGCTGCCAGAGGGCTGGAAGGACCCGCGGCTTGGCTTCTGCGACCCCATCTTCGACGGCGTCAACTACGACGCCGGCAAGAGCGCGCAGCTCCAGCCAAAGCCGGCGCCGCAGCCACGGCCGTACGCAGGCGGGCGGTGAGTCGACCCGCTACTTTCCGTCTATGTACCATTTTGAACAGGGGCTGGCTGCCCCCCGGGGCACCGTAGCAACAAAACGCAGCGCATCAGGTGTCCTCTTCTCGATACCGACTATGATCTATACACACACTTTTCTTCATATCTGGGGCCTCCGGCGCCAGTGCGAAGTCTAGTCGCCCTAAACCACCCCGCCCTCCGGGCATACTCCGAACTCCCACACGACAACACACGCGCGGCCGGCGCCTCTCATGCCCTTCTCCACGCACACCGCGTGAAAACTGCGCGTACGTCCCCGCGCGCACGCAAACACGCGCAGCGCCATTTCAGAGCTGTGCCATGTGCGTCTGCCCTGTGCTGGCGCCCCATGGCCGTCCCGCGCCGCCCGCACCAGCTGCGCGCCCCTCGCACTACCAGAGCAAGCCGCATATCCACTCACGCCGCGACGCGCGCGCCGCAGCACACCTCACCAGCACACCTGCGCCTTTTTGCGCCCTGTGCAGGCTCTGCAGACTGCTTCTGGCATCCCACAAGCGGCTGTACTAGGACGCGCCGCGAGTGCGACGGCACCGCGCAGGCCCAGGCGCGCACGCACGCCCGCACGCGCGCTCGCTCATCCGCCCAGTCTGCTGTGCACAGCCTGTCAGCCTGCCTGCACACACAGCATACAGCACCATGTGCACGCATACGCTTAGACGCAGCCCGCACCCCACTACAATAGCCTGCCTCACGCCTCACCACGCCGTCTCGCGCACACCGCCAGCAGCCCGATCAGAGAAACTGCAGCGCGCGCCTCTGCGCGCCTGCAGCTTCTCTGCATTCTGAGACCTTCTCAATCCACCCCGCCGCCGCGCCTCCCCGGGCACACACCGCAGCAGTGAAGATGTGAGTCGAAGTATGGGATATCGACCGAGCCCGCGCCTGCCGCACACGTCTCCGTTTCTTTTTACTGCCAAAGCATAAAAAGAAAAAACACCACATGGCGAAAATCGTTTAACAAACAGCGACGACCAGCAGCAACGATTTACAGCAGCGTCCTGCCGAGTGTGTGTAGCACCGACGCAGACGCACCCCAGGCACTACACTACGACGGCTAGGCAGACCTCACCAGTCCGATAAGGATCAACTGGAAGGTTGAACCTCGAGCTTAGACAGAACGGGCGCGACAGACTCCAGGGGAGATCGCGCTCTACTCGGGGCACCAAGGAGGAAAACCGAAACCGTTTGGGTGCCCCACAAAAACCCAAACGCTACAATCTAAAAGTCACACCTCCCCCCCACGTCCCCCCCCCCCTTGGGGACGTAGCGCACGCCCTTACTCGGAGAGAGTGGGGGGGGAGGGGGGGTGGGGGAATAGGAGGAGCCGTCGAGCTCGGAGTAAGGTCCACAGTAGAGAGACAGGCATTTAAGGCGTAACTTCACCCTCGCTCACCTTGAGTATATCTAGGCGCCCTGGTGCAGTCGGTCTTCGGATCAGCGGCCAGCTTCCCATCTAGGGCAGGGAACCCCCAGCGACGCTAGTGTGGCCTACGGTAGCCTCAGCTTGTACGCGATCCCGGGGCAGGGGGGTGTGGACTCTAGAGCTCCAAGAAAGGATAGGGAGAGGAAGGGAGATTGGTGTGCCGGTTTTTCGCGTTAGCAATTTTTTTTTATGATCTATACACAAGCGGGGCGATCTAATTTTCTAAATACTAAAAAATCGACCCGTAAACGGAAAGGGAATGCCGTGTACCCTGGGTGTACCACACAGGCCGCTCAGTGGCACTGAAAAGTGAAACGGTTACCAACACCCGGCTAAAACTATAGACTTAGGGTCAGCGGCCCAGGGGTGACGTCGAAGGACGAAGCGAATCCGAATGTCGAGTTTGACGGCCGGTGCCGTTGGCATCGGTGGATGGCATGCCGCATGCGGGGTCCTGGTCGCCAACGCCATAAAAAGCCCCGCGCCGGGTCTCGCTCTCAGCCTTAGGGGACCCCTAGGCTTAAAAGGGTGGGCCCTGGGGCGCCTGCGGCTTAAATGGCTTAAAACCGGCCCGGGCCGGTTTTAAGAGCTGCTGGGCCGCCGATTCCTTAAACGGTCTTAAACGCTTAAACGGTGCGGGAGAGCTCCCGAGGTCGATGGTCCGGGAGGCTCCCGGAGGCTCCCGGTAGACGCCGGAGGCCGGGAAGCTGGCTACAGTCAGCTAGCACGCGTCCCCTATGCGAGTATGGCTCCTGTCAGTGCACCAGACTTACAGATGTGTCTTCAGAGGCGGATTTGTGCCTAATAACGGCAGTATTGGAGAAAACGGCGCGGAAAACCCAGCAGAGCCGAGACGCATGCCGGTGAGGGCGTGTGACTGTGAGGCCGATTTTCTTAAACGGTCTTAAAAGAGGGACCCCCGTGCCTGCAATCTCTTAAATGGCAATTTAAGCCCCCAAACCTCCTTATTTCTTAAAAAGCTCTTAAAAAA